AGCCAGGAATAGCGAGGCCACCGAGGACTGGGGGCCGTCTATTTGTGTAATTGTTCATGGGGGGTATATTGCCATCGTTGCCACGCTTGGCGAGGGGTTGGCAACCGCAGTTTTTTTGTCGTACAGTTGCTGTTATCAGGAAGATGCTGCTGCCCATCTCCTGCCTGTTTCCCTCTGTCGCCTTTTACGACACCCACGGGAAGATATGGGGTAGTGGATATTCTTAACCGCCACTACACGGCATTCCTCTTTCATACACGTGACTAATGCCTGCAGTTCTGCTTCTGATGGAGCAATAAGCACTGCATCATCAGCATACAGCAGACAGTTAACTTTTATGTCACCCAATTTCACACCCAAACAGCTATTTTTCAGCTTCTGTAAACAGCTGTCGAGATACAGTATGAACAGCCAGGAAGACATGACACAACCCTGTTTTACGCCCGCTTGGACACTAAACATGGGTGACAGGTCATGCCCTACCCGCACACAGGCTTTACAGTCATAGTAAAGTGACTGCACAGCCCTTAACAATCGACCATCCACACCATATCCCGGCAACAGTTCCCACATTTTCTTCCTTATAACCTTATCAAATGCTTTCTCCAGATCCACAAAAGCACAGAAAATCTTCTGGTTAACACTCAGAAGCTTCAATATATATATATATATATATATATATATATATATATATATATATATATATATATATATATATATATATATATATATATATATATATATATACACACACAATATGTAACGTAATTAACGCACACCCTCAGACACCCCAATTAGTATATTATGTTATAATCATAATACATACACTGAATTTTTAGTTAAACTATTTTATGTACTGATTATTTATCAAATTACTAATTCCGGAAGAATGTCACAGTACAAACCCACAAACGCAACGTGCTTGAAATAAAGTTCATTTTTCTTTATTTTTATTGAATGACAGAATTAGTAATAATACAAATAAAACTGCACTCTTAAAAGTCTTATTGCCTTAAGATACGGTCCATTTCAGTTTGTTTTGACTGTACAGATTTAGTGTGACTGTAATTAACGTAGTTTTAATTATTTTTGGGATAAAAATTACGTATATTAAAAATGATAGGAATCGATTCAGTAAACGATTCTGAACAAACGACTTTCTCAAAGTGTTCTCAAAGTACATGTTGTATATAACTTCTATAAAACTTTAATTCTGTCTTATCTTACCTATGTAAGAACTATTTTATTCATATTTATTACAATCTCATTTACCATTTAAAATTGACAATTTTGAAACAGTATTAAAACTTATTGATAATTAATATGCTTCGATACCAATTACGTAGTGCAAAAGATTATTAAAAAAACACAACCTGCTTATCTTTTGTATTGTGAAGGCGTTTTATATACATAAATTGCACAAGGAGAAACATTTAGACCACATACACTACTTAATACTTTTATTACTAGCGGAGAATCTAGACCCGAAACTAACACTTGTAGCCATTTATACATTAACTTGACGTGGAATTCGAACCTGCAACGCAGCGACTAGTCGATTTTTTATAAAATAAGGATGACGGAAGCACATAGTTTACCTGGTTTATTGAGTATAGTTGAAAAATAACTGTAGGTAGTGTTGTACTTGTAAAATATGCATCAACCTACATTTTCATATAACTGCCATAATATACATCGTTAATAGGGAACAAATAAAACAAAAACTACAATTAGTTAGAGTATATTACATTCAAAAATGTAAGTCATACACGTAGACAAAATGCCCCAACTAAGTTAAACGTTAACTAAAGCTACCGGCTGATGTTGAAAAAATTTCCAATAAATTTTCGCAATAATATTAACAAATTAATAATTATTAAAATAATAGAAAATTAAATGAAATTATTTATTTGGCATGTGTTTGCTGAATATAAATCGCGAATGTATTAAAATATTTTATTCTAGTAGCATAAATACAATATCGATTATTAATTTAATATACATAAACATTTACTCGACACATTACATACTATACTGTAGTGTTAAAGAGAGAACGGAATAAAACTACTTGACTACTCTTTATAACTACACATGTACCTAGCAGTCAAAATTTGGTTACTTTGAGTTATATAAATAGATCGATAACTTTATTTTTTACTCGAATAATTATTAATAAGACACGAAAATTAGCCTTAATTTACATTAGGAATAATTAGTACTATAAGTCACCCTGTAGAGTTCGAAATATAATCTTCTGTTATGGCCACATTTATCAAATTCTTTTTAAAAAGAAGTTATGTGGCAATAGCAAAATGTTCAATCATTTCGAAGCCCACAGGGAAGATGTTTTTAAAATGTAATTGCGCATATAAAACAACTAATGTCATTACACACATTTAACCTAATAGAATTGGTGTTACAATACCTTCAGTGGACGAATCGCCTTCGCGGGCATCCTATAATCTATAATTAGTCATTAATTCAATACAATAATATTTTCGTCGAAAAAAGCAAAAGCTGCAATACAGTTAAGGCACAAGGTTTTAATTTTTTTATAAATATAACTATGTACTTATATTCTTGACATTTCATTGTATAATACCGTATTAATATTAATTTCTATGAAATACAAGTTCCATTTGTTAATCCAAACATGCTTCAATATTAATTTGTTAATAGGTTAATAAATATTTCTAATTCGAGACAAAAAAAAATAAAGTTTACATATAAAATCAAATGCCATAAACTGGAGAGAAAAAAATTTTACGGCTGTAATCATAGTTTCTAGTTACACTAGCTACAAGATCTAAAAACAGAATCATATTAATACGTAATAAGAGATTTCGGCAAAAGAAACCATTACGTTTTTTTGCGATATTAAAATTAAACAGAGATCGAGTTGCTTTCAACTAAGACTCATTTTGTAACAATACAAGCATTAAAATAAAAAGGAAAAAATATATATGTGTTAACTTAGTAAACGTGCTATTTAATTATGAAAATTGCACCAAACATTCACTACCACTATTATAGACTTTATAAAATCACACAATAAAATATTTATAACTTATTATGTAGTTGTGTATGGCACATACTTCATAATCTGTATTGAGGTCAACTATTGAATGCCGTAAATGTTTTATTTTTATTTTAACCCTTAAACTATATTAGAATCTGGTAATTGAAGGCACAAAGTTATAATGTATTGTTTAATATCATATAAATACAACATTCTTAAAAAACCTTCACATTCCATCAATATAATAGCCCTCAATGTTCAACTTGCAAATGGTTTTAAAAATTAATTTATTAAGGCTGTGCATATAATCTCCTATTCCCTGCAAACACAACTGTTAAAATTTTGGGTAATTTTTTAAAGTCTTCGGTTTGTCAATACCACTGATTTTTTAAAGGAAGAACATTAGTTTGCAACATAGAACCTCAATCACTTTATTCCTTTTAAACAGTAAAAGGCAGCTCGAATAAGGTCCCACAAGGGGGTTAGCACTTTGTGAATTGTGGGCCAGGAACTCAATCACTTCTAAGATTCTTCAACAAGTAAATAGTTGCTAAAAGACTGCTTTTGTCGCATAAGCATATTAAATATGCTTAAACTTTAATACATTTTAATAACGTTTATTTAGGCACTGATAAGACCTTGAAATACTTGAAAATTTATTTTTAATATATTATGTATTTCTTACTGTTTAAAAACGATAAGCTAACTTGATAACTTTGCAACAAAAAACTGCATTATTTACAATCAACATGTGTGGTTGGTTGGTTGTTTTTTATTTTCGGTTACTCAACTTATTTTTATGTTAAGAATGGCTGTCAAACAAATTTTGTACGAGATTCCGCGTCGCCGGGAGCACACATACAAGCAATTACGTAGTATTATTACTTACTACAAACCCTATTCGCTGTATTGACAGAATGAGTGAATTTACACATTTTAGACTTTTGATTAATGTTCAAAATCATCATTAAAAAATCGTTTAAATTTGAATACATATTTATATGTACATAGTGTGCAATTTGGTATTTTCTAAATAATTTGCATGCGAAATTTGGAAACAATTGTTACGTCAAAACACATCTCGTGTTGACATTTATACGTGTGAACTGACATGTTAGTGACATTTTAGTAGCTACACGGGCTCCGCCCACTCCCCCGTTCTATTATGTATGTATCTATATTATGATCGCATAAACGCACTGTTGCATTTTTTTATTGTTTGAAGTTGTGTACACATATTTTGGTTCCAAATTGTAAAAAGATAGACACATACAGACTATGGTATATAATATATGTTGTTTAAACACAGTTCTTTGTATATTAAATAAGGGAGAAATAATAGCAGAAATCAAAATATCGCGTCAGAGCATTAGATGTTATCAGTGCCTTAAGCAAAAGTTATGAATACATTAGATTATTCTTTAGTATCTATATTTCACTATATCACCATATTTAATTATTACTGTACCTAATTGTAATTTTGTTGTAATAAAAATTCATCTTTTGTAGACAACATTGAAAATTCCTGGCATTCAAAATTAAACTTCGTAACAAAATCAACTACAATAAATCTTTCAAAATAGAAAATAAAATCTTAAATAGCTTAATCATACCGTAGGGTACAGGCACTGCATTACGACATTCGTCTATAAATAAACTATTTTAGCACCTCTGATTATGTCCTAAATCTACATGTGTTCTTGTGATAATGTTGTGCCATTTGATCATAAGTTAAATATTTGCATAAATATAATAAATTCAAAACATTTATTAGCATAAAGTTTTGATTTTCACATGTAAATTAGTGTCAATCAATTTCAAGACATGAAACTATCACAAGAACACCTAATTATATAATTTTATAATATAAAGTTTATCTCTTCTATTTAACAGTTATTGAATTTTATCAAAATGTATTACATCGTCACATAAACACACTAAAGCGTAAGAGAACGGTTAACGTCACACGCAATCACAAAGCTTAGAAGTTGCCAAATTTCTTCGTAACGGTGGAGCTAGTTTCGGACTTGTGGGAACTAGTCATTACAGACTTGCGCTCGACGATTTCCGACGTGATGGTTTGCTTGGAGAATTTTTTATCTAAACTATCGATTTCCTTCACCAAGTCGGTCGGTTTTTTCAGTTTAGTCACACTAGACGTGGCTTGGTAATCCGATGACTGGAACTCCGACGGTCGCATAAACGAGCGACTCGTGTCCGAACTGATCTTCGAGTCCAAGGTATTGAAACGCGAATCCCATGTGCTGTATCTAGAGTCATTGTCGAATGACTTTGATAGCTCATCGATTCCCTCGAGCTTGATCGGTTCGTATTTTGTGCTGGTACTCGTCATGTTTACCGGTGATGAACTGTAGATTTTTGTGGTCGTAACCTTCTGAGTGCCATTCGGTATTTCTTTGACTTCCGTAGTAGTCTCCTCGAGATAGTTCGGCCCACCGTAACTGTGTACCTCCTTGCCGTATGGCGAAGATATCCTCTCGTAAGTTGGCGTCGGGGCTTTTACCAAATCCATTGAATTCTTTGGGAATTCCGTGAATTGGTTGGTCTCGTATTTGGACGGCGTAGACGTTGCGAAGGGAGATTTCACTTCTTTTGTAATTTCAGTAGAACTAAAATCCGCCTTTGGATAGCTCTGGTAGGACTCGCTTTTCACAGTATACTCAGAGTGTTTAGTTCCGCCAGGGATGGCTTCTGTGGATTTTTGGTGTTCGGTGAAGCTCTGTCCAACGCCGTCGAATGGTGATTTGGGCGTGCTCGGTTTTTTAAGAGAAGAGTAAATCGGTTCTGAAATCTCATCGAATTTGAGATCTCTGGCGTTGAACTTTGGGCTCAAGGGAGATGGGAGTTTGGGCGCATCATGACCGTACCGCTGTTCCTGTTTCGTGAACTGGTATTGACTGGACTGATTGGACTCGAATTGGCGTTGCTCCTCTGTTTTAGTATACTCGTTAATAGGTCGCGGTGTGTCGTAGAGTCTGGTCTCGTAGCTGTAATATTGCGATTATTAATTAATCAGTCATGCGGGTACATATTAAATTAAATTGAATGAACTACCCGCAACCGAAAGAAGGGAGGCGTTAGCCAACACCAGCATGCGTCATGCGTTAGAAGGAAGATTAATCACAGTGTAAAAGAATTATTATTTGGAAGTTAGATAAGATGTTATTACTAAACGGAAAAACGGTGACTCGCAGACTATTTAAGTGAATTTTAGAACAAGTAGTCGTTGAAAGTTTTGCAGAATGATAAAAATGAGGGTAGATCTCGATGGTTTTCGGGTAGATTTACTTTTCGGTGGTGATGGGTAGGTTTGGTGGGCTACCCGGTGCGTATAGGATGGAAGAGCCAGAACGAACCCAGTTAACTAGCGTTGTCCTCGTACTTTAGGAGGGAAATGCGTCTCGGCGGCGGCGGAGGCGGCCGCTCCCTCTTGTAGAAGACGCGCTCGCCGTCTCGCTTATCGTCGCCGTCCGATATCAAATACGCCGTACGCACCTCCGGCAGTTGCAACGACTTCACGACCACCGTCTCCTCCGTCATGCTCGTCCTATTAGGTTAGGTTATCCACCCGCATGCAGGTTAAGGGAAGGGAGGAAGAAAAACAATCGATTAGTTGTTAGTCGCTACTTCTTAGTCTAAGCTGGAATGTTCGCGCAACACAAGCTAGCTCATATGTACAGAACGATGTACGGAATGTCGCGATGGGCGAAAGCGGCACGTTTGGTACGTGTACATTGAACAAAAATAAAAGGATCGAAAGCCGGTTTCGAAGCTGATTGTATTACAGCGACTTACTTATGTTTCATCGTTCTATCATTACTGGTCGTATTTTCTCTGCAAACGAAATATTACTTAAGAATTGGTTTAGTTACCGCTACATATGTTAGACATAGTTTGGCTCAGACAGTATATAATTAGAATATAAGCTATCTATTTTGTAGTGTTTTAAAAGTTCTAATACAACATAAAAATTAATAATTTCTAAAAGCGATTCGTGTCCTTGCAGTAAAGAGTCATGAATCTCGTTGTAATTCTACAAGTTCCACCTATCACATCTTATAAACTAATCTTACCAGTCAATAGAATTTATAAGAAAGACAATTTCAGAACATTTTAAACATTGACTGGTAATTTGCAAAGAAGCATAAAGCTTTCCATGCGTTACATTACAGTAGTTTCTGGCAGAGGTATATTAGGGCATTTCAGCATTCTTAGTTTATATCCAAATGCATAAAAAACTGCGACAGAACTCTTTGATAAAATTTAAAAGTTTTTATGTAGACAAGTTCTCTTAAACAATACAATATCCTTGTTAAAGCAGTTCCAGATCGCAATTTTTGTAAGCAGTTGACGTCCGGCATCCAAAGCAGCGAACATAAAATGTTTAAAAAAATCTCTCTGCTTTTAAAGGTCGAAATCCACTTATCCTACATATAAAATGCTAAAGATATTTGTCCTAAAACTTTATATGTAACGGAATTTCATAAAGCGGGTTATATAGCAATGTCATTGTTACTGGCGATGACCGAATTTAGTATGCTGGCGTATTGCCTGTATGATATCGGTATGCCTATCCCCTGAACTACAATGAACTATATAGGGTAAAAAACATAGAATACTATAATACACAATAGAATGGCTGTCAACTTTATTTTTTACGAGGCGTGGCGTCGCCAGACGCGTTGTGTTGACAGACTTAATAAATTTACACATTTTAGACTTTTAATTAATGTTCAAGATCATCATTAAAAAATCGTTTAAATTTTAATACATATTTATTTGTAAATAGGGTGCAATTTGGCGTTTTCTAAATAATTTGCATGCGAAATTTGGAAACGATTGTAACGTCAAAACACATCTCGTGTTGACATTTATACGTGTGAATTGACGTGTTAGTGATATTTTAGTGGCTACGCGGGCTCCGCCCACTTCCCCGTTCTATTATTTATGTATTATAGTATTCTAATAATTTATATAAATTAGGTTTGGCCTATATATAAAGTTAGTTCGGTTTTTCCTATATTATCTATAAGTTAAAGTCATATAATTTACATTCGTGGGTTTTGGCGGGAACTTGGCCGTCGACGGATTGTCGCTCCTGTTTTGTCGCTAGAATGGTTTGAAGTTTTTTTTTAATAGAAGAGGGGACAAACGAGCATGTGGCTCACCTGATGTTAAGTGATTACCGCCGCCCATGATCAACCGCAACACCAGGGGAATTGCAAGTGCGTTGCCGGCCCTTTAGAAAGGAGTGAGCTCTTTTCTTGAAGGTCCCCAGGTCGTATCGGTCCGTAAAAATCACCGGTGGTAAATTATTCCACAGAGAGGTTGTACGCGGAAGAAAACTCCTTTTGAAACGTACAGTGGTGGACCGCCAAGCATCCAGATGGTGTGGATGGTATCGCGACGTTTGCCGCGTAGTGCGTTCACGAAATTTGGCGGCTGGGATTAATCCGAACAATTCCTCAGAGCACTCCCCGTGATAGATGCGATAAAATACGCAAAGAGATGCAACATCTCTTCGCAGCGCCAGTGAATCAAGCCGATCGGAAAGCACTCGGTCGTCGACGATTCGAGCCGCTCTGCGCTGGATGCGGTCAAGTGGAAGAAGCTGGTACTGGGGAGCCCCAGCCCAGAGATGGGAACAGTATTCCATGAGCGGCCGAACCTGCGCCTTGTAAAGTTGCAGGCGGTGTGCCGGCATGAAATACTGTCCCGCTCTGCTGAGCACGCCAAGCTTTTTAGAGGCCAATTTGGCCTTCACTTCCAAGTGACCACGAAACTGCACGTCACTCGATATGTCGACGCCGAGGATTCCGATACTGGCTGAGGCAACAAGGGGAGTGCCTTGAAACTGAGGGAATACGACAAAGGGGTTCTTTTTAGCGGTTAACGCGCAAACTTGTGTCTTCTGGGGGTTAAACTGGACTAGATTTAGTCGCCCCCAATCCGAGACTCTGTCCAGCAGAGACTCGACTTCAGACACAAGTTTGTCCCGGCACTCAGAGACGTTTTCCCGAGAAATATTGGCTCGGCCGGTGTAAAGAGCATCACCAGTGCTGTCGTCTGTATAGCAATGAATGCTACGGGTTTGCAACATATCATTGATATGCAGAAGAAACAGCGTTGGCGATAGCACGCAGCCCTGTGGAACACCAGCATTAATAAGCTTGCAATCGGAGCTTGCACCGTCTACAACGACCTTGATGCTCCGATCTGCAAGAAAACTGGTGATCCAATCGCACAATTTCTCGGGAAGCCCATAGGAAGGGATCTTCGAAAGAAGCGCTTTGTGCCAAACCCGATCGAAGGCCTTCGCAATGTCCAAACTAACGGCCAATGCCTCCCCCTTGGACTCTACTGCCTCCGCCCATCTGTGAGTCAGGTAGACCAGAAGATCACCACCTGACCTACCACGGCGAAAACCGTATTGGCGGTCACTAATCAGCTGGTGATCCTCAAGGTACCTCATGAGCTGGCAGTCAGAAGTGGATTTTGATTCGTAAAAGTGATGCGATTTTGTGAATTGTTCGCGCGTGTGAACTATTAGAGAAAACGACGAAACAAGTGCTTTGATGTCGATATAAACCTCAAGTTAATTTGATCGCTTGGGCGTCTTATGAACTTCAGTGACTATCGTCATCAACTGTCCGCTGGGTTGAGCTGTCGTCAAAATCTCCCAAAAACTTCGCAATGTGACGCATCAGCATATTGTGAAGAAAAAATATATAAAAATAAAGATTCCGAAATAAATGATAGGCTCAGAAGGGCTAGAACCCAGAGCCGTAAAGCCAGTAAAATAAAAATAAATTACATTCGTGGTTTTGGATATCGAACGAGCATATGATATCAAAAAAGTATCAGTAATAATACAGTTTTATAATTATTCAAAATTTAATTAAACAAAATGAAGTACCTATATTAATAATGCATGTTTGTTAAAAGATATGAGATGGATACAAATGATTGTAGCAAAGTAATATCATTATAAATGGAAGATACAAAATGGTTATACACTGTTCATATTTTATTAATTTAGTCTTTCTTGCTGGCACCTAAAGATTTGTTTTACTGTATAATCATACTTTATTACTTTACAAGCAACTGTATTTAATAGCGACACAGACTATATTATGGTAATGTAGCTAACCGGATGTGTATCTTTCCACGATAATAACACATTGCGTTCACTAAGAGAGAAAATTATGTTTTTAAATCTAAATGTTTTGTTAAATCTATACAAACCTTAGACAATACGAGTTTAAAACAGTTCATTACATTTTACACCTAATTAAAAACACAGTTTTTCTTTTAGTAGAGGCACGAATCATAAGTGAATAATGAAGGCACATTATACAAAAAGGCTTGCTTAGAAGTAAATGTATCATCTGCTTGCGTGATCCAATGGCAGCGTGTAAAGAAGCAAAGAAATGATTAGAAATGAGAAGATTGATGTTTCACTTTTTTTTGAATATGTGGTCATAGCTTAGATTTAAAATATGTTTTACACCCTTTTATATTTTTAAAATTTATTTGCAGTTAAGTACATTACATACATTATTATTAATTGATTTAATGTTTCATTGACTTAATTTATTTTAGTTTTGATACAAAAATTTTCCTTAATATAAAAGAAGTTAAGTTTTTTTGTTACATCCATTCTTTAAGGGAGACTTTTTTGAGATGTCGTGTCTCCAAGATTGAACAAGTAATCTTTGTAGATACAATAATTTATATAACAAATAGTAACTTATTTATTTAAAAAAAATATTGGAAGTAATTATTATATAATTACAGGTAATTTTGCTACCATAAAGTTCAATGCGTCTTTTGTAATTTAACAAAGCACGTAAAACAAATTTCATATCTAAGCTTCGACCAAAACAATGAGAACACGAGCACTTACCGTGTGGTAAACCCTTCATAGTTCTGCTTCGGAGTTTCATCTTGAGGCCTGAAACTTGAGAATGTCGGGCTCTGTGCGGTATACTTCTCCTCCCTTTGGTACCCGTTGGTATTGAAGCTTAAATGGTTAGACTCCGGCTTTGAACCGGGACTTGTGGCCGGCTGCGGGCCGTGTATGGACTGGTTGAGGCTGGACACGTGGTGGGATATGTTGGTAGTGTTTTGTGTCATATTCGTTGTGTTCTGCGCCGAGTATGTGCTGTTTGGGCTGTAGGTGGTGTTTGCAAAACTGCTGTTTGGCGTTTTGAATCTAAAACAAACAAAATATATGCTGGATAATATATATTTATGATAATATTGACTTTATATCATAATATATTTATGATATAAAGTCAATATTATTTCGTTCCCTTTTATTGGAAAAAGTGAATGGACACGATGCCCCGATGTAAAAGTGAAGTTACAGCCTTTATATGTCATACTGCTGGGCCTGTGCCTCCCCTCATTTCTGAGAGGGTTTTAGGGCAAGAAAGTGTCCGCCGCGCTGCTCCAATGCGTATTGGCGAACTTCACATGTCTTCGAAATATTTCTTTTTTTCTCTTATTCCTCAGACATGCCAGGTTTCCTCACGATGTTTTCCTTCACCGCCGAGCACGTGGTAACTTGATGTTACTTAACTTTTAAAATTGCAATTAACAATTTCATTGGTGCCGGCGGGGATCGAACCCGGGTTACTCGCGTTCTGTTATATTTACAGCGAGCGCTAACCCACTGCGCTACCACGGCTCTCTCTCATGCCCCGATGCGAGTTGTTATTTTTTTATTTTTCACATTTGCATTTTATAATGAAAATAATAAGTTAATAGTAAGTAAAAAGTCACTGTATGGTGGCGACATAAATTAATCTAATTCAAACTCATTCTCATTTCGTGAGTGCTAAGAGAAATGCTTGGGAGATCTCTTGGGCTCCGACAGGTGGCGGTATAACAGTTTTGTGCATGTATTGCTTTTTCTGAAAAACCGCAAAGTTGGATAATTTCTACCTGTGGTGGGTGGAAGCATCGCTAGAGTATCCGGCGAGATGGACGTCGGTATCCGTATCGTCTCCAGAAGTATCTCCGGCGCGGAGCTTGTACTTCGCTTGGCGGATGGCAGTCAGTCGGCCGCGTGCTTCCTCCAACTCTTTCTCGATGCGAAGCACTTCCGATCTGTAAGATAATATGTATAAGAGTGTGATTTGAATTTGTCAATGGGGAGAACCAACAGCTTTATACAAAAGAGGTTGTATATGTCACGGAATATGATTAACTTCTTTCCTTTCTTTTTTAAAATAGTCAAATTTTTGTTCTCGCATGTTGTACGAAAAGTTTTGAGAATTATATACCATTTTACATGAAGATCTGCATAAGCAAACAAGTTTCTCATTAATTTCTCAGGTATTGCATGGAATACATTGTTCGTGTGGCGGCGCTGTCGTCGCGCCGCAAGCGAAACGCACCGAAACCTAAATCACGCTATCAACATTCCGAATCATAAACAGTATATATAGAACATCTCCAAACTATCACACGGAGCGTCGGCCGCTCTCCGGGCAGAACACCTTGCCCGGCGGGAGATCTCCCCTTTTCCTTCCACGGCTACATTCGTGTTCCGCATTCATTGAGGAGCGGAGCGGGAAGTTTTGCAGAAATGGAAAAAATAAGTTACGTCAGGATTTTTTTTAATAGGATAGGCTGAGGAACGAGCACACACTCCACCTGAGGAATTAAAAATAAGTTGAAATTGAATGCGATAAAATGAGTAAAAAAAGTTTTACTCAAAAATAAGTTCGTTGCGCGATCTGTTTCGTCCCACCCCGCTTCTAGTGGACGCAGTTTTATATCATTTTATATCAAATGTTTTTTTTTTAATAGAATTGGAGTAACCAACGAGCACAAAGTCCACCTGATGGTAAGTTGATACTTTGGCCCATATACCGCGCTGTCAACCTTGAGGACTAAGATAGAATGCCTCGTTTGCAGTAATTCCAGTAACTTCATTGAATACAATAAAATTTTATTATAAAACAATGACATTGATATATTCTTCATAATAAAAATATTTTGGTGAATTTAATCTGTCAAGGTGCGACTGTCCCGAAAGGATCTTTTTTACAAATTTGTAGACCGTACAGAGTATAGTAATATTTAGAAGTGACCCCTCAAAACCATAGAAGAGAGTGTTCAGAACTTAGAGTATAAATAAGCAAGATATAGAACGCGCGTATCGCTCATTGCTCATTGTGCTAAGTGTAACCAGATGTTCTATAGATACTGATACATAGTTAGAGCAGTTTAATAGTGATACGTCGAGTGATTGATGCTATGCGTTATTGTACTTAAGTTATTATATTATGTAAGTTTTTGTAAATATTAGAGAGGCGATAATAATAATAATAAACGTTTATTTCTCCCACATTTCACACAGTTACATTTTTCTTTTATAAATAGAAGTATTTTTAGTTGTTATCGGAGACAGGAGCCCAAACTAGGTTACCCTGTGCTATAGGTCTCCTAACTCCTAAGTCTTGGCTTTATTACAATTCGATGATAATATACATTAAACATGAAGTGAGCGTTGCATGTTTAGATCGAATATAAGATTTCCAAAATGTAAAACGATAAAAGCCACATTGAATATATGTAGCATGCTATATGTTTGAAATAAATCTATATTGAAATAATATATATAAAATAATAAAATTATACATGTATAAAGATATAGGTATATTTATATATGGATACGTGCGTACGATAATTATAAGGTAGCCGTGACTTTCATACAAATAATTCGATATTTTAATTGATGATATGTTTTATTTTTAGATAACAACATGATAATGACTCCAAGTTTTATTTACCTACATTTAAAAAAATATATTGTCATTGCCCTAACTTACCATACACCTATTCTTTGGTTTGACCATAGGTCTGACTAAGTTGGCCCAATACACTGTCGAGCCACGAGTGGTTTATCTAAATTAATAAACCGAGGCTATTTGATTAGTTCCTAATGTTTTTTTAATTGTATGCTTTTTATCCGTATTATATTCTTTATCCTCTGATCTACATCTAATAATCTGAATCTGAATGACAGGGTGAGAAATTGTGTGATAAGAGAAGAGTGTAGTTTGCAAGATGATGTTGTGACCAGGATTAAAGAGAAAGGAATGCTTCGGTGGTTTGGTCATGTAGAAATAATGAATGAGGAAAGAGTGACAAAGAAAATTTATGTTGCAGAAGTGAATGGCAGAGTCGAAAAGGGACGTCCTAGGCGAAAATTTATCGACCAAATTGGCGATTCGGAAAATTAGGAGTAACCTTAACCGAAGAGCATGTATGCGTAGGTATATGGATGTGAAGAAGGCGAGAGAGGCGTGTCAGGATCGTGCCAAATGGAAGTCTGTAGTCTCTGCCTACCCCTCTGGGTGACAGGCGTGAGTGTTTATGTATGTACTATCCATATGATATTTTGATAGCAGTATCAGGTGGATTTTTGCGTAGCGAGGCGACACGTGCCGGTCCGCCTAGTATACGTTTAGCTTGGCTATACAAATTGTGAGGTGGTGGCGCGGTACCTGGCGTCGATCTCCTGCGCGATGCCGCCTACCATGCGGCGGTTGAGCACGAGGCTGCGCTCGTCGTCGCAGTGGATGGCGTCGCGCGCCGCGCGCACCAGGTTGTCCGTGGACCGGATCACCTCCGCGCCCGCCGCCTGCAGGCGCCGCGTCGACTCCGACGACGGGTCCGCCTTCACCTAAATACCGGCAACAAAAACAACATTTACAACCTGTAACCGTACCACGGCTGGCCACAGGTTTAAACTTAAATGAGAGTTATGGAAGGATTAATTCATCGTGCCAATTCAGTGTGTGTTGGTAGATTTCATACATATACCATCAAAATATTTATTCTAGAACATGCTGATTTCATTTACGACGGATTCCTTTACCACCCAGCACATAGTTAATCAACACTTTAAATTGCAATAAACAATTTCATTCTTAACGAATCGAACCCAGGTAGCTCGCGTACTGAAAGATTTTGGGGACGAGTGTTTACTACCCTACATTGAGTTGTCACAGTTGATCACAAAACAAATATTATTCCATTTCATAACCAGTTAAGTTCGCTTTTTAAAAAAAGAGATTGAATTAAAAAAAATTTCAGCTGCTAGGGAAGTAAATTACTACATATTAAGTAGCATTGTATACCATTTTTGTATGTAACATACAAAATATAACAACAACCATGTAACATTTTTGCAAATTTTTCTTTTGCCTGAAATAGTTTACCGAATATAAAAATACCGGGCCTTTTCCATTGCAGACAGCTTTTGTCAGTATCTGAAATTCTGAAGCCCCGTATATTTAATACTATTCCACGTCACCGATCTGGGTACTTTACGTCTGACATAAACTACTGCTATCTGTCGGAAGTCATGAGTTCTTTCTGAGGTTCAATCATTGATTTTGTCGATAATCTTAACAGCACACATCTTGCTAATTAACCATTTTGTCGTTCGACTAATTTCTAAAAATCTAAATTTTACAAACCAGTGCGGGGGAGCAACTTTTACAAGTGCAAAGGTGTTGGCTTTATACTAGTGATGCAACAGATGTTAACAATATTTTTTGGCAGAAACGGAAACAGAAACGGATGCGGAAACGGCAATACTACTTATAAAAAATTTACAAATAAAACTTTTAATAAATCTACAAAATGAAGTAGCGGTATGTTATATTTTATGAAAAGTAGTTTGGCCGTTTTTTCACCTAACAATCTGTTCCAGTATTCTTCATATATAAGTCCAGCTCCGCTAAATAATTGCTCATTGGCGATGCCGCGTATACACCAAAGCTAAATTAGCACTGAAGTATGGGCAGCCCCTTTAAAGAGCGACATTTAGGTTTAACGAGTAGGTAATTTAGTAGATCCGTAGCACGAAAGTACGACGTATACGAATTTTGAATCCAAAATACTCATTAAGGCCGAATAATACGACGCGAATGACCTTGCTCCTTTCGCAGCAAACCACGCGCCGCCCGTACGCTTTGTTTATATAGACATGTATAATATAATCAAAGCCAAACGGGCTTTGATTATATTATATTTGACTGAGCTAGCTCAGTGTGCAGAGTAATGAACAACACAGAGAGCATTGCTGACTTCTTAAATAAATCTTTCTTATTTATAATATTAGTACCTATAGATTATAAATTCTGTACTTTATTCGTTATAAAATATTGTTCGAAAAGTTATTGAATTGATAACAGTTTTTTTTTCTTAATTGGTGCATCGTACGGAAAGAACCTCATATAACTGAAAATTTTTGTTCTTGTGAGTCTTACAAGACGCCGTAATGCAAATTGCATAAATAATAAAGAAAAAAAAACTAAAAAGTCGGTGATTGCCCCATAATGGGGATGGGTACTGTGTATGTAAATTCTCACAAGACTACTCCGACTGGTCAATCACTTCACATCCGAAGTATTTCGGTTTTTCTTAATTATGTACTTACCCCATGCTTTCGGACAATACATTGACTATGACATTATTTACGGTCTCTGTGCTTGCACTACTCTGTACATTCTTTTCCGACTGGGTCTTGATATTTACATTTTTAGTGTTTCTTAAAATACAACATTCGAGCTGCGTTCATGCGATAAACTCTCTTTGTTTTACCACTTAGGTAACATTTATTTCTTTTCCTACCCATATTTACATTTATAGTCACTTAAACGCGTATAAAACACTAAATTAACGATTTTCGCTACAGACACACCGACTGTTGTTACCTTACGTCACACGTCGAAGCGCTTGGTAATTTATTACGGCAAACTTTTATCTGGCAATATACGATATTATTATTAGGTGTTTTTAATTAAAACGAATTATGTTAATAAATAATATTTTGTATCGAAAATAAAGACAGCAGGCACCTTCGGAATCACAATACAAACATTTTTACCTAAAAGAATTTTTCCTAAATTAAAATTCACAGAATTTTGGAAGAAGAATAATTTTTAAATATCATTTCTTAACATTTTTTTATTTGTTGATATATTCATTTATTTTAAAATTTTAAAACTGCGGGCACCTTGTGAAGGAACCGAACAAACCTACAAAAAATGTTTTAACGCTTAGAATTACTTCAGGTCAAAGTTGTAGTGAAGAGAAATACATTAAATTTCGCCAGTTCTCTTCGTATTCGGCCTCGTGTCTTTAAAAATAATTAATATAAACTTCACATAAAAAATAATTAATATAAACCTCATGTAAACATAACTGCTGCCTAATTAATTTTACAATTCTAAGTTGTAACAAAGGCATTTAGTAAACACTAGTTTTAACCGGAGAAAACACGTTTTAACTTAAAACGGGTTTTAACTATTACATAGGAATACATTTTATAAATAAACAGGTATGCAATTCCTTGACTGACCATTTATTTTTTAGTTTGCGATGAAAGTTTTACAGTTGCAAGTAACCTCTCAAACTCTGTAAACTTTTCGGCGTGTATCGCTTTAAGATAGCTCTTTAAAACGGTAGTTTTGCGGCCTTTTCGCACAATACACATTGTCACATAATTTACATCTGGCTGCTAAATCATCAATCTCAACATAATATGTAGTTCCACACAGGACTTACTTTTGGTTTCATGATTGCACATAAGTTACACACTCAAATTACTAATTAACTAAAAGGACAATAACAGACAATCTTACGCACTTACACTCGCGTCACGCCGTATAATAAAGTTAAAAAAGTATGTAAACAAACACGTTGGGACAAGTGCCCAGCTCGCTTGTGGTGGGCTGAAATGATCATCTCCGAACTTACGCGTACTCAACAATCAAACGATGCACGTACCTCATCCACTGCGTCACATGAGTAGATAAACGGAATTTTATCTACATATGTGGCTGCATTGCTGAGTTCCGTTCGAACTTCCGGAAACAGAAACAGAAACGGATGTTAAAAACCACGCAGAACTTCCGCAGTTGCGGAAACAGAAACAGAGTTCTGTTGCATCACTACTTTATACTCATCCGCCCACTTAGTAAAGTTAAGTATGGACAAATCTTCCAAGTAATCGTTCGGCAACACACTCTAAAGGTATTTTTTATAGGATAAGGGTGACAAACGCGCACACAGTCCACCTGATGGTAAGTGGATGCTGTGGCCCAAAGACATCTACATTTATCCTTGATTAAGAATCAAAATTCGGATGCGTTATCACCCTGAGGACCACGATGGAATGCCTCGTTTCCAGTTAAAAAAGTCTCCAGATCTCTACACTCACCATACGAAATACAGCAGTATTAAGGTGCTATTTTACACTGGTTGTCGATGAAACATTAGTTATTTTAGTAGAAAGAAAAGTAAATTGAAGCAACCAAAGGCATTGAGTGCGTTTGGCAGAAAAAAGCGCTAGCAAGCGCTCGTAAGAAAAATGGCGATCGTAAGCGGTAAGCCCTGTCAAATCGTAAGTAGCTATTTTCCTCTAGAACACGAAGTTAGTTTTAACCGGAAAAACTAACTTAATTTAAATATAGGTTTGTAAAGTTCATATTAAAAACTTACCAATCATGAATTTTTAATAATATGTATATGTCTATTCATGTCATTATATTACTTAAAACTAATATTGCACTAAACAACTTATAAACTCTACTTCAAAACAAACAAATTAAATAAGCAAAATGGCGGATTGAGTCAGCGCTACTGAAGTTAGCAAATGTGTACTGGCCGAAAACTGTTTAGTTTCGCCATTTTGCTTACAAGCGCTTGCTAGCGCTTTTTTCTGCCAAACGCACCCATTATCATCCTGCAGTAGACTACCACTGGAGAAAGATTTCTCCCAAGATGTGCTTCTAAGCCCGACTACTACAGCGCGTGCCCCGGACCGCCACCAGCCGCGCCGGCGACACCAGTCCCTCCGAGCCCTGCCCGTGGTCCGACACGTGCACGTACCTTGCAGGCGACGAGCAGCTGCGCGGTGGAGGAGGCGACCTGGCGCGCGCTGGAGATGAGGCGCTCCTCGGAGGCGGCGCCCTGCACGAGCGCGTTGGCCGCCTCCACCAGCGCGTGCGCCGCGGCCGCCACCAGCCGCGCCGCCGACACCAGCCCCTCTGACCACTGCCCGTCGTCGGACGAAAACGCCGGCCGCCGCGCCACCTTGCCCTGCGCACGTACATCAAGCCCCGCGCTACACTTCCGCTGCTCATACGCAACCTTACACTGACGCTATACACCAAGCTTCAGAAGTTACTTCTCACATCAGCCCGTGGTCTCATAGCCACAGTCAGTGCGGTCGTCATTGTTATCATCATATACATTATAGTTTGAAATTTTACTTTTTTTATAGAATATGGGTGACAAACGAGCACACAGTCAACTGACGATAAGTGGGAGCTGTGGCTGGTAATGGCCCATTAGCATCTAAATTTATACTCGATTAAAAATCAAAATGCAGATTCGGTGTGTCAACTGAAGAATTAAATGAAATGCCTCATTTCCAGTAAAAAGAGTCACCGCTTCTCTACACTTAACATACGAAACACAGCAACATTACGCTAGTATTTCTATGAGATCACGCCTACACTGGTCGAAAGTACCCATTCATCTACAACCATATTATAACTGCGATGTGGTTCTACCACAATAATATTATAAAAATTTAGAGCTTCGTTACTGCCAAAACAATGCTGTTTGAAGTTAAAGTTCTACTTATTAGTAATAAAAAAAAGTACAATAGTAGCGGCGTAATAACACGACTACCCTTATATCATCCCGTGGGTGTCGTAAGACAAAGCGAAAACGTAAACGCCCAGCGTTGCAACTATAGTAGATATCCCTCTTATGAGGCAGTCTATGGAATGATAATATATTCAACAGTGGACTTTTGATAAGCTAAAAGCTAAAGTTATTATGGTCAAACAGTGGTTAATAATAAAAATTCATTAAGAATGTTTGTATTCAAGAAGAACATGTACATTCCGATTACGATTCAGAATAATAACAGAAAACTTTGTTTTGCAGTAGACTGCTTAATGGTTAATGACAAGGATATTATGAATTAATTTACCACAAAATTTTACAGTTACCAATTTTCTTAACACAAAGGATCTTTTTATATAAGCCTTAAATTTTAATTCACTTAAATATAATTTATAGAAAATAACAACTGCTGTAAAAGTTACCCAAATTAACTCTTTGGTAATTTTCATAATCTGGATTCATGAATGTATCAAAGAAGAAATTATGAATTGAACAAATAATAACTTTTGAACATTTTTAGAAACTATTTTTCATCAGAATAACCAATGAAGTTGAAACAAAACATATCCATACATATACATATATATATCTCTTATGTATTAATTATAACGAAATTTTATTTATCTTATTCATACCTGATCAATAAGTTCACGTTGGGCTGCAGAGGCGGCGCGCACAAGTGCAGACGTGGCAGTGATTATGGACTTGGCCGCTTCGAGAATCATCTCGTCGAAGTTTAGACTTTCATCTGTCTCCTATAAAGAAATCATTATTTATAACAGCATGTAAACAAATAATAAATATAGGTAAACAAAAATATCACAGTTTTCAATTTTCGAGCTTCTTTCTTCGTAAAACTCGATGCTTTGGCTCACAGTCGATAGGTAATATGTTTGATTCCTGGGTGATACAGAAGATACAACCAAGAATATCAAACATATCTTACCGACATGTGGCATTCACAGTTCTTCTTTCTTGGAACTGGGGCATATTCTTGTTGATTCCAATTCACTTATTATACCACAACAACAATAATTTTACGAGTACATACAAATGTATTGTATTATAAAGAAAAATAATCAAGAAATAGCATTTGAACTATTTAGAAATTCCAAACGACTAAACGGGCAATAATTACACTAAAATATTAATGCCACTAATTATTGACACCGTTAATTTAATTGATAATATATGAAACTGAAATAATTATAATGACTACTCGATGTACATAGCAATTATAAATAATGTTGACTATTTTATAAGCAATGAGTACAAATAAGGTGGTTGCGCGGAAAACCATTCGTATTTATTTATTTGACGGTAGGCTTGCCAAATCGTTTATCCCTTTCCAAACGATATCATTCATACCCTCCTATCGACACATCGGAGTGGTGGGGTGGGAGGGGAAAGAAGATGATTCTAGAATATCACGTAATCATCGCAGCCGAAGGAATAAAGGGCACGCGCGGCCGACGCGCAACCTCTTCCCGCCGCGCTCGTCGTTGGAACCACACCGCCTAGGATAATAGTGTCCTAAAGAGCTCTTGCCCATGCCCACCGCTAATATAACCGCTTAGCCTGAAGCAGTCGAGCTCCAGGAAACCTGCCTCACCTCGTGTGAGATATAGTCGCGCACCGCCTCTCTCCAGAGAGTCTACCCAGAGTCTTCCAGAGTGTCTTCCAGAAGTCGCAGCAATATAGTGCCCAAGCCGCATGGAAGCAACACCCCGGTGAGTGAACATTCCTAATAGTTCCTGCTTGATATAATTGTGTTTAATAGTTAATCCGCTCCAATTTTATTTTCTCCTAATCAAGCAGGATTCCTTTCATAGATTTGGCAAATAATAGTTTGTTTTAGGGAAGAGCGAGTGCATTGTACCGCGTGCTATAGTCGCCATTTATGTAAACGAAGAAGCATTTCGCATATACAGTCCACTTTGGTTAATATCACGCGTAATAGGTTTAAGACTCGACCGGGGAATTGGACTTCGGTAGTGTTAGGCTCGTCGCTCCACCATAAGGTATTACAACCCTTTTTCAAAAAGTGTTTTAAATGAATCCTAGAGTGATTATGAACTACTATAACTTTTATATAGTTTTTTTTTAAACCGAACCATAAAATTACTTAATTTATAGTTTTTAATTTTCGCGCGAAAACGCTAGCCGCCATGCTGTAGTTCTTGTGACGTCATTGTCCTAGGATTTTGCAAAGGAATAAGATATTATTGGATGTTTAATAATGAGTTATCATCTTTAACATTGGTGTGTTATGCTTGAATGCAAAAATACGAGCATAAGAACGCCGGCGAAGTAATGGATTAAAGTGTCAACTGATGTAAATATGAGAAATACTTGGTTAAAACTGGCAAGAAGATAGAGACTGAAGAGAAGGCCCGAATAATAAATACATTGTTTACAAAAACTAGATTTTACTTCTGTGAAAATCATTTTGATGTAAGTATGACATTTTAACTGTCATTTATACACAACAAAACATAATGAGGTGATAGGTATTGCAAGTCAAATTTTGTGATATATTAGGTTATCTTAGATATTTTAATTTATAACTAATGATTGCTAATGATTATAATAATAGATAAACATAGCTGTGTATTATCGAAATTTACTCTGCCCTGGTATTGTGTTACTGCATAAATAAAAGTTGGTAATAGGTACTAACATTGATGTTTTAACATTCCTCAACTCGGCAGAACAAAAATCTGGATTGCAAGCAAAACATTTTGCTACCATCAATGTATTTATCCTTAGTGGATTAGTACTTTCTGTTGTTACGAGTCCGTCATCCATGATGCTTTTTCCATAAAATTCGGAATAAAACTAACTTGTAACGATAACTTGACAAATTTCGAAATAACACACAGCACATTACCTAGTTCCCTTAAACAGTGACGTCTCGACAGAAAATATGGCGGATAGCGTTTTGTAGATTTGAAGCACAGATTTAGAAGAATTATTCTTAAAACAGAATCATAAAATTTTTTATGAATTTTTATGAATAGAAATCAATATTTCTCGTTTACTCTTTACTAAACCTAACATAAATATATATTTTTTGATTTTTTTAAATGATCAAAAATACCCCATTATTTAACTACATAATCAGTTGTATCAGTTAAATAGTTTATAATTCACAAAAATATGATTAATAACTGAAACTAATAACAATAAGTTTTAGTAATATTAACAAATAAATATCAGAATATTTTCTTTGAGTTTTTTGTATCTTATATTATCTGTAGGTGTTATGGAATTTCAAATCTAGATATATTACCTGAAGTTGAGGCGGTTTGCGTGGTCGCAAAGCGTCCAGCTTCCGTGCAGCCGCATCGATGGAGGCTGCTGCCCCCAATAATTCTGCCTCAGCGATAACCGTGGGATCTTCTGGATCCACCCATTCAGATCCTGTACCATATGTGTCATGTTAGTGTTACGCGCTCCAGTCAACGATACACTAGCGCCATCTAGTGTCAGGAATGAGAGCGAGGGGAGCATTGAGAAAATGACATCACAAATCGCTCAACTGACAGCGCCTAGTCGAAACTCGAACGCTCGGTACCTTCCGCGTGTTTACTTGAACATTCTGGATATTTCTTTGCTAATTTAAATATATAGGCGCTGCAAGATGCGATCGAGGCAGTGTTGATTTGGGCGAAACAAGCGAAGCTTCGGAGTGGAATTAAGTGAATTAGTGTGTTTAAATTATTAGTGTTTTAACTTTAATTGTGTAAAGTAAATTAAAGTGTTAATTTAGGTAATTTTATCGGCAATTTTTATTGTCACGAACCTCAAGCTCGTAACAATTGGTGTCAGAAGTGGGATAAAATCATGCCGATTTTACCTAAGGAGGAAACGGAGGGTGTCCGTACCCGAAGTCAACGCCAGCAGGAGACGGACCAACGAAGATTTGGTGGTGCAACGCCGCAGACGTCGGAGGACCAGCCACCGGCTGCAGGCCCGTCGGTAGCTCCTACATCTGCAGCACCTGACTTAGGTGCTCTGATGGTGATGCTGCAGGAACAGGCTCGCCAGCAGGCGGAACAGGCACGCCGATTGGAAGAGCAGCTGCGGGGCGGACAGGATGAACAGGCCCGCCGACAAGAGGAACAGGCCCGTCGGTTGGAAGAGCAGATGCTTCTCATGAAGGACCTTCACGCTACCTTCGGGAAAGAGATAAGGGAGGTGAAGGATAGGGTTGCTCAGCATGACAACCGCCTGTCGGAAGCTGAAACCCAAATCGCGAAAGCTGAAACCCGAATCGACCAAGTGAACAATCGGGTTGACAACGTAATGGCTGACATGAAGAAATCACTGGACGAACTCAAACTTGGAGATGGAGCTACAGCTCCCGTAATAGCTACAACACCTTCGCTACGTGGGTTCAAGGTGCCACCGTTCGACGGTACCTCTTCCTGGTCGGCCTACAAAATCCAGTTCGAGGCCGTCATGGAGGCGAACGGCTGGAATAAAAGCCAAGCCATGACTGCACTCACCCTAGGCCTGCGCGACCAAGCCTTAACTGTGTTGGAAGCTCTCGGTAAGAAAGTGACCTATGAGCAGCTTCTTGAGGCCTTGGAAGCGAGATATGGCGACGCTCATCTGGAACATGTCTTTCGCGCGCAGCTTAAAGATCGCGTGCAGCGCAGCAACGAAAACCTGCAGCAGTGGGCCCTTGAGGTGGAGAAGATGGTTCGAAAAGCATACCAGTCTGTACCTGCGCTCATTGAAGGGAACCTGGTTCAGACATTCATCGACGGCATCCGCGACCTTGAAGTCAGAGCTGCTGTGAGACTCGGACACCACGACACGCTTAAGAATGCCTTGGCCCATGCACTGGAGGTGGAAGCCGTGCGGCAGGATCATCGTTCCCATCGCGTCAGGGAGGTTGCAGCAGTTACAGTTCGCGATCGCAACAGAGGATACAGCCCTAGGTGCTATGGCTGTGGGGAAAAGGGCCATCTTCGATCCAGCTGCCCTAAACGAACCGTGGAAAGGAGAGTTGATCGATCTCGAGAGGGTAGTGCAGCTAACGCCACTGCCTGGCGGCGACAGGATCATCGTTCACCTCACGCTAGGGAGGTTACAGCAGTTACGGTTCGCGACCACAATAAAAGATACAGCCCTAGGTGCTATGGCTGTGGGGAAAGGGGCCATCTTCGTTCCAGCTGCCCTAAGCACACCCTAGGAAGGGAAGGTGAACGGTCTCAGAAAGGAAGTGCGGCTAACAGCACCGCCCAGCAGCAGCAGGAATACGACTTCACTATCAGACACTGCAGCGGGAAATCTCACGGCAACGCAGATGCATTGACAAGAAGACCTTGTCCTGAAGATTGTAACCATTGTAGTAGGCAAGAGAGTAAGGAAGTGGTATCCGTGAGGATGTTCAGGACAGACCACCTCAGCAACGGGTGGAAGGACAGCCTACGACATGCACAGCAGGAAGATCCGGACATCAAGCCGATTCTGGGATGGATGAAGGCCCGTGCTACCAAGCCTAAGTGGAGGGACGTCTCAGCGATGAGTTCAACCACGAAAAGCTATTGGGCCCAATGGGACAGCTTGCTGATTCAGGATGGAGTCCTGTGCCGTAAATGGGACAATGGTCGAAGGGACAGCTGTCGTTTGCAAATGGTTGTCCCTAAAGCTAAAGTGCCGAATGTTCTATAGTTGTGCCATAATGATCGTTCAAGAGTCCATCTGGGAGTTAAACGAACTCTACTGAAGTTCCGAGAACAGTTTTAGTGGGTCCATTATCGTGACGATGTTGAGGATTGGTGTCGTACATGTACAAGTTGTGCGGCCGAGCGGGGACCTCGGACACGTAGTAGAGGAGCACCGAAATTGTACAATGTTGGTGCACCACGGGATAGGACAGCCCTTGACATTGCGGAGCCGTTACAGAAAGGCGCAAGAGGGACTCCTAAGATCGTCCATGTGAATCGCTTGGCGCGTTATTATGGGGCCGATAATGCTCGGGACGAGCATGTCTTAGGAGGGGGCAGTGTTACGCGCTCCAGTCAACGATACACTAGCGCCATCTAGTGTCAGGAATGAGAGCGAGGGGAGCATTGAGAAAATGACATCACAAATCGCTCAACTGACAGCGGCTAGTCGAAACTCGAACGCTCGGTACCTTCCGTGTGTTTACTTGAACATTCTGGATATTTCTTTGCTAATTTAAATATATAGGCGCTGCAAGATGCGATCGAGGCAGTGTTGATTTGGGCGAAACAAGCGAAGCTTCGGAGTGGAATTAAGTGAATTAGTGTGTTTAAATTATTAGTGTTTTAACTTTAATTGTGTAAAGTAAATTAAAGTGTTAATTTAGGTAATTTTATCGGCAATTTTTATTGTCACGAACCTCAAGCTCGTAACATTAGTATAAAAGTAAGCATGAGTTTTGAACGCTGGACAATTTTGGTGGGGCTAGTTTGGACAAACAATTTTTTTGGAGATAATTATTCAACCGAATTTATTATATAATGATGATAAAATATAATTGTTCATTTTATTGTTAATTATAGATTGTATGGTGGTTGTAGCAATTATAGATTACTGAACAGACAAAGAATAAACCGTGAGTTATATCTGCTATATCTAACATTATAGTCATGAATCTTAAGGGAGAGAGGAAAAACCTTTAAGTCAACGAAATACGTGTGTTGCTAATGCCATTTCAAATTTTTTTACGTGGTAGAGCCATGCTGCAGTTATATTAGTAGTATAGTTGTAGCACGAATGGGTCGGCTCGACCGGGGAAGGACCACGCTCTCACAGAATACCAGCGTAAAATAGTAGCTTAATGCTGCTGTGTTTCGTATAGTGAGTGTAGAGATCCGGAGACCCTTTTTATTGGAAACGAGGCATTCCATCTTAATCCACGGGTGACAACGCATCTGCATTTTGATTCGGAGTCGAGGATAGATGTAGATGTCTATGGGCCACAGCAACCACTTACCATCAGGTGGACTGTGTGCTCGTTTGTCACCCTATCCTATAAAAAACGGCTCGGCTTGAACAACGCGTTGCGACGTCTGCCGACGGCAAAACAAGGGGTTTGCCGAAGTCATTCATACGGTAGTAAGTAGCCAAACGTCCACGTCGGTGTTTTACTGCAGTTTATCTGCAGTCGAACGGCGCAGACGATGGCTGAACAGTGTCGGATAACTGTCGACTCGAATAGGATGATAGAGTAGGATGAGTCGACTGCCGAACAAATGTAAACAGCCGTCGTGTCAGCCGTTTTAAAGAATTGACTGCTGAGTGCAAGTGAACAGCGGTTGCGACGGCATTTAGAAAGAGTCGATTGTCGATCGCGAACTGCCGTCGCAACAGCTCATCGGCGTTAAGTCGATTAGTATGGTGATTCGCATGCGGTTTAAGACGCTTCCGCGTCCATAAATGTGGGGACTACTTAAATAATGAACTTCGACAATAATTTTGGTATCAACATAGTAAATTCTGGTCTAGTGTGTTAGATTGATATAGCGTGCTTGTTCGCGCATCGTCTCATTCCCGCTAATAATAAAAATAGTTTAAAAAAATTAAAGCTCATAAAATAAAATTTCATAAGCTTTTCCTATACATTGCTTTAGCAGCAGTTTTTTATAATTTCTAGTTGATAGTAAAATGTTGTTGCTAATCTCTTATTTCAGTAATTTTTTATCGCCTCTTAGACGATATGGAGTAGTGAATATTCTTATACTGCTACTATGCGGTTACCGTGGAAAATACTCGAAGTAAAATACAAAGCGTTTGGACAGGGAATTTTAATTTAACGACATCTGTGGGAACTACGGTTAAGAAACTTCTTGCAGTGTGTTGCGTACCCTTGAGCAGCTCAGCGACGGCGAGCATGTCGGCGACGGCGCGCGCGACATCACGCGAGAGGTCGGGCAGCTGCGCGCGCGCCGCGCCGCCGGGCGCCGCCAGCACGGCCTGTAGCAGCGCGCGGAACGCCTCGCCCACCGCGCGCGTCGTCTCCAGCGTGCGCGCGCGCAGCTCTTCACTCTCCGCCGCGTGCGCCGCGCCCTTTGCACACACACACAACACCCACTTATGGCTATGTCACACACATCGCGATACAATTTCGCCGATAAAACCTGGCCACACTACCCGTTGTAAAGTTTATCGCGATAAATAACGCTAAACACAAAACAGACGCCACGGTCGCTTGTTTGACATCGAATAATAATTTTTTTACTACGTTTTTGGCAACAGGGAACTGTGGGCTGCCTGAAGTGTGGCTGCACAAGCGAAATTTATCACAATAGCGCGGATCAATGTGCGAGAGTTTATCAATTAGCATTTTTAAAAATCCACTATGTGAAAACCGAATTCATGCAGAAAAAGTCCTTTGAGTAAATTAAAATTAGAATTTAAGAATTATTATGACAGAAAACTTGTTTTATAGAATAAGTGTGACGAAAGGAGCATACAATCCACTCGACGATAAGTGAAGATTGTGGTACAAAAACCTACATTTATCCTAGATTACAAATCAAAACGTAGACGCATTGTCACACGAGGATTACGATGGAATGTTAGCTTCATTGATACAACGCACATATACTCAAGGTTATCTTAACATAAAAATCGAGGAATGTTCGGTTTGGCGGGTAAGCTGAGGTAGCAGTACCTTAGCGGCTTGCATCATGTCGACGACGGTCTTGCGGCCGAGGTTGGCGGCGGCGGTGAGTTGGTCCTGGCTGCCGGCGCCGGCCGCGCTGCCCGCCGCCACGGCGCGCGCCGTGGCCGCCGTCATCAGGCGCGTGCAGCGCACCAGCTCCTCCGGGGTCGCCGTGCACTTCGGCGCAGACGGAGACATCAACACCTGCCACACACAACATACACGTCTATCCTGGGAAGAAATCCTCTATCGTGGGAAGAAGTAGTAACAAGTCCAGACAGCCAGAATTTTAATTGATATACAAATGTGCCGTATATGCGAACCTCAATTTCCTGGGAGATAGCTTCAATGGTAGACTCCAGTGCTCTTGTACCACGTGTATGCTCATCTTCTACGGCCTTGACAGTCTTTAGGAGTGACGTCACGTTGGTCACCATAACCTGTAAACGAATTACGAGTAATGTACGAGTACTAATATATGTAAGTAATTCTCTTATCAATTATTATTAGTAATTATTGAAAAGCATAACTTAACTTGCACTTCATGTATATTGTTATAATGTGTTGATTAATAACTAACAATTGTTTCATAACCATTGTAGGGTAAACCAGATAACATTATATTTGCCCTAAATCCTACACCGAAGCAAATGTCAATGTTTATTGAAACAAAAATATAGCATGGTAGCAGGTAATTGTCAATATTTTTATTTCTTCAATTATTATTAAAATTAAAAAGCATAACCGTAACCCAAGTATTATATAAAGAAAATTAAGGAGCATAAAATGTTTACAAACGACAGAAAAATATACACATGCTTTTAATTTTTTGTTCAATTATTCTTAATATGGATTAGGATTGTTTGTTACAATGAAACTTGGATATGTGAGAAACCTTTGTTATTGATAATTACAATGAGGTCCCAATACATTTGCATTGAAATTTCCTGGAAATTTTCAAATCTTGTTAACTGAGATTAGACTTCATAGATTTTTTTTTCGGTATTTACCTCTGTAACTGGGACTTCGCAGCTCTATAAACCGTATAAGTGAGATAATTTTTAAGGTTTAGACAAGTATGGTATTCTTTTACAATTAACTAATTTTTTCCATACGTGCTTGGTTTATCAGTACTATCTCCTTATATGATCAATGGTACATTTCAGCCTCTTATAGTAGGACCTCCTATAGATAAGACAACTATCATGTTAAACTGAATATTTGGGAAACTTGGTAAATGAAAAGCATTTTTAGGTGATAAAAACTTCTAGGTCCCTTGAGATACCAGATAACCAGGATTCACTGTATAAAATAACTAAGATAATGAAATGGGTGTTGATAATAATAAGTTAGAGTAGTTGTTACATTACATAATAGGAAAAAATACATAAATAGAAATGACAATTTGTTTAGGGTTTTATAGTCATAGCACAAAAAATAACATTATTAGAAATATATCTAAAATAAAGCACAACTATGAGAGATAAGCCTTATTTTGTTCATCAGAACTAATATGTTACTTGGTTTACTATGGGCAGATCAAATATAAATTTAAATAAAAGCTTTGGGTTGCCAACGAATATGAAAATTGTATCGATGGGCGATAAAACATATTAATCCCAATGCGAATGCAGTAAAATATAAAAGCTCATGCCGTAGCAGGAAACCCAAAAGCTTTCAACCATAATAATAAACGAAATAAAATAAATATACTAGATATATAAAGCTGACCGTGTGTACGTCAATATTGGACTTTCAAAGCTTCGCTGTGGGGGTGTATAATAAATGAAAGCTTGTGGTTTTGAAGTTAATTTTTTGTAATATCAAGCGGCGATCTGAGCCACCAGGTACCGTGAAATGAAGGAAAGGCTTAACGTTTCTTATGAAATGTGTTTAGTGGTATAGTTACGTGTTAATGGCAAGGACCTAAGGTCGAAAATATCATGCCACACACACAGAGAGCGACACATAAACAAAACTAAACACATTTCTAAATCATATGATTGTCACACCTGAACTGAAAATGATAGGTTTGTATTGATGTCTTAAGCATAAGATGTATAATTTGAACGTAAATTTATGTTAACCAATAACAGACTTTTTATAGATATACAAACATATGTTTAAGACACCAACGCGTATATTAAAAAGAAAAAGAACGACAACAATGATCCGATGATCCAAACACCAGACAACATGACAAGCGAGTCTTCTCCACACCATGCGATCCATTGCGTGCTCTGAATGACTTGTTTGTTAGCCGCGGTGCACGGTCGGTTAATATAAAGGCTATTTGGAAATCTGACCGAGTCATTGTCGCGCGTCGTCACATCCTCGCTCTCGCGGAATCTGCTATTCGTTATCTCGTCCAACATTCTAAGCTGCTCCTCCATTCGACTGTTAGGTCTAGATCTTCTTGTACTGTTTATGTACTCCATAATAGCACGAATTCTTTTTAACTCTTCTTCAGAAGTCTCTTTTTTGTTGAGTATTGCTTCATAAAAATTCCACCAATTATCAATCGTACCGAATTGCTGCTCTCTGTTTTTTAGAATGTCTTCGTAAATCGACCACCAATTATTAGCGTAGTACTCTAGGGGATACGTACGAGTCATGTCAAATATTTCTATATTATTTTTTGATTCTTGCTTATTTCTTTTTAACCGTTCCAGCGTATCTCCGTTAGTTATGACCGTGTTGCTGTAATGATTTACATTTTTAGTTAAATTTTGACTTGAATGAACATTTAAAATTACGTTTCTATGGAATGGAGGAGGCTCAAACTGCCTTTCCTCTCTAATAGAAGATGGAATATTTGTAACTTTAGGTTTTAGATTTTCCTTTTCTTTAAATTCATTTTCATGTTTGTATTTTCTTATAATTTCTTTGTAATACTTTTCAAGTAAGCATAATTCTTCGTATGTATATTTTGATACATCGATTTGGCTGTAAATGTTTATAATGTCTTGGATGCGCACAACTTTTTTCTTCTTCCCTTCAATTTGCACGTTAGACAAAGCCTTTAACTTTTCGATAAGCGGGTCGAAACCTTTGTAGATGAAGTCTTTCTTTGCAAATTCAATTAACTTTAATACAATATCTTCATATTTCTTATTATATTCTAAATCCCTATTGATGGCTTTGGATTTATCGACTTCCTCGATAAATGTTTGCAGTGTCACTTTCTCCTTTTCATATTTATCCATTTCAGTTTTTATTTCTCCCAAAACTAGCTCATGACCGCTAAAGCGTTCCAACTCTCGTCTTGTCTCTTCCATCTTTTCTAAATTTCTTTTAGCTAAAGCTTTCCACCATTCAGTGTCGTCTTTAAATAATTTCCAAAATTCTAATTTGACCTCTTTACTTCTAGATTCAGGTCTTACAATAATTTCATCAGTTTCATCTTTTTGTTTTTGTCCAGGGCTTTCAGGCTCAGAGTTTGTCATTTCGGGACTTTTTGTATTTGAATCTGATTTATCTACCAAATTTACGGGCTTCACTTTTTTTACTTTAAATATTGTGCTTTTTAATGATGGTGCCTTTTCTGGCGTTAACCGTTTTATCGGTAGGGAAGTCTGTATTGTTTTGATGGTACTGGTTGTAACTTCTTTTTTAATCGGTTCTGAAATTATTATTTCTGAGTCAAGATCTTCTATAACTTGAGATAATCTGTTCATTTCGTTATCCAAATCAGATGATGCTTTCATTATTTTTAGTGTATCCTGTTTTCTTTTAAATTCTTGTTTTTCACATAGTTGAATAAACTTATCTATTAACTTTTTTAATTCACCCAAGAATATGTTTTCGCCGTATTTCAAAACCCTCCAGTCCATGTCAAAAATACTGTTTCGCGAAGTTAGATTGTATCGAACATTCAAATCGTCATCTTTTAAGCTCTTTTCTGGGACTTCCACCATCAGGCCTTCAATATATGCTATTGCTTCCTCGCAATTATCGTGGAATATGGAAGGAGAGACATCGTCATCTTGACTAGAATAGTCTAGAAGCTTGATAAGTTCTTCTTCTTGATCTGATTGGAAAATATCAGTTTCTGAGTCGCAAGAATTGTAGTCGGACCTTAGACCGAGGTTTACAGAGCACCTTTTGGATTGGCGCGGCAATGTGTTAGTTTTGATGGGTAGACTCCAGCGCTTCGTAGGATCGCTCAGCCGCTATTGGAAAACCGTGAATAAGTCGCGATTAAAGTCCAATATTGACAACATACAATGCATAATAAACAGACATAGGAAGGGGACAAAAAAAAAACAATGTATAAGGCATTTCAATTGCGTAAGAAATAAATTGCATTTTTATCAATCGCTATGGTACGAAACCTATTAAAATATAAGTAAAGTTTGACATAATATGTATCCAGTTGACATATTTCTGTAAATATTATATCATACATTAATGAGTCATGTGACAATTCAAAACTGCAATAGGTACACATAAAAGTACACTCAGCAATGTTAGGAAAAGGTGACATAGTCAAAATTTTCCTGGATATAAACATTTGCGATTGTATTATTGTGAAGTGATAGTTGTAATTTCTAAATTTTTTATTTATATACTCTACTATACCAGTATAATTTCTAATATTTTGTTAAGGTGTGAAGAGGCACAAGTAGGATTAACAATATTGAAGTAACAGGAGTGTTGGAGGCACACATTAAACCAATGAGTTGTTACGAAGACGCAATTTTTGTTACGATTATTTTTATTTTATTATTATTAAATATTTTTATTAGACAAGTTGGTGAAAGAAAAGCTTTCTCATGGTAGAAGTTTACTAACTTTGAAGTAAGTCTTTTCCACTTTGGGTAAGTGCAATAACACAAATATTAACTAACTAAATTTCAACTAACGTTTTTTACATAAGTACTATCAAATTTTATAAACGTAAACACTAAACTTTATCATTATAATAGAAAAATGTTTAAAATTATTGGAATTTAATTTTATTTGGAATTGTGAATTTTTTATTTGGAAATATTTTGTGCAATTTTTGACATATTATGAAAGAATAAACTTCTATTGGCATCGATAATTTACAAGCTTGAAACACAATCTAATGAGATGGAGGTGTGTGATTATGAGGTTACGATATGTGTATATGTGCCTTGACATACACACATCGTAACCTCACAACCGGTTTGAAGCGCTGAATCGGGAGATAGTATCGGCTATATATTCTTTTACAATAGGTAATGCAATGTTTCAGAGTTTCTGTAGTATTTATGTGATACGGTAGTATGTGAATATCATAGAATACTATATAATACACAATAGAATGGCTGTCAACCCTATTTTGTACGAGGATCAGCGTCACCGAGAACACACGTACAAGCAATAACGTCGTATTATCACTACTACAAACCCGATTCGCTGTGTTGACAGACTGATATAAATTTACACATTTTAGACTTTTGATTAATGTTCAAGATCATCATAAAAAGTCGTTTAAATTTTAATACATATTTATTTGTAAATAGTGTACAATTTGGCATTTTTAAATAATTTACCTGCGAAATTTGGAAACGATTGTAACGTCAATACACATCTCGTGTTGACATTAATACGTGTGAATTGACATGTTAGTGACATTTTAGTGGCTACACGGGCTCCGCCCACTCCTCCGTTCTATTATGTATGTATTATAGTATTCTATGGTGAATATCAAGATTGGCGTGTGGGCGTGAGAAGGCGGGAGTTTATGTGTGTACGTGCTTAAGGCGCCACTTGCCGCTAATATAGACAGCGTTGTAAGTGGGTTACCTTAAAAGTTTCAAATGTGATACAGTGGCGTGTGAATATGTGTGACCGGTGCGCGGAAATGAGTAGCCGTACGTGCGTGTGTGTGTACGCAGGTGGTGGTGCGCGTACCTTGGCGGCGTGCTTGAGGCGCTGCATATCGGGGTGCGCGACGTGCTTGCCGCTGGCGGCGGCGGTTGCGGCGGCCAGGTCGCGCAGCGCGGCGGCCGCGTCGCGCGCCGCGTTCAGCACCAGCACCTGCGGCTCCGCGCTGCCCGCGCCCAGCGACATCGCGCCCTGCTTCACCACCTCGCACAGTTGCACTGCACACACGCGACCGTTTATCCAACTCAGCGTCCTAACTTCAATGCCCTAACGTACAGCTCTATAGGAGGCACCCGAATGATGTTTTGTGAAACTACACAACACAAGATTCCAATTAATGTACGTTTCACACTTAAGGCATACCTCACCATACATACATTACCGAAATAATCACTAACTAATAACAAATCTTCGAGCATGCATAAATGAGCTATTCTACATCAAAATTTTATGAACCAAAGTTGCCTATTTCTTAGATAAATTTATTATGAGACAGTTATAAACTTTAAAAGTATAAGTTCATAATTCTTCTTTCAGCTCATTCACTTTCGAATATACAACAAATGTCAAATTAGCTTGTAGAGTAACTGTTTAAATTTGTTCACTGGATACAGTGATTAGGTTGACTTGCAATTTATTTACCGTAATATAATATTTGTCAAAGATATTAAATCTATACTAGGAACTTAAACACAAACCTATAGTTCTAACAGCACTCTGAGCAGCGGAAGCAAGTTGTTCCTGTGTGCCGGCCGCTCCGCCCACCAATGTTTTAGTGTCTTCGACCAAAGTTTTTGCAGTTTTCAGAATATTCTCACGATGATTGGAGAACGTATCGCCTTCTTTGTCCGAATGTAAAGTACCTGAACAAAAAATAATAAATTTATATTCCAAGAGTTTTAAACTCGAATATCTAAAGAGCCATTTGCAAAATTTGAATATTAGATCGACAATATCTTCAGTACCGATGGGTAGAAGCAAGTTTTGTACAAATGCGAGTCGTTTAGTACTACGATTGCCAATCCACCAAAATAAGCTCGGTGATTGCGATAAATCTTGCATTATGCTTAACCATTTAAATTCAATGTTTTATTATTTATTTATTTCTTTGTTTAGATAAGCAAGAGCTCTTATGAATAAACAATAATAATAATACTTAAATGATTATTACAGCCAACCATAGGTTTCCCTAAATAAATTATGTTTAATGTAGGTTACTTTAAATTAAAATTGCAATTTTTAGAATGAATTAAATAAAAAAGTAAGTGTTGTCTTGTTGCTTTTTTGACATTCTGGCGTCAATTATTTGAATAATAACAAGTAAAGCCAGGGTATAAGATTTACTACAGGTTTCACTTACCGGCGCTGGCGAAAAGTATGGTGGTGTCCAAATCGCCAATAATAGTGGCGATGGTGGCGGCCGCGTCTATGCAGGCCTGCGTGCCGCGCGAGCCCGCCTGAAGCGCGCTTAGCACCGCCACCACCTGCATTTTGTTCACACATTATGTTTACGTCTGTGTGACATACTAAGTGATAATTAAAGTTTTTAAGTTACTGTTGACTTTCGGTCAATTATATGACATCGTTAAAATAAAACAATAAAACATGTAGGTTTTGTTTTGACCCTTCGTTCTTATTCGTACTTCGGTTTCTGAATAAATTAAATATAATTTAATCCACATAAGTCTATATAATCAAAAAGTGATAACATGCATATTATTATATATTATAGAAGTTCTGATTTTGTAACTATCTTGCACTGATTTTTAACTTTCTACCGTCGGTCTTCTTTTTTCATAATAAGAAAAAAGACATATTATGTCTCTCCTGTATTGTATACAATACTTTTCACCTACAATTACAATAGATTTTGATTTTTGTATATACTCGTGTTTTATCTGTTATTTTTTAAAGAATAGCCAAATGTTATATTTAAAACTAGAAATGTATAATGATGTTGCAGTTTTTGAAAATGCGAATAAATAAGGTTTCTACTTTTATTTGAAATTATCCCAAACAGCATGTGATTTATGGGCTATAACTACGCGTACGCGCGCTCCTCTGTAAGCGATTCAATCCACAACATTTTGACCAACCGATTGACCCTTACGAATGTTTGCGTGCGTAGTAAAATAGTAGGCACGCAGTCTGATGTTGTTTCTGAATGTTTGAGCTTTTTTTAAATAACTTTTCTTCACCATTTTCCTATATTACTTATTCCAAATTTTCGCCAAATTTGGTCGTATATTGTAAAATAAGCTTGATAACTTATCGTGATAAAGACAGTTCTCTATAGAGGTTCTAGTGTTCCCTGTGCTTAGACTATCTTGTGCTCTACAGGCTAGCGTTTTTAATTACATGTTTTGTTAATAAAATTGTAATGAATGGTTTTTTCTAATAAATAGCAAGCGTACCTTCTCGTTTACGTGGCGCGCGGCGTCGGCGACGGCGCGCTGGTTGTGTGCGACGGCGGACAGGCGGCAGGTACCGCCCGCGCGCACCAGCTCCGACACCGCCTCGCCCAGCTCCACCGCGCATGTGCGGATCCTTCAACATTCAAGCACGCATTTATTAGCTCCGCGCGTCTATCTTATCTATCTATGTTGTGCAATCTTTTAATGTAACTTTCATCAACTTGAAGATGGCCGAAGGCGCTCAAAAATGTGCACTCGCTTGAAGGACCAATGACAATACAAGAATTTTATAACTTTATCCTAGTGTCCTGATCAGGATCACCAAGATAATTCTCTCTAGAATCATCACAGCTCATACTAAATGCGTGTTTTTTTTTTTCAAGTTTTCTTAAATTTTAATATTAACATGTCAATACTAATGTAATTTTAAATGGGGAGGAACTGAGTCTTGTTGATACCACCATTTTTCTTGGAAATCACACTGGACGCAAAGCTTCAATGGCTCCCCCCATATATCAAAACTAGCTAGCAGACTTAGTTCTGCAGCATATGCTGTAAAAAAAGATTAGAACTCTTACCAGTGTTGAAACAGCTAGAATAGTTTACTTTAGTTATTTCCATAGCATTATGTCGTATGGTATTTTGCTATGGGGACACGCGACTGACACTGAAATTATATTTATTTTACAGAAGAGGGCCATTAGAGCAATATATAATTTAAAACCAAAAGAGTCACGGAGACAAAAATTTAAGGAAATTAATATATTAACCCTGGCCTCTCAATACATTTATGAAAATGTAATGTACGTACACAAAAATAAAAGTAGTTTTGCGAAAATAGGTGATATTCATTCTGTAAATACTAGGAGCAGACACAAGCTAGTAGTACCAGTTACTCGACTCCACCGAGTCAGTAATTCATTCTTGGGGCGATGTATACGCTTTTACAACAAAATCCCAAAAAATATACAAAATTTGTCATACACAAAGTTCAAAAATGTTATTAAACTAAGTTTGTATAAAAAGGGTTATTATAATATTAAGGAATTTATAGATGATAATAACCCCTGGGAAGGGTGATCGCTACAAAGCTATTTCTAATTTGTCTTGTGTTGTTAATTGTAAACATGATTGTAAGCTATTATTAAAAAAATAGTCCCGCTGGGTTTCTTGCTGGTTCTTCCCAGGACAGAGGTTTTTTTTGCGAACCAGTGGTAAATTAAAAAAGTGACTTTCAATAATTATTTTTATAATCTACATTGAATAAAAAAGTTTCTATTTCCATTTCTATTTCTATTATTTGTTGTGTGTTATGTGTCTCGTTGCTCTGGTGGTAGTAAACGCGACTGCGGATCATGAGATCCCAGTAAAGTAGTTACAGCCTACATAGGCAGGAGGGGAGGCACAGGCCTCCCGTCATTTCTGAGAGGGTTTTAGTGTCCGCCGCGCTGCCCCAATGCATGTTGGCGAACTTCACATGTCTTCGAAATTCTTTCTTATTCCTCAGACATGCAGGTTTCCTCGCGATTTTTTCCTTTACCGCTGAGCACGTGGTAAATCAGTGCTTAAAATTGCAATTAACAATTTCATTGGTGCCGGCGGGGACCGAACCCGGGTTACTCGCGTTCTGTTATATTTACAGCGAGCGTTAACCATCTGAGCTACCACGGCTCATGAGATTCCAGATCCCAGGTCGAGCCAAATTACATATATATATGCTAGGATTTATTTTTAGAAAATGTTTTTTGTCCGTCTTTTCAGGCAATGAAAAACTGCTACAATACAAGAAGGTAAATTTTGACACTGTGTTAATAATCGTAATAGCTCAAGTGGATATCGAGCAGCGTCGAAATCTTAATGCCTTGGTTCGCGTCCCGTCTTCGGTCCGGTTTTTTTCCTTTTTTTTTAAAGTTACCTTCTTTTGTGAGAAAATCTATTATTTCGAGCCCTTTTTTTAGTATTTTTTAAAAATACGAAAATTTTAATTAAACTAATTGCACTCATGATTTTTTATTCAAATAACCAGTTCAGTTTTTTCTATTATGTCAATAAGATCAAAAAATATTATTCACCAGTATGTAATTTGTATCTAAATGTAATTTCAAAATAAAAACCGAGCAAAGCTCGGTCATCCGGGTACTATATATTATATATTGTTAATATTGTCAATCGTACCAATAATGATGAATATTGTCAATGACCACAGTAATGAACTATAAAGCTCACCTGTTGGCGATGTCTGCATTCGGCGTAGTGGCGGAGGCGCCCAGGCTATCTCCGGCCAGCTGCTCGTACTTGCCACACATTTCATTGCCCACTTCCACCAGGCGACTAGGCTCCGTTGCAGATTTAGCCGTCTGCGAAAAATATAACATCAATATTATCTAAAAAAAAACCTTAGCAATGTAAACATAGCACTCCTAATCGAAAAAAATAGAGACTGATATATATTTAGATATTGAGAATATATATGTATACAAACTTTTTTGATAATAAATGTTTTTAACTAAAAGAATAAGACAATTAAAACATTTTAAAGACTATTTTAAATCTTCCGTTGACTTTTAGTAAAATTCCAAAGTTATTCCAAGCCTATATACTAATGTACCAAGGATAGTTTAGTGTTTACACACATATTCTGAATAAAGAAATTGATTAATTACCATATCTGTGGCCAGCCGTGCTATATCCTTCGCGGTTCCCACCATCCTCGTCTGGTAGTCGACGAACGAATCCGTCTCATCGAACGATCCAATTAGTGACATCCTAAAGTGAAAGACAGTCTTAAATAATTTATTTCTTGAGTTACACTTTAAAAACAAGTAATGTAAGACAAAATGCAACAGCTCTAGTTGTAAATAATTCTACAAACTAAACCCACTGTGGTTCACTAAGGTGATAAATTCAACACTCGTCAGAAACACACTGTTCATATATTTCTACGAAACTTCGTTAATTTGCAATTCGATAATTAAAAACTAGAGTCATATGGAGGATACACACATTTTTTTCATCTTCCCAAACATATAGACAAGCGATCTTTAATGAACGTGCACACTGCGTCCGAAAGTCTGCAGTCTGTTTGAATACTAACAGTATATGTCGTAATATCTGTTTATAAATGAACTTTCTTAAATAACGTCATACGGTTTTCATGATCAATGATGAAATAGTAGTATTTTTTAAATAATTACAGTGCCTCAGTTTGATTTAGTGTTAGTTCTATTATAATGAGGATTATGATACTTATAACACTATATATAAAAACAATACGAATTTTTAGTAAGGGCGAAGAAGTATTCCCTTTGGTGTTTAATCCATTGTAATAAACATAATCTTTGACATAAAAGAAGAAAAGCTAGAAGACCGCAACTTTTACTTGATAACCGACGGAGACGGCGAGGCCACGAACTGGCGTAGGTGACTTCAATTATCTGCATTCAATCATTAATCGTTTGGACGAACGCCAACTTATAAAGCCGATACTCAATATTAAACGTCGATGAACTAAGCTTTTAATATAAATATTCCTATCAAACAAAACAGGACTACTGCGGAAACCAGACGGTGACATTTAAAAACTATGCTACAACTGTAAAAATCCTAAGCTCAAATATGAACAATTTTATTAAAGTATTACTTACTAATTCTTAGATGAACTAAGCTAATGTAAATAATCCTGTTAAATAAGAACTAGAATAAACCAGAACTCTCGTGGAAACTGGGCGGCAAGTGTTTAAAAAGTATGGTACAACTGTAAACCAAGCTTAAACGCATATGAATATTTTTATACAAGAGTTCTACTCAGCCTAATGAGTCTAAATAATATATTTATAATCTATCGACGGTATTTGAAGAAATGTATAAATAAGTAATTGTTAATATCAGAAACTGGTAAATTCAAAACTAAACTAAAAAGCCGGCTACTATTAAAATGTGTTTATTACGTAAAACAATTTTTAATGAATAGAATCTTGTTGCCTAAATTTGACATTATTGTATTCTTTTAGACTATTTTTTGTGTAATGTTCTATAGATTTTATATATGTACTCTTATGATATTCTAATTTTTACTATTTATAATGATTGACATGACGATTCTAAATTTGATTTAATTGAATAATGCATATTTAAATGCTTTGCTTGAAATGATGATTGTAATTTTAACATTTTTTTAAATTATTTGTTTTAAATTAATCAATGTACACGACTATATCTTTTCATTTAATTAATAATTTTCGCATGCCAGACGTGGTAAACATGTGGACTATATACAATATGCAATATCTATCACCTCTGATGTTTAAGCGGATAAATGATATTATTAATATTAATAATTCTTTAAGGCTTGTTTTTACAAGAATCATTTGTAATAATATCTCGCGATAACATAACTACAAAGAAAATAGCTTGAATGTACGTGATTCGCAACGAGCGATGCGCGCATTCGTCGACACGCACATAAAGTTTCCAAATAGCGTCCATCCGTCCGTCACTCGGGCTATATTTAACGCGCACAGCTCACTAACCGCCCGGTTAAGGCCACATTAAGTATTTATACGCTGCTTTTATGCGATGTTTATTTTTACTATTGAAACAACACAACAAATAACAATAAATAAATTGATGGGCTGATTAACTAAACTTTATCATGGACTTAAATGTGGACTCTTTTATTTGTTTTTGACCATTGTTATTACGTTATTCTTTGGGTATGTCAAAATAAGGAGATATAAACTCTTTTGAAGTAATGGGGAAACTTGAAGTTAATCTGTCAAGTACATCTGAACTACATCGGTCTTCTGCATGCCAAATTTGTACACTCCGCAAAGAGTATAGTAATATTTAGAAGGGAAGGGAGTGCTCGGAATATTTTTTTTTAAATATTTAGAAGAATTATAGAACTAAATTAAGCTTCCTTAAATTAAGAGAATTTACTTCAAATGAAAAGTTTCAGCCTTTACCTACGCGGCGCGTTTAATTCATATACTTCCAGTCTATTTCCTTTGCCGCATGAGTGCAAGAAGCCACTACATTAATTGAAAAAAAAAATGATGTAGGTACAAAAGAATGTTCGTTGTTAGTTTTTTTTTACATATATAAGGTAAGTAATTACACTGATTTTCCGCCATGGGCATTGGACATCAATACAATTTTCTAATATGATCTAATAATATTAATATCCATCTAACTCACACTTACCTTGTTACTATATAATAAGGTACGTGTACCGTGTACTGGAACGGTACACCGACTAATCGCCTAGGTCAGGTGAAATTCGTATATTTCAAAAATAATAATTACAGTGATAGCTTAGGTAAGGAAGGTAATAAAAAATCGACTACTGAAATAAAACCTAATACTAAATCTAAAATACATATATAAAGTCACTTTATAAGTCATTCTAATATTCCAAGTAGTTATCCATTTTTATCGACGTGACAAAGTCACGAGGGCACAAAATGAAGGGCTCCATACTGAGCTCTGGAGAATCTTCCACCGTAGGGACGAGGAGAATGGGTTCCTAGTAATCTTTTCTCTGGACGACCCATCGGTGGAGGCTCTTCGGAGGGCAGGCGGCAGAGTCATCCTTGGCTTTAAGATGATAACTTTTAAAGTCAGGGGAGGCTCTGACGCGGCAATGGAGCCCGAACTGCCCCAACCCCAACCCCAATCCCCTCAGCCCTCCACCTCTCGGGATGAGGCTGGAACGCCACCGGTGAGAGTGACGAAGACCCAAGGCGCAGATTCCGCCTCGGTCCGACGGCCTCCGCTGTTGTCGTCCAGGCCGGGGGGAGGGGATGTGGGATCGGTTCGAAGAAAAGTAAGGCGGGGGTCAAGTTCGCAGGAAAAGGACGTCCTCGTCCTCAACAGACGAAAATGACCCCTGCCCCCCACGCCCATAAATGGCTAAACCCAAGGGTAAGACGAGGGTCCTCCAAGCAAATCTTCACCATGCAGCAGCTGCTTCTGCCGTGGTGGAGGTTTGCTTTGCAGAGGACAACATTGACCTCGCCCTTATACAAGAGCCTTGGGTTGCCAAAGGTCAAGTTCTGGGATTGGCGGCTGCCGGTAAGATTCTTGTCAATACCAAAGGCAGTTGACCCAGAGCTTGTATAATTTATAATAAAAATATTGAACTTTTAGCTGTTTCAGAGTACTGCAAGGATGACCTGGTTACAGCCTTCATAAATCTCAAGGGATGCACAGGGGCCAGAGTAATCATTTGCTCAGCCTATCTTCCCGGCGAGAACTCAGATCCTACCATCGAGTTAGAGCGAGCGGAGTTCGCCCGAAAACACAACCCCGAACTTGTGGTGGGTTGTGATGCTAATGCTCACCACACAGCCTGGGGAAGCACCAACATCAACGAAAGAGGTGAGTTACTTTATGATTTTCTCATCTCCAACCGCCTGGTAAGCCTAAACTTAGGTTGTACACCAACCTTTGTAACGCGTGCTAGGCAAGAAGTGTTAGACATAACCTTTGCTACCAATAACATGTCCAGGCGGATAAATGACTGGCATGTTAGTAGCGAAAACTCGATGTCTGATCACAAGCACATTAAGTTTGCGATTGGAGCATCACGATCCTTTGAAACCGTTACTTTTAGGGATCCGAAAGCGACCTCCTGGGATATCTATAGAGATAGCCTAAGGAGGAATTTGGAAACGTTTCCTAAAAGCATCAAAACAATTGAAGGTCTGGAGTTAGCGACGGAGACAGTAACCGTAGGTATCTGTGAAGCCTTCGAGGACAGTTGTCCCGTCAAAACCAAGACCTCAACACAAAAAGTTTCTTGGTGGAATTCTAAGCTAAAAGACCTTAGGGAAAAGACCAGGAAACTATTTAATAGGACTAAGAAAACCAAAGAGTGGGATATTTATAGTGCAGCCCTAACTGAATATAATAAAGAAATTAGGAAAGCCAAGAGAGCATCGTGGAGGAAGCTATGCGAGGAACATGAGTCTTTGCCTCGCAGTGCAATACTACACAAGATGCTATCGAAAGCTAAACCTAATCAGATCGGGCTTCTTAAAAAGCCGGATGGTAACTTCACTAATAGTGAAACAGAAACATCGGAGTTACTAGCGTCAACCCATTTCCCAGGGTCATACAAGACTTCAGCCTTGAACTCTTTCAGAGCCCTACGAAGGCCTTGCAATTAGGACTGGCGTAGGGCTGCAAAGATAATAATGCCAAACCTAGTGCAGTGGGCTGTTGACTCCTTTGAACCATTTAAATCAAGCGGGGAGGATGGAATAATTCCCATCCAACTACAGATGGGTATCGACATCCTTCTTCCTTATCTGGTGAAAATCTTCAGAGCAAGTTTTGCATGGGGATATATTCCAGAACGATGGACAATTGTCAAGGTTCTATTTATACCAAGGCTGGTAGAAAGGATTACGCTTTACCAAAGTCCTTTAGACCTATAAGCCTATCTTCCTTTCTTCTTAAGACATTGGAAAAGGTTTATAGATAGATATATAAGGGATGTAGCTCTAGCTACGAGGCCCATACATTACAACCAGCATGCTTACCGCAGAGGCAAATCTACGGAAACAGCCCTGATCAGTGTCATTGACAGGGTCGAAAAAGCACTAGAGGATAAAGAAATAGCTCTTTGTGCCTTTCTAGATATTGAGGGCGCCTTCGTCAGTAGCCCCACATCACTGCTGATTGGGGGCCTAACATCTAAAAATGTTGACCTCACAACCATCAGATGGGTGAAGTCGATGCTCTCAAACAGAAAGGCAAAAATAGCGCTGTTTTAAACTTCGATTGAGGTTGTAACCACAAGAGGCTGCCCACAAAGAGGTGTTTTACCACCACTTCTTTGGACTCTTGCGGTTGACCAACTATTGTACAAAATGGGAGACCTACGCATTGACACATTGGGTTATTTTGATGACCTTGTGATCATTGCAAGGGGCTTTTGCCAAAGTACTTTATCTTCAATAATACAAAGAGCCCTAAACACCATAAATAACTGGTGTAGGGATAACAGTTTATCAGTTAATGCTGATAAAACTGTTATTTTACCCTTTACCAAAAAGAGACGGTTGGACAAATTAGTCCAACGAAAACTTAATGGTAAAGAAGTACCATTTTCCACGGAAGTAAAGTACTTGGGCGTAACAATCGACCAAAAACTAACATGGAACTCTCACCTTAGCAACGTATGCCATAAGGCAAAAATTGCTTTAGGTACGTGCAGTCGTTTGGTCGGGAACAACTGGGGCTTGCGTCCCAGTATGGTCCTATGGTTGTACAGCAGCATAGTGAGGCCGATTCTTACCTACGCCTCTATTGTCTGGTGTAACAAGGTCAACCAAAAGACGACTGCGGACAGACTAAATAGTCTACAAAGGACTGCCTGCCTAATGCCAACTGGAGCTATGCGATCATCGCCTGGAGCGGTCATGCCTAACGCCCCTTGATCTCTATCTAGACAAGGAGGCGAGGGCTAGTTTGTATAGGATTAACACCCAGGGCGGTCTGAGCTTGCTCTCCTACAGATTGAGATCCATGCTCGACTCAATTAAGGAATCCCCGATCTTGTGCATGATCTCAGATATCATGCGTCTACTATACACTTTTGATAAAAAGTATATAGTGGAATTACCCTCCAGAGAAGACTGGTTGAATGGCCAGGTCATCTGTCAGGTCGGTAGCCTCATATGGTATACCGATGGGTCTAAAATGGGCCTCGACGTAGGCTTTGGAATTTACGGGGAACGCCCCAAATTCAAACTTAGTATGAATTTGGGTAGATACATCTCTATCTTCCAGGCAGAAATTTTCGCCATACTTCGGTGTGCGGAAATCAATCTGCAAAAACACTACGTCAACCATAAAATTTACATAAACTCTGATAGTCAAGCAACACTGCTAGCGCTGAGATCAAACTTAGTGAACTCAAAGCTAGTTGGAGACTGCGTGAGCAGTTTAAACGCCCTGGGTTGTAAAAACAGGTTCGTTTTAAGATGGGTTCCGGGTCACGAGGGTATTGTAGGCAACGAATTTGCCGACAAACTTGCACGGCAGGCCTCAAAGTGTACAAAATTTGGACCCGAGCCATTTTGTGGAATCTCAAGAAGCCTAGCCCGATTGACCCTTGAAACTCTTTATCACAATAAATCACTTAAGATCTGGTCTGACACACCAGGCTTAAAACATTCTAAAACCTTAATGCGGGCTTTTGATCGTAAATTCGCTTCAGAAGCCCTGGGATTAAGTAAAAATAAATTGCGCATTCTGACAAGAGCCCTAACTGGACACTGTTGTCTTAAAAAGCACATGTCCATCCTGGGACTAAGCAACTCAAGGATGTAGGTTCTGTTCCATAACGAAAGAAACGCCTCTACACATCCTAACCGTTTGCGGACCCTTAATGCGCAAACGTAACACTCACCTGGGAAACTATCTACTCCGCCTAGAAGAAGTGAAATTGCTCACGGCTAAGCAACTCGTTCGATTCATTGAAGATATAGGGCTTAGCAGTGAACTATAGCTATAGCAGCGATCACAATAGATGTTCTAGGCCGCAGTGATACTGGTCTCTTTACCTAGACCTGCATAGCAGCTCGCACATAATTAAAAAAAAAGTCACGATGATTTTTCACTGTGACTTTTTGGTAACCAGAATGGGTCACGGTTATTTAAAAATAACAATTTTACATAAGTCGCATGTTACGACAAACACGGTATGATATGGATAATACACCGCCACTACACGATAATTAGCAACTTCTCAAAACATTTTATTTATCGACATCTTGCAATTGTCGTTTCTCTAGCGATCACTTCATACAAATAATTCGATATTTTAACTGTAGTAAAATTAATTGGCAAAATGACTCTACGTTATATTAACCTTTATTAAAAAAATATTGCCCTTGGCCTGATTAAGTTGGTCTATTAAAATGTCGGGACCTGAGAGGTAAAGTAGTAATTGAGAGTTTTATTACCTTACATATAGTACATATTTTTGTTTGAAAAATTTTAGTTACTAATTTTAGGCAAGTCCTCCCCATAACGGGAGAGGCCTATGTCATAGTTCATGGACTTTCGAAAAGCTGACAAAGAAAGAAGACGAAGAATTTAAGAGATGAGGTAGACGCATTTGAAAGACAGTAAATAATATTTTGTTTCATGCATGAGACCCGTGTCCTTTGTAAGTAGAAAAAGGATTCTAATTTAGGTATACAAAATCCATTTCATATAATATGTAGGTTGGATAATATTTTCTGTTGTTTCATAGGTATATTTCGGGAACCTTCTGGGTAAAGAGCGAGTGAGATACTGAATTGAGTCGAAAGCACAAGACGTCGTAACGATGACAACATTTAGAATTTTAGATTAAAATCAAGTTCGAAATGAATAACAAAGCAAAATATTTTAATAACGAACATTAATTCTATATGATATACATAATAAAATATTTATAATATGAATAAAAAATATCATTATTTAAAATTACTATAGACAACATTTGAACATAGGTGGAGTGTCACGGCTCGTGTTGACGCCATTCGTTTTATTACAAAACATGTTTTAGTCTCGGGTTATATACTATGGTTCAAAAACAGTCCTTCTCACGAAAGAGTTCCCTTAGCCGCGGCGATACATTATTCGAAAAATAGACATTTGCTGTTAAATTCAATGCCGTAAAATGACTATAGTTTACACCTGGGACTAAATACAAAATTATTTCTGAAATAAGCTGGTGTGTGTTTACAAGGGAAAGAAGGACTAATACATTTTATAAGTTAGTGATTACGACTTATTTCATAAGCGTCGTTTGTCGCAGTACGGCCTTTAGTAAAAACTGTTGATCTTAGAAATATATAGTATTTACGTACTAGGTTGAACAGTGTCTTTGTGGGAGTTAATCCTAAGAATAAATATCTAGAAGTACTCTAATTTTATTCTTGTTTAAATAATGGCTTGAAGTGGATTTTATTACGTAAAGTAGGTGCAAATTTGAGTAAATGGGCGCGAATGTGAACTACAAGAGGAAACGATAAAATGATCGCTCCTACAGTGATGTTAACCCCAAGATAATGTGTCTGTATAGGCGTCTTGAGTTACTATCATTATCGACTGTCTGCTGGTTCAAGCTGCACAACTTCAAGTGTAAATCCAACAAAATTAATTGGAAGTAATTGCACAAGGATAATAAATATAAATTGGTAATATCGTAATGATTAATGGTATGAGCACACGCGGTGTGGTTGGTGACCGATCGTAAACTATTTTATTAGCTATTGCAATATCAAAGTTACATACATTTTGCGATTTTTACAGACCGATACGACTTACGGACCGTAAAGAAAAATCCTATACCTATTTAAAAGGCCGGCAAAGCATCTACTCTTCCCATGGTGTTGCATTTGTTCATGGGTGGCGGTAGCCACTTATCACATCATCATTACATCAGACTAGGTGCCCACTCTTATATGACAAAAATGCTGACTGCGCACTCTGACGTAAATGCACTTTGTGTAGTTCACAACGTGACGCACCAAAATATTGTGAAAAAGTTTTAAATAAATTACCCTATAAGATAATTTCTGATAAGTTGACACTGGCAAAAATACAAGCGGCCGAGTATTTAGGAAAGAAATAAAGAATGTAAGTTGTAATGTGTGTGGTCGCGGTGGGTGCGATGGGAGTGGCTACCTGTGCTCGGTGAGGCGTGCGACGGCACGCGCCAGCGAGTCGAGCAGCGGGCCGACGGCGCCGCGCTGCGAGCTGAGCTCGCGCACGTGCGCGCTCAGCTCGCCCAGCGCCGCGCGCGCCAGCGCACTCTGCGCCTCCACCTCGCCCGCCGCACTCACCGCCTGCACCGCACAACCAACACATACCAATCAGTACTTACAATACAATACCTACACTTAAGTAAACATTTTAAAACTAAACATAATATACACAAGTCCACTGCAGAACATCGACCTCCAGGGAATGGCACAAAGCACAAGCCAGCGTAACATAAAGCCTTTATCTTTTATTTTTTAATAGCCAATTACGCGAAAATTATTGAAATGGTGCACAATTGTTGGTACACATTTCTTCTTTTTAGAAAAAAGAAAGAGAAAAGGCGCAACATAAAAATAAGTAAAAACACAGTATAAAATCACAAGTACTTCCTAGGATTACCAATCCAGGTTGATTCCTTACATTGCAGTATTTCGGTATGAAATGTAATACATCACTTCAAAAAGGAGTAAGCGACACGGTGTGAAAGGAGTAAAAGGCACTGTATTAATGAGGTATAAAGCACATTATAAAAGCAGTAAGAGGGTTGGTATAAAGTGGCAAAGTGGTACTGACGCGCGGGTTGCCGGCGGCGGTGCGCGCGGCGTGCACCAGCAGCGCGAGCGTCTCGAGCACGGTGCGCGCGTGCTGCAGAAGTGCCGCCTGCGCGCGCGACTCCGTCGTGTTGGACGCCGCGCCGCCCGCCGCCACCACCAGCGGCTCCGCGTACGACACCTGCGTAATGCAACACCTCATATATTACACATTTCACAACATGAGGATATCATAAGTTAGAAGCAAATACTTCTACATATACTAATAGCATAGAATACTATAATACACAATAGAATGGCTGTCAACTTTATTTTGTACCGAGTTTCGGCGTCGCCGAGAGCACACGCAAGCAATAACGTCATATTATCAGTAGGGGTCGCAAACCGGGATCCCGAATCTCGCGGGATAACTAACAGCTTTAAAATACCGGGATTGAGTGAACGGAAACCGGTATTTACGACTTTTTCGGTATTTCATTATAAATCTATGCTTTTCGCGTGGTGCATGCTATGGCAACATAGCATATGCTAAATAGTTTAAAATAACTTAGCAGCAGTGAGTTATTTATTAAACTTTCAATAAATGATTGATTTTTTTTAAATAAACGTGATTTTCTTATATTTCATTATAAATCTATGCTTTTCGCGTGGTGGATGCTATGGCAAAGTGGCTCAACTATGCAACGCAAGTCACGCGACTATACCCTGGATTGAGTGAGAGAGAGTACCTACTCCCGAGTCCTGAGTCGATGACGAATCCGTCCGCTCGCCTTGTATAGGTGGCGGCTAATGACGGTACCAGTGTAATGATCGCATTTGGAAGAGAAGCAGCATTTTTCCACTAGCGATGCCTTGCTCATGGTATACAGTTCCTAAACTCAACTAAGAGAACTGGAAGATGACGATTCTTATGACTCTGCTTTGGAATGTTATGGAGAAGATTACTATGACGAGGGAATGGCTGGGTGTTACCGTCTGCTTGGGATCCTATAATTAATAAAATTAAATCCCACTGGGACGGGAATATAACATAAGTTAAAATACGCAAAAAAAGAAAATTATGAAAAAACATCGTAAAATTTAGTTTCACTTAAACTTCTTCAATTCATATAAAAGTAAATTTATAACATTCTTTGCTATCGAATTTAACCTATGAACCAGATTTTCTCCTTCTCTAGAGATATCGCTTTTGGAACCGGTGGTAGATTTTAACGTTCATAGAAGTTTTAGATGATCGTAAACTGAAGAATATATATGACTTTTTCTAGTTACACCATGGAGCAAAGAAAACTCTTACTCGATTTTCATGAAAAAAGTGAAGAAAAAAAAAGATAAGTCGCCCAAGAGCATTTTATGTTTTATTAAAGCTGAGGATAATGAAGAAGTTTATAAGAACATGAAGAAGTAAGCATATGAAGAAGTTACTTAGTAGGAGTATTTTATGTTATTGTTAAGGCTGATTACTGGAGGTTTCTTTTGTTTAAATAGTTTAAAATAACTTAGCAGCAGTGAGTTATTTATTAAACTTTCAATAAATGATTGATTTTTTTTAAATAAACGTGATTTTCTTATCTTAACACACTTTTATTGACAATTCCCTTATGAAAATTAGGGTTACACTACATATTTTAATATTTTTCTATGTTAAAAAAACGAAAATAACGAAACTACCGAAATCTCGGTATTCATTAAAAACTAATACCGAAAACACCGGTTTTTGTAAAGAGGTCCGGTATTGCGACCTCTAATTATCAGTTAATCACTACTACAAATCCGATTCGCTGTGTTGACAGATGGATTTTAATACATATTTATTTGTAAATAACGTACAATTTGGCATTTTCTAAATAATTTGCATGCGAAATTTGGAAACGATTGTAACGTCAAAACACATCTAGTATTGACATTTATACGTGTGAATTGACATGTTAGTGACATTTTAGTGGCTACACGGGCTCCGCCAACACCCCCGTTCTATTATGTATGTATTATAGTATTCTATGACTAATAGACAGGTACGTTGCGCACTAAACTACGATCGATTCTACGTAACTTCTTTAGTCTAAGTCTAAGGCAAGCAGCCATGAAAACTAGTCATTTAAATTGTAAACCACGAACGTTATTTTCGACAATCTTACAATGAGTTTGTTTGACGTGACTAAGAAAACGCTACCAATACTTATGTGCGCACTTTGCCAACGTGGTTTCAAGTTCATTTCAGACACGTATGTAACTTTTATTTACCCGACACCAGTAAATGTCATAAATGCAAATACAACTGAGTGACGAATTTGACATGCCAGCTCCACGCGGGCATCGGCAGTTCGCGCTGCCCACAGCTTAGACAAAGTTTTTGTTCTGAATTGCCGGTCTAGTATATGTAGATAGAAGCCTTTGGTTTAAAAGCTTTAAGTATCCTCTTCTCCGTTACATGATTATCTGTTGAACACGAAATAAGCGTGCGATATTCGATGGCCAAACAGTTACTTTAATCAAAATGTTTATTTTATATTTATTCCAAACATTTACAGCTTCCACAGCTATCACTTTTTAAATCTACATAACTATTAAAAGGTATTCGCATCATCATCATTACAGCCCTTCACAAGTCCACTGCTGAACATAGGCCTCCCCCAAGTGACGCCACAAAGCACGGTCCTGAGCCACCTGCATCCATCGACTTCCTGCATGTCTTACCAGGTCGTCACTCCATCTAGTGGGGGGGGGGGGTCGCCCTACACTACGCCTAGGGGTACGAGGCTGCCCCTCGAGAACCTTTCTTCCCCATCGGTTATCGGTTCTTCGAGCTATATGGTCGGTCCATTGCCGCTTCAGCTTACTGATCCGTTGGGCTATGTCGGTTACTCTGGTTTTACTGCGGATATCCTCATTTCTCAGTCTGTCACGCAGAGAAACTCCGAGCATAGCCCTCTCCATAGCTCCCTGAGCGACCTTGAGCGTCCTCATACGGCCAGCAGTGAAGGACCACGTCTCGGATCCGTAAGTCATCACTGGCAACACGCACTGGTTGTACAATTTAGTTTTCAGATATTGAGGTATACCTGACGAGAAGATGTGTCGTAATTTCCCGAACGCTGCCCAGCCGAGTTGAATGCGTCGATTGACCTCTCGTTCCAAGTTGGACTTACCTAGTCGGACTATTTGTCCCAGGTAAACGTACTCGTCAACAACTTCGAGCATAGTGCTCCCAACAACTACCGGCATAGGTGTGACATGGACATTAAACATGATCTTTTTTTTGTCCATGTTCATCTTAAGACCTATCAGTTGGGAGGCACCATTGAGGTCATTGAGAATAGTGCTTAAGGTCCTCCAGCGATTCTGCCATAAGGACTATATCGTCGGCAAATCGAAGGTGAGTGATGTACTCGCCATTGATGTTAATACCTATATATCCTTCCTGTATCCTTTCCAGTACAGTAGCTTGAAAACGTCTTCCAACGCAGCAGTGAAGAGTTTCGGGGAAATAACATCACACTGTCTTACACCTCTCTGCAATTGGATAGGTTTCGTACTATGGTTCTGTACTCGAATAATAGCCATCGTAGCCCTACTGTACACACACTTCAGCACTTCGATATACCGACAGTCAACTTGGCACCGCTGAAGGGACTGTAGCACCGCCCAAATTTCGACGGAATAAAAGGCTTTCTCATAGTCCACATACGCCAGGCAAAGTGGCAGATTGTACTCTTCGGTCTTCTGTACAATCTGCCGCAGGGTATGTATGTGGTCTATGGTACTGAAGCCTTTTCGGAAACCGGCTTGTTCGGGAGGCTGGAAGTCGTCAATTCTGCGTGCGAGACGATTCGTAATGACTCTCGAAAACAGCACGTAGACGCGGCTCAGAAGGGAAATCGGTCTGTAGTTCTTCAAGAGAGCGTTGTCGCCTTTCTTAAAGAACAAGACCACAGCGCTTCTGCTCCACGCCTCCGGAGTAGTGCCACCATGGAGGACGGAATTGAAGAGCTTCTGAAGGACTTCAAGTACCGGTGTTCCACCCGCTTTCAGAAGCTCCGCTGTAATTCCATCCTCGGCTGGGGCCCTGCCGTTTTTAAGGTGGTGGAGAGCCATTCTAATCTCGCTCAAACTGACGTCCGGGATATCATCGGAATAGTGTCGGGTAAGACTTGCTCTTGGATCGTTACTCACACTTGCGTGTGGCTCAACGATGATGTGTACAGCTCCCCATAGAACCTCTCAATCTCACTCAGAATCTCAGGTGTCCCGGAAACGATGCTGCCACACTCAGTCTTCAACCTTGACAGTTGGCTCTTTCTGGCAGACAGATCTCTGGCAAAGACTTTGGAGCCCTGGTTCCGCTCGATCGCTTCTTTAATACGAGCAGTATTAAAGTTGCGTAAGTCTCGTCGCATGCATTTGGAGATCTGTCTGTTCAGTTGCATGTATGCTGTCAAATCTGTTGACGATTGCAGCCTCATCTGCCGTCTAACAGCCATGAGATTAAGAGTGTGATCGGAGAGTTTTTGTGCTTCTTTTGCGGCGGGTCTTGCAGAACTTACCTCCGACCGCATGGACAGTTTCCACGAGATTGTCATTCATATCGTCCACTGCATTGCAATCTTCTAGGCACTGAAAGCTGGTTTCGTAACTCGAGCTGAAAGGTTTCGGGATTCTGGATTAGAGCACGGAGGGCGTTACTTCTAGACCTCTCCAACTTAACGTTTAGGTTCAGTGTGCCTCTAACCATTCGGTGATCGCTGCCAGTTTTCACCCTTGCGATCACTGAGACATCACTGAACAGTTGGCGTCTGGTCGTCATAATGAAGTCAATCTCATTTTTTGTCGAACCGTCGGGGCTCGACCAGGTCCACTTCCTGTGGGGCCGCTTCTGGAAGAAAGAGTTCATCATAAAGAGTCTTTCTTTCTCCATAAAGTCGGCCAGCTGCTGGCCCCTTCGGTTCCGTTGCCCTACTCCAAATTTCCCTACCTTCAGCTCACCGCTTTCTCTTGTGCCTAGTTTTGCGTTGAAGTCTCCCATCAACACCGTGTAGGATTACACGGTGTTGATGGGATTCGGTATTCGCATACGAAAATTAAAATGTATAAAGACAACATAAACAGGTTTAGTCCCAAATAATTCCAAGTTGCTGTTACCTAAAGTTACAGCCTATATACGTCCCACTGCTGGACACAGGCCTCCTCTCTTTTCTGAGGGGGTTTTAGGGCAAGGAAACATCCACCGCGCTGCCCTAATATATGTTGGCGAACTTCACATGACTTCGAAATAATTTTTTTCCTATTTTTCAGACATGCAGGTTTCCTCACGATGTTTTCCTTCACCGCCGAGCATGTGGTAAATCAGCACTTGAAATTGCAATTAACAATTTTATTGGTGCCGGCGGGGATCGAAACCGGTTTGCTCGCGTATTGTGAAATTTATAGCGAGCGCTAACCATCTGAGCTACCACGGCTCTCCTCTGGTTAGCATTCTGGACTCTGCTGTTACCTAATGAGAGATAATTCGTGTTACTCTGCGTATTCCTAGAGGTTAGGTACGTATTAACTGCGGTTGCTAACCTGGCTGCCAAGCCGTTTGCCAAGCGTGGCAACTATGGCGTATGTTCAGCAGTGGACTTTAATAGGCTGTAAATGTGGCGATGGAAACAAAAAAATATTCTTTTATGCAATAATAATATCTATTATATAGCAGTAGTAAATATGTCTATCATATTACGCCAGTGATAGACATAGATTATAGCATCGTAATGTTGAAAGAATATTATAATAGCTTTAATTGACTATAAACTTCATCCCTGCAATTTTACTACTTACCAGCTGAACGACAGCGTGACCAAGATTCTCCGCTTCGCTTTTAGCCGCAATGCGGAGAGGTTCCAGTTTCTCCAGCATCTCAGCGGCTGCATTTTCAATTTGTTCCGAGTAGCCTGAAATACATCATTGATTAAGTGTCGTATAAACAACAGACAGTAAGTGTCATAAGTGTCTCTTACAACACATACGGGATAAAATGGGATGATGGATTCACTTACGCCGCCTTCACACGTTACTTGGTATGTTTACAGTTATAGATAAAAATGCTTACAACGTTCATTAGCTTTTATTAACATTAAAGTAAATTTGAAAAATGTATTAAGGATCAAAAAATTAAAAAGTTTCATAGTCATTATCAACATTACAACCTATTGCAGTCCACTGCTGAATAAGTTCAGTTATATAATTAAACAAATTTTGACATGTATTTATTGATATCATATCCCGCTCGCGCTGCCCGTCCTTTGACTTGCACGCGTAAAACTGACAACCCAGGGTGTGCCGGGCAGTGACAGCGCGAGTAGCCTATTTCTTTAATTTTTTTAATTTAATTTAATTTTATAGGATAGGGTGACAAACGAGCACACAGTCCACCTTTGGCCCATAGACATCTACATCTATCCTCGATTACGAATTCAAATAAATTTAGGCCTAAGGGCCTAAATTTATTTCCCTAGAATTTGCCCCCCATGAGAGGGATATTTGCGATAGTTGCCACGATTGGCAGGTTGGCAGCACGTAGCGCAGTTTTTTTATTTTCTAGCTGTCATCAGGAAAACGGTGATGCTCATTTCCTAGTTTGTTCACCTCTGCTGTTATTGACCACAAATATGGGCCGATATGGAGTAGTGGATATTTTTTGAAAAGGTTACTAAGTTGTTAAGCCCACCACCAACCTTGCAATGTGTTGGCCTGTCTCGGTTGCAGCTCCTGTCCAACGGCTTGTATCGCCACTTGGTCGAGTTCGCGCAGCTGCTTGTTTAGTGTGTCGAGAGCTGCGGCACATTCGCGTTGACCTGGCGCTTTTTCGCTGTATAACAAAAGAAATGTTTCATGATAGTAAAATGTTAAGTACTTTAACATTAATACATAAAAAATATGTTTTTCAGGAAGGAGATCATTTTAATTTCTTTACTACATCACAAGTTTCCATTTCGTTAAATCTTTCTTCTATTGAAACGATTTGCATATTGTTCTTCCCCGTTACGTATTATTGTTTGATTTATAAATTAATTTACTTATTTTATACATTGTAACTACTCGATTTTTATGTTCGATATTGTGTTATATCCTTTGAACGACAAATATATCACACGGATGGGCCGGCTCAGACCGGGGTGGTACCACGACCTCACAGAATACCAGCGTGAAGTAGAGATTTCTGCGTTTCGCTTGGTGAGTGCAGGTGGTCGGAGGCACAATTCTCCCCCTCCCCCCTTATAAAGGTAGCGAAATTAAGTGAAGAACTACCCCAGGAGGAGAATCCCTCGCTGAGCATCCACGACCAAGTTATCCTACTCTTCCCGAACATGGGTGGACAGAACCTGCCTAGGGGCAAGCGGAGCAAAAACACTAAAACGACTCCTGCCACGCTATCCGTGAATTTTTGCAACATCAGGGGACTTCATTCCAACCTTAACGCTGTCCACTGGCCATCGGCCATCTGGAGACGGCAAAGCCGGCTTTGCTCTTTTTAACAGAGACTCAGGTGTCCTCTCCAACTGATATTTCATATCTCTCCTACCCGGGGTACAAATTAAACATTCCTTTATGCCCTGGGCTGGAGTTTACGTATACGTCAGAAAAGACTTGTTTTCGACGCTTCGGCAGTCCTAAAGGTACGGACCTGTCCATCCTATGGCTGCGCGTAGACAGCGACGACCATCCCCGCATCTACGGGTGCCTATATAGGTCCCATAGCCGTAATGCCGAAACATAACCGACTCTTCGACCACGTCAAAATTCGTACAGATCCGTTGCTACAGCAGATCCCCACCGCAGAGATCGCGATCCTCCGCTATTTTAACGCCCACCTTGCCGACTGGCTTTTTTTTCACGTTCAACCGATCATGCGGGGAGATCTGTTCATGATTTCGTTTTGGCATATGGTCTGACACAACTGGTTACTTCGTCCACGCGGATTCCAGATGCGGAAGATCATACACCTTCCCTGTTAGACCTTCTGCTGACCTCTCATCCGGACGGATATCAGGTTTCCGTCGACGCCCCTTTAGGCTCATCGGACCATTGTCTTGTCCGGAGTGTGATGCCCAGTCACATTATCGTCGCGGTTGCATTCCGCAGGCTGCCGCCGTGTTTCTTATTATGTGTCGGCCGATTAGGATAGGATGCGGTCTTTTTTTGCATCCTATCCTTGGGGTCGGGTTTGCTTCTCTTCGGACGATCGTAGCGTTATTTCTGATTCTGTCGCTGAAGTGGTACTCCAGGGAATGGAACTTTTTATTTCGTCCTCTGTGGTGCCTATCGGAGGCAGACCCCAGACATGGTTTGGTCACTCCTGTAAAATAGCATCACGCTATAAGCAGGAGTGCTACCGGGTTTGGGCTGACGCACCAACGTCTCGGGATGTAAACACCAGTGCTCTAAAAAGAAAAATAATTCCGCTTCCAGGTCCTTCAAAAGAGTCATTGCCAAAGCAAGGTCTAAGCACATCGGCAGAATTGGCGAGAAGCTAGTTCGCCTTCCTTCGGGAACCCGTGTATTCTGGTCTCTCGCCAAGGCTGTCCAAGAGAACTTCTGTCAATCATCTCTTCGACGACTTACTGGCCCATGCCGCAAAGAAGAAAGCCGATCTGTTAGTCTCTCTCTTTGCGTCCAACTCAACTCTCGATGACGGGGGAACACACCGCCGATCATCTCGCGCTGTGAGTGCTCCATGCCGGATCTGCGGTTAACACAGCGTTCGGTTTGCAAAGCACTCCTTTCCGTGGACGTCAGCAACTCGAGTGGGCCGGATGGAGTTCCTCCCATTGTGCTGAAGACGTGTGCTCCGGAGTAGATATTGGTTTTAACGCGTCTTTTCCGGTATTCCTACTTCCAAGGCGTAATCCCGATTTCTTGGAAGACAGCTTTGGTCCACCCGATCCCTAAAAAAGACGACTGTTCAGACCCGTACAACTACAAGCCTATAGCCATCATCTCCCTGTTCTCCACTATAATGGAGTTCATTGTAAACTGCCAGCTTATGAGGTACCTTGAGGATCACCAGCTGATCAGTGACCGCCAATACGGTTTTCGTCGTGGTCGATCAGCTGGTGATCTTCTTGTCTACCCTACTCAGATGGGCGGAGGCAGTAGAGTCCAAGGAGGCATTGGCCGTTAGTTTGGATATAGCGAAGGTCTTCGATCGGGTCTGGTACAAAGCACTTCTTTCGAAGCTCTCTATGGACTTCTCAATAAATCGTGCGAGTGGATCACTTGTTTTCTTGCTAATCGGAGCATCAATGTCGTAGTAGACGGTGCATGCTCTAATTACAAGACTATTAACGCTAGTGTTCCACAAGGCTGCGTGCTATCACCAACGCTGTTTCTTCTGCATATCAATGATATGTTGCAAACTGATAACATACATTGCTATGCAGACGACAGCACTGGTTATGCCTTATACACCGGCCGTGCCAATATTTCTCGGGAAATCGTCGCCGAGTACCGAGATAAACTTGTGTCTGAAGTCGAGTCTTTGCTTAACAAAGTCGTGGATTGGGGGCAACTAAATCTAGTCCAATTCAATCCTCAGAAGACACAAGTTTGCGCGTTAACCGCTAAAAAGTACCCTTCTGTCGTATCTCCTCAGTTTCAAGGCACTCCCCTTGCTGCCTCAGCCAGCTTCGGGATCCTCGGCGTCGACATATCGAATAGTGTGCAGTTTCGTGATCACTTGGAGGGGAAGGTCAATAGACAGTATTTCATGCCGGCACGTCTTGCTTGGAACTAAACAAAAAGCAAGTTTGGTCTCACATGGAATACTATTCACATCTCTGGGACGGGGTACCCCAGTACCATCTCCTTCCACTTGACCGCCTCCAGCGCAGAGCGATTCGAATCGTCGACGACCGAGTTCTTTCTGATCGGCTCGATTCACTGGCGCTGCGGTAGGTATGTTGCATCCCTTTGCGTTTTCTATCTTATGTACCATGGGGAGTGCTCTGAGGAATGGTTCGGATTAGTTCCAGCCGCCAAATTTCATGAACGCACATCGCGTCAAAATTCACGATACCATCCTCACCATCTGGATGCTTGGCGGTCCACCACTGTGCGTTTTCTTAGGAGTTTTGATCTACGTACCACCTCTCTGTGGAATTGTTTACCATCGGCGACTTTTTCAAGCCGATACGACTTAGTGACCTTAAAGAAAAGAGCTTACTCCTTTCTAAAAGGCCGGCAACTGGTGTTGTGATTGTTCATGGGCGGCGGTAGTCACTTACCATCAGGTGAGCCGCAAGCTCGTTTGACGCCTACTACTAAATTTAAATAAGTGAAAACCTGTTATTGGGATTTTGAAACAAAGTTTAAATTTTCATTTTATTGATTTCTAAGCTGTTTTGAGAAAGTTGCATGTTAGATGAATTTATATACACCCTAAATTATGTTGTTGGTTGCAAATGGTTTTAAATGTATTTGTATATGTGAATGTGTAAGGCTAGGTCGAGCCGAATGTTTGTGTGAGTCGATCCTAAGAATAAATATCTAGATACAGATGTACGCTTATTTTATTATTGTTAAAAAAACTGTTTGAAGTGGATTTTGATACGTTAAAGTGGTGCAATTTGGTGTTAATACACCAAATCGCACCACTTTAACGTGTGTCTGCATGTGAACTATTAGTGAACACGATGAAAGAAGTGTTTCGATGGTGATAAGAACCTCAATATAATGTGTCTTCTTAGGTGCTTTCAGATAATAATCCGCTGGGTCAATCTGTCAACTAAATCTCCCAAAAACTTCGCATGCGACACATATCATTTTGTTAAGAAGTTTTTTCAATAAATTATTCTGTAGGATAATTTCTTACATCTTTACACTGGCAAAAATACAACCTTAAGAGTCCATTACCAAATTAAAAAAGCAAATGTAGTATTCGTGTGTGTGTGTGTGTGTGTGTGTGTGTGTGTGTGTGTGTGTGTGTGTGTGTGTGTGTGTGTGTGTGCAGCGTACCGTATGTTGGTGACGAGCGCCTTGATGCTGTCGGACACGGTTTTGCTGTGCGCGGCGAGTGCCTGCCACTGCGCGCGCTCCTGCGGCGAGAGCGCCAGCGCGCGCGCCGCCTCCAGCATCGCGCACGACCCGCTGATTATATTCCTGCGCACAATATGCTCCTTGTCATTGCTGTCTTTTATTACTAACTCTCCCCATAATATTTACACTCAGCCTTGTTGGGCAGGGAAGATTTACAAACATTAACCACGTTGCTCAGGTAAGTTGGTTTAATTACAAATTCTTACTATCGATCCACCCATCCATTAACGTCGATCAGGACTATTTTGAGCTGTTATGAAGAATATGCTGCTGTTCGCTTATTTCCTTTTTTCCCTCTATCACCTCTAACGACACCCACAGGATTACATGGGGTAGTGAATTCTCTTACAACCCCACTATAATATATAGATTATGACCTCTGGTAAACATTTCGTATTTTACCAAAAGCGAAAAATATTAAGATATATATTGTAATCTTACGGTAATCACAAGATCCTTGTCTTCGTTAGTTTAATTGCAAAACTATAATTTCACTTTTACTCATGATGGTATGTTGTTAGATGGTATGTATGGTTGGGCAACAGTGACAATTACATTTCACACGAGCGCATGTAAGTTCTGCTCTTACTACAACTTGTAAACAGATTTAAAAAAGTAAGTTAGAGATGAGAAAATGAAAAATATGGAGAAAATTATACAACAGATCGTTGTATCATTTTATCCATATTAATTTATAAAACTTTTAAAATTTTTATCAATATTAGTAAGATATTAAGAGTGTTACCTGCCGCAGACAAGGATGGCTTCCTGGCTGGCGCGGGCCTGGGGCGAGATGCGCGCGGGCACGGCCGCAAACTCGGGACTGTCCGCGAACTGGCACAGGCTGCGCACCGCGTCCAGCAACGGCCCGGTAGCCGCGGCGCAGCGAGCGCGGTTAGCCTGCACATTCATTACCTGTATATTCTTACTGACCTAAACTTATTATTATTTAGTTACTTTTATCACAGAAAATGTCATTTAATTTCAAATCATGAATGTTAGAGAACAGGAGAACGATCACAACGTACTAAAGCATAGCCCGCGTGTCCTTGAAAATTGTAGAATGTATAGCGGCGCTGACGTCGGTGAGTAGTGACTGCGAAGTTAGCTGTTTATGAGTACAAGTAGATGAAGTTAGTTGAATAATGTACACATTTTCTTCGCGGCATTGGAGAGAAAATTTTCATGCTCCGTCATTTTGTAATTTTTGACAAAAAGAAACATTAAAAAATAGAGAAATATTTTATTGTGCGTGGATGTGCAAGTGGTTTAGCATCTGATCGGAAAAATAGACTGAAAATGACTTTTATTGACCGAACTGAGCTACCGCATCGTCTCACTGATGGTGTCCATATTTCTGGGACACTATTTTCTTCGGCGATTGTTCTCCTGTTCTCTAACCTTCATGTTTCAAATAATAAGATTATCTCTTTATTTTCTTACAACACTGGTTAATCTTCAAAAATGAGGAAAATTAATTGCGTAAGACATAATATTGTACTGTAAATTCATACGTAAAATAGAGATACGTGTGTTAGAGAGTGGCGAATGAGACTTATAAATGTCACATTGGCCTCTTTTTGAATTGCGACGGTGCCTTAGGGAGCAGTGCCTTTGCGGTGTCACGCGTATTACATAAATCTATGATATATTACATGATAAATTTAACGCTGCAAATGTCACATCGTATGTAGACTTTTATAACACAACATTATATTATATAGCTCTATTAACGTCTGCTACTGATCATATTTTCAGTAGTCTATGACGATACGAAAACGTTAGTTTAAAAACCGTTTGTGCTAAGAGCTGCTAGCTGAATAAATATACGTCCCACTGCTGGGCACAGGCCTCCCCTCATTTTCTGAGAAGGTTTTAGGGCAAAGAAGTGTCCGCCGCGCTGCCCCAATGCGTGTTGGACTTCACATGTCTTCGAAATATTTTTTTCTTATTCCTCAGACATGCAGGTTTCCTCACGATGTTTTCCTTCACCGCCGAGCACGTGGTAAATCGGCACTTAAAATTGGAATTAACAATTTCATTGGTGCCGGCGGGCATCGAACCCGGGTTACTCGCGTTCTGTTATATTTACAGCGAGCGTTAACCATCTGAGCTACCACGGCTCTGATGGTTAACGCTCGCTGTAAATATAACAGTACCCCAGTACATTTACCCCAATACATTTTCAGCAAGAGACAAGGGGTCGCGTTACGCGAGACTCACCTCGCTGTAGTCCGCGTCGAGGGCCTTGATCTCCTTGACGAGCGCGGCGGTGGAGTTGGCCACGTCCTTGGCGGCCTGCACGAAGTGGCGCTTGCTCTGCGGCTCGGCCGAGCGGCCAGACGCCACGCGGCACGCGTTGCACAGCGCGCTCGTGTGCTTCGCGATCACCGTCGCCGCCGACAGCACCTACCACCGCGACAACCCCAATAATTTATATAAATGGTGCTGTATAATAAATAACAGCAGATGAATTAAGACTTCTAAAAAAAAACACTATTTACTTCTTTTATCTAATTTATGTACGGATTACTCTTCAGTAATTAGTTGGAATGATTACGAAAATTAGCAAACATACAAGCAAAATTATAACTGCCTTTTTACCTGTTGTTGATTGCTGTCTTTATCACACAGCGTTTTACAGGCCTGGTCTATTGCCAATGCGGCGCGGGCGAACTGCGCCTGATCCACCAGGCCCGGTCTACCTGCGACACTTGTCTCGTCCGATACTGCCACCTATCATATAATACAAAAATATGTTAGACTCAAATTCAGATTATGGACTTTTAATGTTAGTTTTACAAGTAGCGCAATGTGTCGCAATCACATACCGTAAAAAATTATTTAATGATGTAATAACACGGTGAATACGTGTACGTAACGTAACGAGCTCAAAATGACGACGGTCACCCCTTCGCCGCGCGTGATGCGTGTCACTCCGTCCGCACTCAACGTAATGATGATCCTTTAGCTATCGAGTGATGTATTCAAATTTTGGGTGAAATAATAGGTAAGTAGCTCAGCAACTCCCAAGTGTATTCCCCGAATTTGTTATCATTTGTTTTCGGAGTTGGTTAGCAGTGTGGATGCAAATTAAAAGACGTATTCAGGTGTAAAAGAATAATGTGCTGTATGTGTACCAGGTAGGCGGCCTGCGCGGTGCACTCGACGAGGCCCTGCACGGCGGCGGCCACGGCGGCCACGGCGCGCGCGAACTGCTCCGTCTCGCCGCGCTTCACCGCGCCCGCCATCCCCGACATTCCCTCGCCTGTACAACAATTACAAGCAATTCAAATAACACTTCACAAACTTCCCGCGCTTCTTTCAAAGGATAATGGAACGAAAAGAAATTTAAGGTCTTCAAGTTTAGGGGAAACATGCAACAAATAATTTATATATTAAATAAATAATATTTTCCGAAAAAAAAAACTTTAATTGACTGCCGTGTGATAGAGACGTAAGAAAATCCATCACCTCATTTCGTCTTGTGCGTGTCGTAAGAGAGTATGTTTATCTAAACATCTTGTTAAAGTTTTCGAAAATACCCAGACCAGTGACGGAAGCACGTTGCAAAATTACAAAATGTCTGATACTGGTATCACCAATATGTATACCAAGCCTGACAAATTAGGCAAATCCTCGTTTAAACGAGAAAAGGGCGGCAGCTAAAGAAGATACACATTCTAAGTTTTAGCTTTCGCATTATCCGTTACAGCCTAATAAGAGTCCACTGCATTACATACAACATGCTCCCCTATTCCTAGATTGCGTCATAGGGGAAATTTTGCCATAGTTACCACGTTTGGCAGGCGATTTAGCAACCGTAGTTTTTCAAGTGAAAACTTCTTCAGCATTGTTGTGATTTGAAAGTCTATGAAACGAAAAAGCGACAGTAAAAAGAGATAGACACATAAATTGATAAGATTTAACGTGGAAGAAAATGAGATAGGAAGCATTATAGCTCAATGCTCGCGAGTAACAAGTCGTAAAAGCCGCCGAAACGACGTCGCTTACGCGTTTTGTTCCACAAGGTACGAAGGTGTCGTGTGCCTATGGAATAAACAAGCAGTGAATAACGGCCAAATGTCAACTTTGTAATAGGTAAAATTGATATAAATCTTTTTGTAATTAGTGAGTACCATATAAGGTATATCGAAAAGAGTATAAATATTCATAGGGAAATTAATCTACTCGTCGTAAAAATTAATGGCTGTTCCGTACTTTTAACATAGTCGAATTAAAATACGTCGTTTAAAAGTATTGTTACATTTATTTACTATAAAATTAAATTTTCTTATATTTTATGCCGAACTTGTAGTTTAAATTATAATATTAAATAAATGATTTGCCGTATAGTATTTGTATTTTATATTTAATTTCATTTGAAGGTTTCACTTCTGTCGCGTGTGAGCTGCACGCATGTTTTTTTGTTTTTTGATATTTTTGAATTGTTATCAAGATGACAGACCATCAGGTTTGTACCACTCCGTCGCCTCTAACGACACCCATGGCACGATACGGGGCAGTTTATATTGTTACGTCACTACCATGTAGCTATTATACATAAAAAGAAAATGCATGTGAGATACGTACTGAGACCCTTGCTCTGGTCGACGACTGCGTCGAGGCAGGCGAAGTAGCCGAGCTCGCTGAGCGGCTGCGTGGGCCCGGCCAGCAGCGGGCGCGTGCTGTCGATGCTGCGGATGGCGGCCGCGCACTCCTTCTGCCCCGGCGCCGCCTCCGTGCACACGTCCACCTGCACACAACACCCCTTCATTGTCACGTTCCACTGCTGCCGCACGGTATACATCACATAAACAAGAAACTAGACTAACTAGAAACTAAGGTCACGTAAACACAATGCTACAATACTATAAATAAAACTTTATGCTGTAGTCATGATGCATATTTTAGCTGCAGCACAAATGGATAGGCTCGATCGGGAGAGAAGTATTCTGGCTCATTTTGAAAAAGAAAATGTTCGACACACTAGTGATCGGGCAGACACGTCGGTTTCTTTGCAATATTTCCGACAATTTTTTATAATCTTCCGCGCAATATACCTTTATAATACTTTATTTTCTTTAAAAGTTCTTTATTCACTATCACTCATTATAGGTCATCAAAAGTGCACTGCTGAACAGCCTCTCCCATAAATCTCAGAGCTCTTTGCCAATATAAATGTGTATGTATTTTATTAATTTGTTATTTGTTTAGGATTTGGCGGCAAATTGAAAATTGTCTGTGTCACGTCAGCATGAATTTAACGCGAGAAAATTTTCGTACAATGATCTTTTTTATGACTTTCGATCTCTTTGGCCTTTCACGATGAAACGCCATTACGTGCCATTGTTTACAACTGGTTTAATGAGTTTAAGCGTGGTTGCACTAATCTCACCGATGATCTGCGTGAGAGACGGCTTTCTACGGCGACGACTGAAGATAACATCAGTGTCTAACAACAGTAGCTTTTTATTCATATTGAGTTATCATGATGATGATGGTGTCCATCTTCTATTTTAGTTTTCCTCTGTCGTATCTAACGACACCCACGGGATGATAATAAATGGTAGTAATTCTACTACACCACTACCACAAGTCAAATACATTTCTAATTAAAATACTAGATATCCAGTACCACATATCATTGACCTATATTCAGGCGCGTACTTTTGATGCACTGTAAGTGGTGGTGGCAATACTAAATAACGGTACTCACAAGACGATTGATGCTTTCCGTTACCGCTCTTGCCGCCGCCGCTAACTGGTTCTTAGCATTCGGTCGTGTCAAATCCTGATAGAAAAATACATGAAGATTTAGTTATGTCCAGACACTGAAATTAAATCAAGTTTTACAAAATTAAACTTTTTAAAACTGACTTGGCTAACGGACTTGGCAGTTCCGAGCAGTTTAGACGAGTTAACAGTCACGGTCTTCATGGAGCTGACCATTGTCGCTTGAGCTTCTCGATCCTATAAAAAAAAATAATATTAATATGTTTAATAATTATTCATCAATTTTTTTGTGAAAAATTTCTATTTAGCAGCATTCACCTCAGTCTGTCCTGCCATTTCCATTGACACTCCAAGTAAGCGGTTAAAGGCCTGACCGAACTGGTGGCCACTGTCGGCTAAAGCTTCGGGCTGTTCTACAGCTTGTACTACGTCAGAAGACGCTGTACTGAGACCGACAGCTGCTGCATTCAACTCTGTTTGCAGTTCACTAAAAGAAGTTAAAAAATAGTAAAAAGAAAATATTTACATGTCCCGAAAACAATTAAAATCTGATAAGATTCCGCCAAGTAATCTAAATTCTTTAATGTTACGATTAAGAACTAACTCACCCATAACTCTTATCAGATGGCGGGAAATCTCCCATGTTAAGGATGTTGAGTGTCTCATTGATGTTCTCCATAGCCATGTCAAGTTCAGCATGTGATGGTACTGCTTCCATTGTTTGTTCTAAATTCTATAACAAAAAAAAAACAAGCTGTATTCAGTAAGAAATATATATTATGCCTTTTTACACTTAAATTATTAACTTAATAACTTTTCTTACATGAGAAATGTCTTTCGCGATGGCCACTATCGAAGCAGTGTCGACGTCTTCGGAAGTGTTCATGTATTGTTTAACAGTTTCTACTAGAGTCAGGGACGAGTGCAGCACTTGGCGACCAGATGAAATAACACTATGGATAAAAATAAACATAATTTAAATAAGGTGTTATTCAAAATACCCTTCTAATACCTTATCGTTTATATATATTTACTCGTTTTTCACAAATATGTAAGTTGGGTTAGGTAAAATTAGGTGAATAACAAATAGAGTTAATATGATTATATTTATATAGGTGATGGTGTTTGTTATGTTATGGTATATATCAAAGTAATATTGCAACATTAAGTGTTTAGTGAATCAGAAATCAGTTCAGCGTAAAGCATAGTTTCATAATAAGTGTTTTATTCCATAAAAATAAATTTTTACGTGTAAGGGAATGGATGGTGGATGTGTAAAGGGATTCTTTTATCAGTGTTTGTTTCAGAAAAAAAAAAACAAAGTCTAATACAATAATATGCTTTTAAATTTGTTTATGTATATGAGTATATCATGTTATAACGTAAAATTATCGCTCAAAAGTAATATTAAAGATTTTACTCTTATAAATTTACCAGTTCATTATAATGTGTGTTGAATTTTAAATAAATCACGTTAAAAGTTTAAAAAGAAAATGGCCAGTGATAAGAGAACGGGGCAAGTAGTTGTTTTGTTAGTCTTGCTATAAAATAAAATCTGCTTTTTAAAAAAATATGATTTATGAATAATATCCCGTTTAAATTACAGTTTAAGAATCATTCTGTTAAGTCAATAAGTAACTTAGCGGTGATGATGAAACAACCTTTGAAGTTTGGTATTTGCAGTCAAATATATATTATTATTATCATAGAGTACTATAACACACAATAAAATGGCTGTCAATCCTATTTTATATGAGATTCGGCGTCGCCGGGAGCACACATACAAGCAATTACGTCGTATTATCAGTTAATCACTACTACAAACCCGATTCGCTGTGTTGACAAACGGATTTTAATACATATTTATTTGTAAGTAGCGTGCAATTTGGCATTTTTTAAATAATGGGTGCGTTTGGCAGAAAAAAGCGCTAGCAAGCGCTTGTAAGCAAAATGGCGATCGTAAGCGGTAAGCGCTGTCAAATCGTAAGTAGCTATTTTCCTCCAGGACACGATGTTAGTTTTAACCGGGGAACCTAACCTAATTTAAATATATGTTTGTAAAGTATTCATATTAAAAACTTACCAATCATGAATTTTTAATAACATGTATATGTTTATTCATGTCATTATATTACTTAAAACTAATATTGCGCAAAACAACTTATAAACTCTACTTCAAAACAAACAAATTAAATAAGCAAAATGGCGGATTGTGTCAGCGCTACTGAAGTAGCAATCATGTCCTTGCCGAAAACTATTTCAGCGCTTGTAAGCGCTTGCTAGCGCTTTTTTCTGCCAAACGCACCCAATTTGTATGCGAAATTTGGACACCTGTAACGTCAAAACAAATCTCGTGTTGACATTTATACGTATGAATTGACGTGTTAGTGACATTTTAGTGGCTACACTGGCTCCGTCCACTCCCCCGTTCTATTATTTATGTATTATAGTATTATATGATTATTATATACATAACATTTGAGGTGACATATTAGCGCGATATTTCTTTTGTGATAGAGATTAGAGTTTAATCCTGAGATTACAAATAAACTTTTTGTAATGAGAGCGAACGTGTCAGTGTGCGAGTGCGTGTGCGTGGTACTGACCGCAACTGCTTGTGCGGGTGGCGGTGCGCGTGCGCGGCGGCGGCGCGCAGCGGCGGCGTGTAGTCGCGCAGCGCGGCCGCCAGCTCGGCGGCGGCGCGCCCGCAGCCGGCCGGCTCGCGCACACGCACAGCGCCCGCCAGCGCCGCCGTGGCCGCACCCGCCGCGCGCGTCGCGCCCTGCAGCCGCGACGCCGCCCACTCGCTCTGCACCACGTACGTACACATTAAATTTACACACACTATATACAACCCCAAATATTCAATATCTGCTCAATTTTAAAATGCCGTTAACTCTCGTGCTATCTCTATCAGTTTAAGCAAATCAGAATCAATTGTTACAGCACTACGTGCATATAGACAGAAAAATCTGTTACAACGGATAGTAAATATATAACATAATAGCAATCCATCGAGATCAAAATTTCAGTATGAACCATGACCATTAATGTAGATATATTATAAAATCAACAGCGCTGAAGTAAATGTAATTAATATAATCCTTAGTGGAGTGAACGCGCGCCTAGGTAAAAGCTTTGTCTAGCAATAGTTTGCCAGAGGCTAATTGACCACTACAATACTTAATCTAGTAGTCAACATAATTACTAACTATATAGATAACTGAAATCTTATTAAAACATCAATTGCTAAGTTAAGGCAGAATTGAAACGCGGCCAAATATTCAACAAATAACACGCGGCTTATTCGCATCTTAAGTACCTCCGATTAATACCTATTTTCAAATAAATTTACAGTCCACTGCAGCTCAAAGACACACACATTGAACCATATAAAGATACTACAAGTGCCTTATCTATAGTATAAATATTTGGTCGTCTATCTTTTTTCTTAAGAATTAAAATGAATGCCCCAATCTTATCATTAAAGTAAGTCTTGTTCTTCAAATCGGACAAAACAGTGAATGCACTATTATTTAATAACAGAAGAGGTCAATAAAGTAAAATACATCTATCAAATATATTATTCTACCTAGTTAATCTAGTAGTTGTTAAGACAGCTGCTAATCATGACGGTTCGAAGTCCGGATCGGGCGAAAAAGTCAATTATTGAGTTTTTTCAACACATTTTTATTACACACAGTTTTTATTTAAAGAAAAGCTCAGTTACAGGCCAGAGTCAGGAAGTTGGTAGTATTTCAATATAACCGAAAAGCCGTTGGTATTGGGCCTGATATTTCTCCAGTCGCGTTGGATTTCCGTCGCATCGGTTTAAATGACTACTCTACTAATCTAACGTTTAGACAGACCGCCGTAACCGAAATTTGACTTCGAAGACTTTACGATTATTAATTATGATTATTCCAAGCATGAATATTAAAAATAAAGATATACTTCCGCATCGATCACTCTAAATGTAGAAAAATCAAACTTCAAAAAATGTTATGGCAAGAATAGAAAGGACAACGCTTTCCCAATAGAAAATTCACTTCAAGGTCACATCTAAATATTGTTACCAAAAATAATAAAATTTACCGTTTGTCCAGGCAGAGGTTTGAGATCGAAAGCTCTCGCGGCTTCCTCCATTTCGTCAAGTTCAGCTTGTAGACTGCGGATGATCTCTGCCGCAGCATCCAGTTCCAACCCTTTGCAAGAGATTCGAGCGCGATTGACAGCCGATCTATAAAATATTTGTTATAATATTAAGTTAAAATATCGGCGATCAGCTTACGGGATATCACATTCTATTTACCATTATGTGTGTATTAAGAACCATGTTTCAATTTATGTTTCATCAGAAACTTCGGTCAACAACATACAATGAGATAAAGAGTCAAGCAAACTTAAAGTAAAATCTGTCCCTGTTGATATAACATTGTAAATTTCTAAGAAAAAAGAGAAAATAGTTTTTACAATTTTAATTTCAATCGAGTATAAACCTGATAGCCCTTATAATACACAACATAGCATATGGTCATGATGAAAATTGTACTTATTAAAAAAAAACAGAGGTTAAAGTAAGTTCATCTTTACTTAATTAGCAAAACGACTTCATGGAGTATTTGAGGCATTATTTATTGTGCCACATTATAACCTAAGACTGATCAGTCATCTAGTTGTAAATTGTTGATCGAAGTATAGTTTGGTTAAAACTAAGATAAACCAAAAGTAATGTAATTTGAATCCATATTTATTTAAAAGTACATTTCGTGACGTTACCTAAGATCAGCACAGCTGGTGGTGAACTGATGAGTAGTGTCGGCCAGCTGCTTAGCCGTGGGGGCATCCGTTACCGTTGGTAGCACGCTTCTAGCCGCTTGGATAACGTGGCTGCTGGGCTATTGATTAAAATAAAAACTACGTGTAACTTTCACATGTAAAATATTGAAGATACTTCTTCGGTCCTGTATAAAAAAAATACCAGATAACACACAAATTTTAGCGACTTGCGTGCCGTATAACGTTTTAAATATTTTTTCGATGAGCAGTTTAATAAATTATTTTACCTGTAGGAAAGTTTCGGAAGCGGATATGAGGTCGAGCTGGGCAGCAGCTTCTCCGGGCCTCGCGGCAGACACCTTGGCAGCGTCCACCACTCGGGGAATCTGTTCGTTCAGTGAGCGGCACTCTTGCAGCAATGACTCCTGTGAAAAATTACTTATGATAAAAATATCAATTGAAAAATGTAAGTTTATTAAAAAAAAAGCAGACTAGACATTGCTTGGGTATGTTGATTTTTTATGTGTACGGGTATACAACACTAGAATGAAACAAATTTTTACGGGTTTATTACATGCGGTATTTAATTCACTTACAATATTCTTGACGTCAAAGGGGTTGGAGGTTTTACAATGATCAATTATAAAGATTTAATATGACGATAATAAAAACTGAAGTATGTTATAAAGCAAATATGAATGTATTCGTTTATCAGTGAAATTTATTTATGAAAAAAAAAACAATGAAAGCGGTACAAATATGACACACCATGTTATCAACGATACAAACCTGCGAGTATTTATTTGTATTATGCTGGGTGGTGTTGTGCGCTGAGGCGATGAGTTGCGTGGCGCTCGAAGCGGCTAGCCTAGCGCTTTCCTGCAACATAAAAAAAATTAAATAACTCACGTTAATATGTTGCAACTTATCAGAACAGTGTTGCAGTTTGTTATTACCTGAAGTCGCGCAATCTGCGAGCCGACGATGTCTTGACCTTGCGCGTAATCAACTGTGATATAGCGCACTTCTTCCGCCGCTCTGCGCAACGCTTCTTGCTTGTCTCTATCCTGTAGTGTAAATTAAATATTATTTAATTTTTAAGACCTTACGGTTTTGGGCCAACAAACCATCAAGTCTTAGCTTCAACATGTTTTACTTTCATCACACTCATAAAACAATAATTTGTAAATAATTGTTTAGATGAAATAGAACAGCTTATTGTTTCTATCCCTTGCTTTGAGCACAGTTTAAACCATACAGTTGTGAAACGTTTTTGACGTCAGGCGGTGCTAGTATAGTATGCTAGGGATTGTCAATAATTTGAATATTATAATCATTTATTACCATTACGTTATGTACATTCTTATAAGTTAAAAACATTTATCGAACAAGATCATTTTATATTACTACAATAAAAAACACATTAACAAGTGTAGCTCTGCCAAATATTTTCGTGACGCTGTTTTCAGTGTTCGATTGTTAAATTTAATTATGTAGTATATTGGTGTTCGGATAAAAAATTAAATTTAAAAAAAAATGAGGGAAACAAACATGGCCGTCATTTGAATTCAATTTAACTTAGTAATTCATATATAACTATAACAGTAATTCACCATCAATCAGATATTAACTTTTTGAAAACGGCACTTAAATTTAGTTAAATAGGTATTATAAAACACGCTCGCACCAACCGCATGTCTCTCAGACTCAGTAAAGTGCGTTAGCACAAGGTCGGCCCGCCCTCTGCCCCACAATGCCTACACCGTTGCTCGCAAAAGTACATTCGATTCCCAACTGTAAAGTCTTTAACTGTGTTTTGAGTTTGTTATGTGTTCTTTATTCCTTATTTTATTTATTTTTATTTTATTTATTCATCTCTTCACAACTTCTTACTGGCTAGTTAACAATAACAATGTAGTAAAAACCTAACGTTGTGAGACAATAGTGCCTATGATAGGTTTTATAATAGAAACCTGAGTTACAGGTCACCAGGCCCCTCGCGGATAGGTTACATATACTAAAAAGTACAATACAGTAAGGAAATATATCATATAAGAGTTATAAAAAGTTACATAATAGGTGAATTGTAAAATTCATACGTGTTTGCGTGCGTGCAATATATGTATGTGTGTGTGTGTGTGTGTGTGTGTGTGTGTGTGTGTGCGTGTGTGTGCGTGTGTGTGCTATTGACTGTACAGAAGCAATCGTGATGTTGGAGTATCATTATTAGAGGTTTTAGAAATTGTTATATAAGCAATTTACTCGTTTGAGAAAATATAAATTATTACGAATGAACTCAATATTATCTCATACAAATGAGTTCAAAGCATTACTTTCACTAACAGAGACAACGTTACCTGAGGAGCGGATGCACACAACCTAGCAGCCTCGACCATGCGTGCAGTAGCGTCGGCTAGGAGTTTAGCGGCTGCCAGTAATTTACGTTGTGAGTCAGATGGCTGCGTTTCTGCTTCAGTCTATAAAAACACAATACAATGTTAGTATTTTTATATGTTTCTTCGAAATAGTGATATTTGTGGTGATAATGCCGATAATTACTACTAACATAAGAAATAGAAAAAGTAACTTGGTCAAAGCCTAAGTCCACCGTTTATAAGCTGATGTCAAAATTATTATGGGTAGCATTGACGCTTGGCGGCTTTAAATGAGGAGAGGATTCTAGGTTTATTTTCTTTCTATATTTATTCTATTAACTTCCTCTTTGGTGGAGTAGTCGCCAGCACGACTGCTGATCATGTGTTAGCGGATCCGGATCCCGAGTTGGCACAAAAAAAATACTTCAATTTGGCACAATCCTGACATATTTCGCTTCTTTCAAATGCATATACCTACGTAGCGTTCGTCGGTTAAGGGCATTCTTAAATTGACTCTGCGCTTTATCTCTCTCTCTCTCTCTCTCTTTCTCTCTCTCTCTATCCGGTTGTGTCCGATTGCTGTCGTATCGGACTATGACAGTGAAGGGATACAGTGCACCTGTGCTTACGTATATATTCGTGCAGTATTTTCCTGGCCCTGCGCAGATGACGGTTGGTCTCGGTTAAGACTAGCCGCCGTAACCGAAATTCGGTATTGAGAACATTATTATACTTGGTTTTTGAGTTTTATAGTACCATTAGTTATATTCATGAGTGTTTGGTAAACTGCATCCAATTATAGAGCATGCTGTGTGTGAATAAGTACATGTATCTTGTACGTTACATACTTGTATGGATCTCAAATAAAGTTGTTCAAAACGACTATAAATCAATAGCACGCTATAGACTATAAATTAAAAAAAACATTACATGTCGTTCGTTGGATAGACCGCGTACTATATAGGAAAATTATTTCGTAAGAAGTCGCATTTTACACTAACATAAAATAAAGCTATAAAGAAAAAACCAATGATCGCTCTTTCATACTTTTCAGGCTTACGATTTTCTATTATACTAAAAATATTTTTAAGGCATGTACTTTTTAAAACAAAATGAAATAAATTATATTTTATTATATTCGATGTAAAGGTTATTTTAACCTTAATATAAATTATAAATAAATTAAAGGCGTATTTCAAAGTTTATTGATTGTATATACAAATATCAACTATTTACATACACTATTATATACACTTTTGTAACTATATTTTATTAACATTTAAAAACATTAGGTAGGCTTATTTTGTAGCAGACAACTGTATCCTTCGATCACTTATAATACAGTATACACTAACCAAACACCGTCTAACACTAAATTAGGTCGCGTGCGATGAATAGCGTGTACTAGATCAAATTTACGTCACACGTCCTCTCCCAACAGCGTTGCTGCTAGAACTAGTTGCCGCTAGATATTAATACTTATTAGCGACAAAGGGTCATAGCGCCATGGCGACTACTTACATAACACGCGCTATGCGCTATGGAGATATAGCGCGCTATAATATGGCGCTATGCGCTATATTAACCACCATTAACCTCAAAGCCGGGATGAGTCGCCCGTTGGCTTGGGCCAAGTAACGCGCGCGGCGCATCATTCCGCGTGCGTGCGTGCGTGCGGTGCGTACCTTGATGTCAGCGATGAGGCGCGCGGTGGCCTGTCCCAGCAGGCGCGCGCGCCGCACCATCTCGGGGGCGTCGTGTGCGTCGGTCACGCGCTCGCTCGCCGTCACCACACTCTCCACGCTGCGCTCCATTACTGTAGGTTGCGCGCTGCGACGCTCTACACGACGTTTTACATTATTATTACAATTTTTCATTGTTTACCTTACGCAAACTATTTATAGGATGCACCAACAGTTTTTTTTTATATAGAATAGGGTGATAAACGAGCACACAGTCCACCTGATGGTAAGTAGTTGCTGCGGCCCATAGACATCTACATCTATCCTCCATTAAAAATCAAAATGCAGATGCGTTGTCACCCGTGAGGACTGAGATGGAATGCCTCGTTTCCAGTAAAAAGGGTCTCCGGTTCTCTACACTCACCATACGAAATACAGCAGCATTAAGCTACTATTTCACGCTGGTATTCTGTGGCTGTGCCAAAACTGCTTATAGCATTATGCTTTAATTGTATTTTTTTAATTTATACAGTCAGTTGTGTTATCGTGACAAATAAATCAACACACTTATATTCAACGTTAAAATGAAGATTCTTTAAGGTAAACTGTCTAAACTTAGAAGATACCTTGTTTAATGTTATAACAGTCTTGTAAATCATACATATCAGACTACATTAATATATTGGTTATACTATTAAAAATATGTAAAATATTTAAATGTTCTTTATTTTTAAGCTAAACGCACACATGTCAGCACCGTGGGCGTAATACGCGCCGCATTTACCGATGGCCTGGCACATTGGCGCGTACGAACCGTACTTTATATTGCCAACGACGTTTCCAACCACTGGTGTAAAACGGTACAGTGACATTCACCGCTCGGATCGCTATGGAAAAAATGTTATAATACAAAGACAAGTATAGGTATGTAAGTAGATACTTGGATAGTGAAGTAAATTTTAACTAAGTTTTGTAATAAAGTACGTAGGTATTACATCTGTAGATAAAGTATTACTTAAATATTTTTTGCTATAAGTATCTAAAAATGTAATAAATTCACCTTTCATAACTCCCTACTAAAATTCTTCGGTAACTTAAAAATGATATATCTGAAACCTTTTGTTGGTCATTTAGCATCTATCCACGCAACAATTATAGAACGAACGACGTTTTGTTACTAAAATGTATCAAATAGATGGGTAATATACATAATATACATAATTTTTAAATCATATTAAAACTCTTTAACTATTTTATCCTACAATTAAATATACTAAACACTAAACAAAAACTATTTCAACAAATATTAAAAAAAAAAACGATTTATGTAAACAGCGTTAAAAAAACTTTAAACATTCAATCGCCTACAACGCGCTAGCCCCGACAGCGTATGTTTCCTGGGTGCCTCGCGATTGTAGGTAATTATTTCACGCAGGTAGTAAGAGTGACAGAGAACTGGCATTGTCAAAAGCTCGGATCTGTATATAGTTCAGGAGGTATCGGCGCATGAGTACCAAAAACTATTCCACTTAAAAGTTTTTATGCGATTCTCTTCAAATTGTCCCACTGAGATATAAATGATGTTGCCATGGGGCAAATCCGTGCCGTATCATTTAATCTAATATTATTTAATAGTAAGATATTGTTATTTTCAAACGGCACATATTTTCATATTCTTTGATAAAATACGAATGAAAAAGGTCCTATAACTTTTTACGATAAAGTGGATATTTTCGGAGTTATAAATTCGAAACCACCGATTTTAGTAGAAAATACACTAAGTTAACAACATTAAATAACACTATCGTATCAGCACGCGCCAAACGCGCCGCATTATATGAAGTCATCAGCATGCCGCCTTAAATATTCGGATACCTACCGCATTTTATAAAATAAAGGCGCGTACGGTGCGGCTGCAATATGCGTGGTTTCATGATTACATACAACGATTTCTAAAATGCGGCGCGTACGATATTGACAAATGTGCATCCATCTATAAGCAATATTTATGTAATATTGGGGAACACTAACAACATTGATACATTTCACTTATTAGAATATATAAAATGGACTCGAATTTTTTTTTTTGTGAATTTCCATAACCGTGCATGTATGCTCTCAAGCGTACAAAAACCCTAACTGATTTACAACCTCAATTTGCCACTCGTAGTATTTTTTGATGAATGACTGACATGACATACCATCGTGTTTTGATGGAACTCACCTAAGTGACAGTGAGCCAGCAGTCTCTCCAACTCCTCGGAGACTCTTTGAGCAGCAACAGCGAGCTGCTCTACGCCAGGAGCGGCAGCTTCAGGCGCCTGCCTACTGGCGTCCACTAAACGCTCGACGGCCGAGCCAACTTGACGTGCCGCGCTAGTTAGCTGCTCGCGACACGCTGGGTTGTGTAAAGTTGGTGCTACCACCTATGAAACAAGCCATAATTAATTTACATATTCAGTCAAAATATTTACGTTACATTGGCCTTTAAGACACTTTATGAAAACAAAAAAGCTTCACCATTGCTTCTACAAGTCATTACTGCAGGAGGCCTTGTCAAGAAATTCAAAATACACTAATTTTGTCCGAACAGTAACAACTGATTCCATCACCATCACTATCACTACAGCCGAACATAGGGAACGTACGGTTCTAAACCACCTTTATCCATAGATATGCATAAAACATATACACATACTGAAGTCTATTTTTCAATAAAAATTTAATTTCATAAAATGAAAAAATATATTAAAATTATAAAAATATGTGATAAGATAATGTATGTAATGTAATGTAATGTTACAGCCTATATACGTCCCACTGCTGGGCACAGGCCTCCCCTCATTTCTGAGAGGGTTTTAGGGCAAGGAAGTGTCCGCCGCGCTGCCCCAATGCGTGTTGGCGAACTTCACATGTCTTAGAAATATTTTTTATCTTATTCCTCAGACATGCAGGTTTCCTCACGATGTTTTCCTTCACCGCCGAGCACGTGGTAAATCAGCACTTAAAATTGCAATTAACAATTTCATTGGTGCCGGCGGGGATCGAACCCGGGTTACTCGCGTTCTGTTATATTACAGCGAGCGTTAACCATCTGAGCTACCACGAATGTATGTAAGATATGTGAAATTTATATTATTTAACTCAAATAATATAAATAATAATGATGGAGGGAAGAAGGTTCTAAAGTTTCCAAAAAGGCTTTAACTGATTGAAAATACACTATAACGTAATAGGAAAGTAGTTTTTATAATAAAGAAATTATTAGGTCACTAACTTGCCACCGCATACGTTAAAGTTTTAATAGTTACCTTAGCGCAGGCGACTAGTTGACTTGTGGCAAGTGCACAGTGTGTAGCAGCCGCTATTATGTTGTTCTGCAGCGCCTGATCGTCCTTGCATTGAGCCGCAACGTTCTTGGCCTTCAGTACCAACGCCGCGGTGGTATTCGCCACGGCTTTAGCCAGCGACAGCAGGATGTCCTAAACAAAAAGCAATCTAACTTTTGTATTCCTCGAAAAATATATGGAAGCAACACTAATATTATGTATCTTAGTTATAAAACAAATAAAAAAGATGAAATTGATATGACTATAGCTTTTGTAATTTATGCGCCTACAATTTTTTCATAGCAATAAACACATTGACAACTTTTATACTAATAATATAAGTTTAACGATTATATATAAATATTTACGATTACATATTTATGGAATATAATTAAAAAATAACAAATAATAACATTACATTTAATGAATCATTGACCACAAATAAAATCCTCTTCTTTATGATATAGAAACCATTTCGTTGAGATTATTTGTAATTTTAACCACATTTGGCGCCCATTCGCACTAATACTTCACTTGTTGATAGTAGTTAACAGTCTAGTCAGTCTGGTAGTGGTTAGCAACGGAATTCAAACAAGACGACAAGGCATGGTCAGTGATGAGGATCAGATGAAAAGCGTCACAGCCTATATTTAGGGTGTATAAAGTGTGAACTACATCCATCACTAAGATCTCGGGTAAGAAATAAGGTAAAATTTTATATATATATATATATATATATATATATATATATATATATATATATTAAATATCGACGCCAGAAAGTTACTACATTAAAGTGTACCAAAATTTCAGTCAACTTTTTAACTTTTATGTCAAAATTACTAATCGTAGAAACGATATACCATTTTTGCCTGAAATGTTTCGTACTTTCGTTTCACTTTTTATAGTCAATTTTTTAATACGAAATGTCGGTGAACAGGCGTAAACTGAAATTGGCAAAGGACTTTTTAGGCTCTGGCCTTTGATATTTTAAATATCATTACAAACATCGTCATCGTTAGGAGAGTCAGTAAAATAAAATAAAAAGTATTAGTAAAGTAGAAATAGTCTGTTTCCTTACAATGACGTTTTTGGCGAATTAGTCCCATCACCCATTTTGAAAACAAAAAATAAGTTCGTTGTTTTAACACATTTTCGTACGACGGATGTGTATACGGAACTTTGTATTTGGACGGAGTTGACAATAATGAGAACCATGGTAACATGGTTCAAAATAGAATAATTAGAATGATATTTACAATGATCTGGGGTAGATTAGTATTTTACTGTAGTCGGGATTATCTTTGTCACTACATTTACTTTTACGGACAGTTAGTCGTAAATAAAAATCCAAGTTGTGTTGAAAAGCAAATGTATTAACAAAAATAATAAAAGCAGTGCTTGCTTAATTATATTTATCTCTAAATAGTTATTATTCATCGTGTAAATAGGACCAAAGTAGTTGAATCATAAAAACAAAGATAACATTAATTATTAAATAGATTGTAGCATTGCATACAACAGTAAAAAGCTTTTGTGGTTTTATCATAATTTTAAAAAATCAAATAATTTTGTAAAATATAATTTGTGATGATATAAGCTTATAAGGGAAATAATAAATTATATGTAATGAATATGTTTAACAGTATTTAAATTTATGTAAGTATACCATAATCAATTTTAATATTATTTGGCACACTTCAGGTTTTGCTGTTAGTAATTTAAAAATACTGTTTAATATGTCCATTGCAGTAAATACTGATTTAATTCATATTATTGATATGTTATGCACAATGAGATGGGATGTTTATATATCATAAGTTCTTGCAATTAAAAAAGGGAACACATACTTGGTATTTCTTTAAAAATAACTAAAATACAAAAATAACAACTATAAAGACAAAATGGTGCATAGTATCAATAAGTAATATTGTAAGAATACAAAATAATTTGATTTGTAATGATGTGAATCACAGCAGCATTTTAGTTAAGATATAATTACAATAATGATAATGGCTTTGCAATTAAGAGTTTATTTTAATATGGCGCACATTGCACATTAAAATTAAATCCAAACGAAATAATATAGTACAAAAATATTCAAAGTTATTATAAACTATAAATGAAATGTAATCTGTATGAGATTCTTATAGGAACAATTGTTATAATGAGATAAATACAACAGACACATACAATATGATGTTAACATTATCTTCACATGTCTGCGCATATCTAAAACCTGCATTTAAGCTAATACTATACAGATTCATCTGAGATGGACGGAGTTATAGTGACATAACATAAACAAACCAAAAACAACACTATTTTATATCACTGGTCACGTTCAATGTAAGCTGCCATTATTATAAATATAAAAATAAGGATATCCTAGGGTAACAACAATATACATAAATGTACTATTAATATAATGCTAAAAACGAGTACCGTTACGTGCAGTCTTTTTCCTTTCACTTTTGTCTTTAGATATTTTTAGTTAAAATTGAAGTTTAATGCGGCGTAAAATAGGAAAATTAAGACAAAGAAACCAAAGGAAAATGACAGTGTTACAAAAATCTTGAATGAAATAAATTCATAATAAACTAATAATGCTAAACCTCCCAGTAAACAATAAATATGTATGTGATGTTAAAATTAATAATATAAGCTTCTTCAGACGCCTTTCAATGGAGTATATTCAATATCACCAACATATGTCTAAAATTATCAGCATATGTTGTGTATTGACAGATTTATAGTAGATTTAACTACACAAAATCAGCGAGCGAATATAGGAAAATGGGAGAAACTTATAAATTCAATATATGGCAAGTTTAGGCTTTTATAAACTAAATTGTAAGAATCTGTCAATTCCATTATCACTTCCTATATTGGAATAAGCTTTCAAGTCTATATCTTACCATCCAGTCTTTATAAAACACTCTTTTCCTATTCAGATTATTCTGAATTTTATCATTTTTATTCAAAAATGTCTGCAATTTTTGAAACTGATGTAACTTAAGTGACGTTCAAGTTCAATTATTACTAATAGATTGAGAAATCTGTGATCGTGTTTAAAACTCATAACATTTTCGATCAGCTATGGCGTTTCCAGTATGACATTCGTCATTTGGTAAGAATGACTGAATTAATAATAATAACAATACAAAAAGGATGGACATTAAACAGAGTATATTCAACCAATTTTCTTTCCATATCTTACTTAGTTCTATTTCTAAACAAACACAATTCGTACAACATTTCTCATCAGTTCGAGGACAACGCTGTTTACAAAATTGACAGACACCTCTCACAGATTCAGCTTCAGTCTCCGAAAAGGTTGGATTGTAAAATATGCGAATTTCGGTCTTTCCTTTTGGAGGTGTTTTTGTATTGTTTAGTTCTACAGTGGTTGTTCTGTCACGCGTTTCACTCGTGTAGTATTTTTCACTTCGTTTTATAAATGTTTCCAAGTCGTCATGTTTGAGGTTCAATTCCTTTTTATTGAAACTAGCTTCTACTACCTCTTTAAACGTTTCTTTAGTTGTGAGAGTGCGGTTGTATTTGTCAATATTAAGAACTTTCATATTTATAGAACCTGCCACATTTACGTCTGATCCTGTTTTTGATAAGTTGTTTTGGATACTGACACATTCAATTCGTTTGGAATTATTGTATTTATTGAATTTGTCATTGATATCATTTTTGTCATTATTGTCTGATAGGAAGAAACGTTCGCGCAGTATTTGATTCTTAATTCGTCTGTCAAGATCAATATTAGAATAGTCATGTTTCGTTTTGTCACTATTAAAGTTTACGTTAACATAATCATGGTTAGATAAATCCTTTTTTAGATTAAATATCTTTTCTGATGAAGGTTTCGGAGGCAGTTTTAAGCTCTTCTCGTCTTTGTTATCTAAATAGTCCTCGCAATTTTCCAAAATTGATTCAAAATCGCTATTGTAACTAGAAGAGCCAGTAGATGGCGTCTTACTTTCTTTTATTTCGTTAAGCGTCACATGTCGACCTGGTTTGAAGTACGTATTACAATACTCCAAGCTTCTATAATAGTCACTGTCTGATTCTTCTTGTATGACATCGAGCATCCTCCCCCATGTGTTACTTGTGTCAATTTCCTCATATATACCTTCATCCTCTATGTGTTTAACTCTATTGCAATTTTCATCATCTATCAAGATAGTTTCGAAATCAGATCCATATTCTTGCTTGTCCTTATTTCCAAAGAAAGCTTTATAGAAATTGTCGTAACAGTAGTTAAGTTTTCTGTACAAAAAAGACTTTTTGCTGTTTTTACTTTTCTGCAAATTGTCCATGTTAGTGATAGTTACCTGGGTCTCCTTGTCCTCTTCGGTTTCTTCGCCGATCGTGTGAAGGACGGAAGTAGACGCTTCTCCGACACGAGAGGCAGCATTGAGGAGATTCTGGCGAGGCTGCAAATAAAAGGAAGTTCATTTCAATTTTTATTTATTTCACACTGTTATAAAGGTACAAATGGTAGACTAAATGTCTACTAGCGTCAGACATAATATGGTCCTTCAAACCGGATATATAATTTCCTATTAACAGCAAGTAATAATATAAGATGTATTACTTTTATTTGAACATACCTCCTTCGTTTCTGGTTCAGCGGCCTTCAACAAATCGCTGAAAGCACTACATAGTTTCCTAGTAGCGTCCAAGAGTTTATCACCATCATCAGTGTCATCCATGAGTGCGGCAATCGTTTGTACGCCTGGAATAAAAATATTTGGAGTTTATTGATTGCATATTTTATTAGTCTCATTATGTAACACAAACTGTTATTATTGATATTTTATAAAACTTTATTCAATTATACATATCTATTACCTTTCGTCATTTCCGGAAGGTTGGTAGTAATTGTTGTGATTGCAGCTCCCACTGCTGTGTGATCCACTTCTTCGGTTGGTCCTACAAAAATAATACATTTTAAATAGTTATTGATCTTAATCCAAAACTATAAAGACTAAAAATATTTTAAGAAAAATATTATTATTTATAATATATTACGTAAAATGCATTCAATTTTTACACACCTGACGTAAGAGTGACGACCTGTGCAGTGGCGGCGTTCATTGCAGCTATTTGAGAAGTCACTACTTGCTTGCTGGTGTCCATGGTCACTTGTTTCCATTTTACTGAAGCCGCGTCCTGTCCAAGAGCTGGGAGTGAAGCCTGTTAATAAAAAATACAGCAAGAATAAAGGCTCTTTACAGATAGTCGTATTTAAAAAAAAAGCATTTGAAATGCAAGAAACGATATGCCTAAAATTCATGTGACAATGTTCATAAGTGATAAATATAATATATATATTGCATTCTTAAGTTGAATGCAAAAGACAATGGGAACTCCCAAACAAATTTTATGTGACCTTTTATGTGATACAAAATATGTAAGAAAACAATTAAACAAAATACTCATCAGACTAGGCTGTATGGTATATCCTTAATTTTCAAATCGTTACAACTACAACTAGTCAATATAATTTTCATATATATTTATATAGGGTAATTACTAGCATAGAGGGAATCCTTAAAGAACGCATTAGTATATACAGAAGAGTTTTCTGAATAAAATACACGTCAAACTCGGCTGTATGGTATAAGACATATGCCTGTCTTAACTGACGAATCGTAACAACTACAATAACAAGTCAATTAAGTTTTGAATTTTGTATGATGATTTTTTTCCATACTTCGATAGGCCATAAGCTTGATTAGATAATACGTATTAAATTATTTTATTGATATTTGTAATAGTAACTTAAGTAGACGCTTAATAATTCCATCACATATTATTTCGCCATTGTCCTTTGTCTTAAATTAGGTAAGATGATTTTTCCCCAGACATCGATAGGCCATAAGCTTGATTAGATAACACAAAGTAAATTATTTTATTGACATCTGTAATAGTAACTTAAGTAGACGCTTAATAATTCCATCACATATTATTTCGCCATTGTCCTTTGTCTTAAATTAGGTAAGATGATTTTTCCCCAGACATCGATAGGCCATAAGCTTGATTAGATAATACGTATTAAATTATTTTATTGATATCTGTAATAGTAACTTAAGTAGACGCTTAATAATTCCATCACATATTATTTCGCCATTGTCCTTTGTCTTAAATTAGGTAAGATGATTTTTCCCCAGACTTCGATAGGCCATAAGCTTGATTAGATAACACAAAGTAAATTATTTTATTGACATTTATAATAGTAACTTAAGTAGACGCTTAATAATTCCATCACATATTATTTCGCCATTGTCCTTTTTCAGCACCGTGCCTCATTTTAGAATTCGTTGTATGAAATCATATGAAACCTCGCACATTTCACCCGCACCGTACACACCGTACGCTGTACAAAGACGTTATATAACACAGCGCGTTCTAATACTCAGCGTTGCCTGCTGTTGTCAACTTTATTGGATTTTCCAGTTCTTAGTGGTTTTGATTATCCTTCTAGTGGTAAGTTTCAATTAGTGGCAAGATGATCACTCCACCATTAACCCACTTACACGTTTCGAAATATATATATTTTTACTTCATTTCAGGAGTATTTACTTTTACTGTGTAAGTAACAATAAGTCGCCAGACAAGACATGCGTAAAACGATCCAACCATCAAATGCAAATGTCTGAAAAATCGTTCATCATCATCTAATAAGTCTTTATGTAATGTATAATATTCTCCACACAACTGCTTTAAATTGTGAATCCAGAGTCTTCTTTTTCTTCAAGTTTTATTTCCTTCTTCCTTAGGCTATTACATTTTTTCCTTAGCGATCCGAGCGATCAATATCATTGTACCGTTTTACACCAGTGCAGTGGTTAGAAAAAAATGCAAAAGTTTTTTCTAACCACTGATGCGCTTCGCGCACGTGCCTATGTGCGAGGCCAGCAGTAAATACAGAGGGTACGGCTTGCCGATGCGTACGGTGTTGATAAATATGCGTTTACCTTGACTGCACTTTTAGGTTTTTTAAAATAATAAAAATTATAAACTAACTCTGCTCAAACTCTCCTCGGTTTGGCGGATGATCTCCCGGCCGCCGGTGATGGTAGACAACAGTGCCCGTTGCGGCTCTGACAGTATCGACGTCACACGAGTTTGTTGCACCTGCGACGCCTGCAATTTGTTATTGAAATTAAGTTTTTATAAATTAAAAGTTTAAGATTGATAGATATAGTTAAGCTGTCTGATAGAAATAGATCACTGCGAAGTGGCAGTTTAAGATATTCCATTGCATATCAACCCGTCTACACGAAAGAGGCGACTGAGGGAAATTAAACAGGAGGCGGGCACAATGGTTTTAACTATGGAAAAAAGGAGTGGACTTTTAATAGGCTGTATGATAACAAAATGATGATATTTAAGAGCATAGAGCTAAATATATTATATAAATGTTTGTTATGCAGTGATAGTTTTACTTGTAACTTTGTCTTCATCAGTCTACCGTTCAATGAAAGCTAAGACTATCGTCCAGACGTAGAAAATGGCGTATCATTGCGTGCATATATTACCTACATTAATTTGTTTTTGTCCCATAACTATTCAAAAAGGGCTGGACGAACCGTCAATTTTTATTAATACTATTGAAAGGTAATTATCTTTATATATATAAAGTACGTGTCACGTTGTTTGTCCGCAATGGACTCCTAAACTACTCAACCGATTTTAATCAAATTTGCACACTGTGTGCAGTTTGATCCAACTTGAGAGATAGGATAGTTTTTTTTGCCCATGAGTAAACCACAATTTTTTTGCGAATTTAAGGATTTTGATAGGACATGAGCATGACAGGGTCCCCGAAAAGGGCAGAACAACGTATGCCTGGCAAGCTAGTTTTCTATAAAAATATTTACTTTGTTTATTCAATTATTTAACAGTTTTTTTTATTAGTAAACGACGTTAGTTTTTTTTTTTGTATATCAATGTTTATAAATTTTTCTTTGAATATGAGAATAGCTTTATGACAAGAATCAATGCGATATTTAATGTATTTAATTAATTTAATAGTATAAAAGCAGTCAGTTTTTCGTGTTTAATAATATATATTCAATTATTATCTTAGTTATTAAAAATATTTATAAAATTACTGAGGAAACGAAATAAATTGATTTGTGTTTAATTGCAAAATTCACATCTGTTAAATAAACACTAAATACTTTACGAAAGATACCTACACAGCCTATTTCGTACACTGCATAGTTCCGTTAAAAGTAGGCGTGAAACAAATGAAACATACACGTGAGAAAATTTTGTTATATAAATTACAGTAAATAAAGAAATCAATTTTATGTATTAAATTTAAGATATACTATTTGGCATAGTTGTCGAACTTTTAGGACAACTATTACACGTAATAGATATTATATTTACTCATAAGTTTTAATTTTTTTATACATCAAATGAACATTGAATATTATAGACTAGGTTAAATATATAAAGATGTACTGGCTTTAAGAGAAAAGGTAGCCTAATTAGAAGATTTTATGCATAGATTTATAAGTAAAAAAAAAACTACAAAAGAAAAAAAAATACTGACTGTAGGTGGTGTGTGGCCGGTGATGATTTGCCCAGAGACTGTGGTTTGCTGAGCGCCGGTCAAATGGCCCACGGCGAACGGCTTAGCACCTAATTGTATTTAATGCAATATAACAAAGCTGCTGTATTAAAGAAATATTCGCAAATAATCACATGTATAAAATGCAATAGATATTTTATACAAGCATATCACACCTAATTGATTAATGAAAACAACCTTTTTGGAAACTGCGAAAGTAATGTGCAAAATAAAAGTGTAAAACTAAATTGCAGTGCGTCAAAAATATAAAATCTAAAATAAGTAAAAATAAAGGAAAATAATTTATTGAAATTACCATTAACAAAACAAAAATTACCTTCAGCTCCTGGCCGAAGAACAGCAGGTTTAGCGACAGATTCTGTATTCACTTTGCCCGACTTGAATGTGTCGTGTTGAATAATATTGGCCCTACAACAATAAGTATTAGAATAATTTAGAACATAGAAAAAGGACCCCGGAAAGTTATTAGAAACCGCCAAGCGCAATGATGATAACAAGACAACTTAACTATAAGGAAGCTTTTAAATAATACTAGTTTTTACGGATTTTATCGCGTATATTTAGTTTTTTAAATACCCGACGTTTCGAGCGCTTTACAGCACCCATAGTCACGGGGGGGGGGGGGGGGACTGAGATGTTCAACGTCTCGTTGAAAATCTTGCGCATCAGCGCTCGAAGCGTCCGGTATTTAAAAAGTTAAATATATGCGATAAAATTCATAAAAACTAGTATTATTTTAATATGTAGTGTTCGCGTAAATATAAGAAATCATTATATAAGGAAGCTCATATCTAACAGTTTTTTTGCAGGCTATGGAAGATTAAAATGAAATCCTTACTTGGACGGTGAAACAGAGTCTTCCAACATGGCAGATCCCTCATCCCCTTCGATCCCCAGGTGGTCCTTTGCGCGTTGTTTGCGTACTATAATATCGATGTAGCCGGCGATCACTTGAAGAATCTGCTCAGCTTCTGTAGTTTGCACCGAGTAGTACTGATCGCTGAAAACAGAATTGATCCACATTACTATTTCGATAACAAATTAATTAAGCAATATCAAATGAAAAGGTTAATTTCAATAGAGAAGATGGAAGGTTTTATCACAAGGCTATCAAAGTTACCTGTAATCACCAAAGTCCAAAGTGAAGGTGTTTGGGCTAGCGCACCAGCGCCGGACAGTGGTCAGCGGCCAAGTCTGAAGAATCTCTTTCGTTTTCTCGTCCAGACGTAGCACGGAATCTTTCGTGACACCAAGAAGACGTGGACCAATTTATTTTTGCCTTTCATTTTTTCCTGTAAATAAGTATTACGTCACCCAGAAGTTTTAAATTATAACTCAGAGGCAAATTGCTCGCTACAAAAGTAACAATGCACTTGTAACACAGATTCGATTCGCACCAATGTTACGCAAAATAGTTCAGTTGTTAGTGCTTATATACCACGCAGTAAAGGAAACGTCGTGAGGAAACTTGCATGCCTAGGAAATAAAAGTAAGCCAATTTTGAGGATATCTAAAGTCCAATAGAACTTAACCCATACTCTCCCAGAAATAAAGCCATAAGATAGACAGGTGCTTTTTAGTCTTTTATGTCTTAAAACTCAAACTTTGAAAGATGAAGAATGTGGGTTAAGAATGGGCGAGTTAACCGTCAAATGCCTTTTGTATACCGATGATCAAGTCATATTTGCGTCATCGGCGGCTGAGTTGCAAATGATGGTTACATTAATGAACTGGGAATTAAAAGAAAGGGGAATGAAAGTGAACGCAAGTAAGACGAAAGTGATGGTTTTTGAAAGAGAGGAAAGCAAAACGGTATGTGAAATAAGAATAGAAGGAGAGTTAAGTGGATGAGTTTGTGTATTTGGGATGTGTATTTAGCAGGGATGGTAGATATGATAGGGATATAGAACGACGAGTAAATGCAGGAATAGAGTGAATGGGGCACTACACTCTATTGTGAAGAACCAGAATGTGTCAAAAAAGGCACGTATGGTAATTCATAATGCTGTGATAGTCCCTACTTTAATGTATGGTAGTGAAAGCTGGGTGTGGCAGAAGAAGCACGAAAGTAGAATAAATGCTGTAGAAATGCGGTCTTTAAGGAGTATGCTAGAGTTGAATCTGAAGAGGGTGAGAAATTGCATGATAAGAGATAAATGTGGTATGCAAGATGATGTTGTGACCAGGATTAAGAAAGGAATGCTTCGGTGGTTTATCATGTAGAAAGAATGAATAAGGAAAGAGTGACAAAGCAAATTTATATGGCAGATGTGAACGGCCGAGTCGGGAATGGACGCCCTAGAAAAAAGTTTATCGACCAAATTGGCAATATTTTGAAAAGGGGCCACGTTAGAAGTACCCTTAACCGACGAGCATGTATGCGTAGATATATGGATGTAAAGGAGGCGAAAGAGGTATGTCAGGATCGTGCCAAATGGAAGTCCGTAGTCTCTGCCTACCCCTCTGGGTGACAGGCGTGAGTGTTTATGTATGTATGTTTATGTATGTCTTAAGTATGATGCAAAATTTAACATATATTTTTAATTCAAGCCCATTTTAATATAAAACTATGAGTGTTAATGGAAATGCAATAATCACGTTTTATACGTGAAATTTATGGCTCTTAAACTTTTATTTTAACATTTTCCAATATCGCATATTGTTTTAAAGATAATAGCAAAAGCTGAATTTAAAGTGGTTTTTGCCCGAAGATCACTGTAATAAATCCGCAGGTCTTCTTTTATTTGAGTTCGTGAAGTCGAAAATAAAATTACAATTTTATTTTCGAGCCTATTTACCTTGACCAGGAAGAACGCAACACCATAGGTCTTCAAGTCTCTCGCGCTTTTAGTGTAGAGCACTTTAGCGTCCAATTCACTCAAGCCAATGTGTTTGCGGTGCTCTTTGAATATTTTCTTCTCTATGCCTTTGACTTTTACGTAAGACGCGGGCAGAAACTCCTTGAGGCTATAAAAAATATTTTTTTTAGAGATTTTATATGAGATTCTCCTCCTCCTCCCCATTCTATGATGTAAAACATGAGAACTTACTCTAAGAAGCCTGGCGTGTGTTTATCCTCCTTGTGATCGCCGAACTGAATTTGACATTGTATTCCGGCAAACTCACAGGCTGAAAAGAAACATAAACTGAAAACAAAGGGTCAAACATGAAGCGAAATGAAGTACAAATTATTTTTTAGAGCCCTCTTACATTTCAGCGTTACGCAAATTTAGGTATTTCACGCCCCGAGCGGGCGACGCCTACGCGAGCGATACTTTATTTCATATTTCTATTCACTCGCTCGTACTACGATACTGTGAGTATAGCGACTAAACGATCTTGATTTTCCATTATACAAGTTTTCTTAGGTTGGAGTTCAGTGGATGGAAAATTTTCGGTGTTGTCATTTTTATGTTATTTTATTAATTTATTATAATCTATTTGATATATTTTTCATTATTTATGAAACTTAGTGTTGAAATTAGTACACATAAATATTTCAATTGCATCGCACTAATCGGTTGTTAACCGATATCGGTTAATAATCGATTATATCTACTAACGGTACATAGTTCTAAATAAATAAATAGTACGGTTCAACCATATATAACCAACTGTAATTATATTATCGGTACTTATCAATTACAAAATCGATATAACCCCTAACGGTAGCATAGTGGTATAAATAAATAAATAGTACGGTTGCAACCTATTTTTATAAATAAAATAACCAACTGTAATTATATTTTTTATCGGTACTTACAGTCAATCACTGTAATTATAAAAATATTTGCCGCTACGGCATTGACCGAGCTTATCTGTAGTCAATAATTTCAGGCATTACAAACTTTTTATAAAACGCTTGTAACTTGGGTAACATATTCAAAATCCAATAAATTTGTCGACTTTGTAGATTTTATTACTTTTACTGCATAATCTGGACCAGTCCATATGGCTAGCATGCAGACATTTTTATTCTTCATTATTATTTCTCCAGAGATAGGATATTTTTTTACGGTTAGTGACACATTGATACTTTTATTTATTTTTCCCCATTTCGACTGGTAAGAAAACTCTGCTACAATCAAAATTACTATAATGTGTTAACTATCTAGTGTAATAATAATGTGCGAACTTTATACTAATTGAAATAAACTGTACGAAAGCAAATACTTCCAACGAATAAAAACTGCCAGCGTAGTTGAAGATGCTCTAGCACGCACAAAATAGCAGCGCTACGGTAATCTACACACATTACGATAATATCGAAACGAGACGGAGCGCGCGAAATAAAGTGACACAGGTCCAACCATTCATGTTCGGCGCAGTGAAATATATGGTACTTTTATTTAGTTAATTAAAAAATAATAGTAACAATTTAAAAAGTAAAAATCATAGTATAGTTTAAGCAAATTTTGATGATTGTTTTGGTATAAATTTTACGTCAAAATGATGTAGAACTTCAGAGATATTGGGGCTTGTATCGAAGCTTTTTCGGTCGTTTATTGAATTACGTCGATTAATTTTCCGTATGTGAAAGGCATATAACGAAAATGTATTCTATCATTATTAAAGTATAGGATATTTGTGAGATAAAAATATGTTTTTTGATAGTCGATATTCAATAGAATCTACAAATTAGAGCTCCCAAATCACGTCTCTGAGAGTTTTGGCCTAAACATCATCATCAAACATCGTTAGAATGATTATTACTAAATAAATAAATAAGTTATCTAAAATTAGCTCCAAGTTTATTTTGGTACAGAAAACTTTGAAAAATTGTTATTTAAGGCAACGAACGAAATACATATAATTACAACGAGGAAACCTTGTAATTTCGCTCTTTTTTTTTGTAATACCTACTATACCTACTTAAACAGAATGTAATGATTTCCAAATCCAAATAGGTTGTGGGCTAGATCGTATTCAGTATACCAACATGTGTAGGCATGAGTATGAGTGTGCGTGCGTCTGTGTAGGTGCGGTGTAGATGTGTGTGCACGCACGTACCTTTATCCTGCGTGATGGGGTGCGTGCCGGCGAGGATCGCGTCGCGCGCCTGCACGTACAGCAAGTTCAGCTGCACGGGGTCGCGCGAGTCTACGTTGCGGTCCGAGTAGAAAAGCTTACGGCGTAGCAGAAGAGTTTCAGTGGCTTCTACACCCTGCTCGCGTAGAGTTTTGGACGGCTCCACCCAGTTCACTGGTGTACAGAGTTACAATCTGTTATTACATTTAATCTAGTTTTGGATTGTATGGGTCTATGAAAATTATCCTTTTATTTAAAAATTAAAGAAGTGTATTTAACCCTCATAGTATTAAAGTATTGAAAAGTAAGAAGGATAACCAGTGTCTGTGAGGCGTTACCTCTTAAATCTCTGAGTCGACAATGTAGCTATGACCTACTTGTTTAAAGTTGGTGACAGGGGTATTATTATTGGTGCATTAGATCCTTACGATCAGGTTTGATTGTCAGCTCATTGATTGTAATACAGGATGGATGATAAAGCAGTCGAGCAATTTACCTTCATCATCTGTTCTCAGTTTCTTCCTGAGCTGCTCCATTTTAGTGTCGCGCTCCTTTTCCTGATGCTTCCGTTTCAGGGTTAGTGTTCCATAGTTAGGTTTTTCACAGGGATCTACTTCTTCTTTTTGTTCTTCGCGAACCTACAACATATAAAGTTAAAATGTTTAAAGGAAGCCAATAAAATATTAATATACAAATTAAAGCAAATTTTATGTGTTTTCCTATAAATGTACTACTGTATCCTAGACGTGAACTTGAAAAATTGGTTATAAGACAAACTTAGTTGTATATTATTTGCATACATAAAATTTCATAACAATTAACAACATTCATATTTTACAAATACCTTGAGCAGAAATGAGATACTTTTCCATTATTTCAAAAAGTTTGACTTATCCATACTGCAAAATTTAGTAACATAATACAAAAAACGAAAAATCTATTTTTATTTGTTTAAACACGTTAATCTCTGGAACTTCTAGCCCGATTGGAAAAATTATGTTTGAATAATGATAGCCAGGTTCCTGAGTAACGGTATAGGAACAGTATCTAGCATTAGGCTACACCTCTCAGCTAGCTCTAAATCATTTTTGACTAATCGGAAGAAAAAGCCCCCCCCCCCCCCCCCCCCCGTACTTCTTTATCCGCGTGCGTTCTACAAAAATAATGATCTTTACTCCGAAATACCATTATATGACTATTTTTATGCTTAAGTCACAATGAGGTATTTTGATACAAAATATTATTGAAAATTAAAATGCGATTTAATAAGGCATGGCATATTAATCCTTACGAACGAAAGTTAATTCATCATCAAGACAATTTTATGCAGATAAACTTTGCACATTTTATAGTATATTACTTGGACGCATAGTTTAAAGAGATAATGAAAAATTAACTCGGCTCGGCGCGCGATTGAATCATAACTCATATAGCCGTCCCATGAGAACCGAGAGAATCAATATAATTTAATACCACATGAAAATGTTATTAAAATATTGTCTATACTTAACTATTATAAATCAATCAGTGATTTCTTAAATCATACGCAGGTGAAACCACGGGGCACAGCAAGTACATGATATAAGTATTTTTTTTGAAATAACAATGAAAAAAGTAATTAAAAGAAAAAAAGAAAAAATGCAAACCTAATAGGGATAGCTTACCAGTCCATATTCGTCGTAATTGGTAATGCCGATTTTGGTACATATTACCACCATCAGATTTGCTACGATCTGACTGTCGTCCACCAGAAGTGTTTTTACAGTTCCTGCATGAAATTAAAATTGGCAGCTGTGTCATTAAATAATAACAAAAACAATTTTTTGAATGGAATATTAGAAGAGATAAAATAAGAAATAGAACCTTATCGAAGGAACTCATTTTAAACACATTCAAAGAAATAAAATGATATTAAGTTCCAGATTACATGATCATAGTTGAAGATACTCAAACCATAACCGTTAAAGATACTTGGGATGGCTACAAGGCGCAGTGGCTTAGTATAGAGTTGCGGCGGTTTCGAATCCCACGCGGAATAAGTATTTATATAGCCTACAAATAATTGTTCCGGGGGTAGATGTTTTCCTTGTGCAATTTATGTACATGTAAACTGCCTCTACAAAAAAGAAGAGAATTCTAGTTCGGGGATAACATTTTTATAGTTTACAGCGTCAGTAAATTTATAGCGCTAACCGTCAAGCATCCTGACACGTAAATTTCGCATCTTCTTGTTGTATTCCAGTAGATCTCCATTGCGCAGCATGTAATAGTCGAGGCTCCGTGACGCTTCCAGCCATATTCCTTTTTTATTATCTTCCTCCGATGCCAAGAAGAGTCCGTATTCTTTTGCTGTTAATATAAAACAGAAAAAAAGAGTAAATTAAAATTAGAACTAACAACTATAAGAAATTTAAAAAAAAATATGCTGTATGGTTCTGGTGATTGGTTAACTGTACACTTTTTATAAATAAAATGTGTTTTTTTTTTTAAATAAGCATTTCATCATAAAATAGTCATACTTCATACTGTCTTCGATGTTGCATACGTACGGTCACTAGAGCTAGCTTCAAGTATTTTTTCACGGATGATGCGGCACGCGTCGTACACTGTCGTGGAAGGGTCGAACTGAATGGTTTTGACAACTTTGCCGCCTTCCAACGAGATTTTTAATGATAGTGTGGCCATTTTGCTGAGGGATTGTGCTCTGAAATCATAGATAAAAAGCAAACATTGTAATTATAGACGCTTTATTTTAGTTTTTTCTACCGAAAATATTTGTAAAAATGATAACAGTATGAAGACTTTTTGGAGCTTCCTAGAATTATTGTTTTTTTTTTCTTCATCATCAACCAGTAAAAGTCTCCTTATTTGGATATACTGTCATCACCCGATGTAGGGAACTTACCCACGAAAGCAGTACCAGATGTTTCGCACCTTTGACTCTGTTTCCCGTCGTCGGTCTGGATATTTTAAGTCAAGCGTACACATTGTACTCTCTTACGACAGTTACGGGACGAAATGAGGCCATGCATTTTCTTACACCGCCACTTCGCATTTACTGCTTTAGTTTTAGTTAAGATGCAATACTCGACATTTGTTGTTCATTTTATTATAATTTTGATAAATGGCTTAAAGAGTCAATAACACAGCTTATGACTTTTTTTTTTGTGGAATAGGGGCGACAAATGAGCACACATTTTTTTCGACATGTATTAGAATTCGACATTTATTTTCGATTAAGAATCAAAATGCAGATGCAACCCTGAAAACTACGATAGAATATGCACTCCGCTCTCTTCACCCGAAAAGATCCCTTCTAGCCCACACCTCTCCCCTCTTCTAAAAAAAATGCCTCGATTTCAGTAAAAAGGGTCTCCGGTTCTCTACACTGATAATACGAAACACAGCAGCATTAAAATGGTTTATTCTGTACGCTGTATTCTGTGAGAGTGTGATCCTTCCTCGGCCGAGCCGACCCACCCAAACACTTCCTCAATGTGTAATGTGCAAACCCAGGTATGGTTATGGCAGTATGGTACATTTGTTGCGTCAAACTAAATTTTATGAAGCCACTTAGAAATCATAACTAAATCTATGAGTTTCAGTTACTAACAGTCGAATTAACAACAGATTGTAAGTTGAACGAGGCCGAGTCACCTGTGTATAGTTGCGATGTTGTCTGGCCTCTCGAGGTCGAGAGAATGCGCGCTGGCCCTCCTCTCGCGCGGCCTGCCTTGGCTGAAGGAGCTGTGTCGTGGACGGCTTCTAGATTCCTGCAATAACAAAGACATGTATTCAAATTCATATAGAACGAAATAAATTCACTAAACTGCAACAAAACTAAACTTGCTTACTAATAAATATTTTTGAAAAATACGATGTTCTTGAAACAGTCTTAAAAATCTAAATTATAAAACGTAGAAGTCAATAATAGGTAAATCCTATTGCCTTTCTTTTGAGCCGATTATTCAATGCACCTTATTATTTTATTACTTGTAGTATTAACACGAGGGACGTGAACAAAGTGAATGAATAAACAATAATAATTATTAACATAAGTGATTGATGAATCATAATAAAATAATGACTAATATTACGTCAATAACTACTGTTATTCATTAAAACTAAGCCATTCGTATCTAGCAACTATAAAAAAAAGTAAATGTTCGCTTCTAATCAAAATCTAGTATTACCTACTTCATTTCTTCTGACTGTACTCAAAGTCCACAAACACATAAATTTATAATGTTTTTGGGCTCCTTTATGTTTAGAAGAAAAAAAAACTAAATAAAAACTTTATTTTATTAGATATAGAATTAGATTTTTTTTATAAAACTGAGGTGACAACTGAACTTACAGTCCACCTGAGGGTAAGGCTACTGCACTCCTGAGATTCCAACAACTTACATTTCAATGTCTTATTGTACTTACAAGAGAAATGAATGAATCCTTATGGCGGAAATAAATTAAAACGTAATCAATACGACAAGTTCACGGTTAAGTTCCTTTAACTTTAACGGTATAACATTGCAGTGCGGGGCATACCTATATGTATGTAAGCCAGAGTCGGCGAATTGCTGGAAAGAAGAACAAAAAAAGCCGCGTGTCGCGTTAGCGCACGACTACCAGATAGTGGCAAATAAAGCGGGCTACATACGACACGATATCGGTGGCGATCTAGGGTGGAGTAGTGGGGATGCCTCCTAGATTGCCTCTAAATCGTGTCGTATGTAGAGCCATCCTAAGTCGTAGCCGATATCGCCTCCTTAATCGGCTGGCAGGAGCAAAAATGCTTCCTAGATCAGCCGATGCTTCCTAGATCGGGGCACCGCCCCCTCCTTACTGCGTGTGTGTAGGCGCATCGGCCCGATTTCTTTTGGCAGTCGCTGCCGGCAACCCTCGCGGAAGGAAGTTAACAAAACAGTGATACTGAATGACCTTTTTTTATGTAACAAAATTTTTACATTTTAATCATATAAACGGAGCAGAAGCCTATGACACTGATATTTTACAAAAAACCAAAAAAAAAAGTGAATAAAATAAATAAATTAAATGAAATTTTATCGAAATTCAAATCATATCCACCCTAGCCTGTGACCCTGCGAAGTGACATGGTCAAGAATGCCTACTAAACTAATTTTTTATTGCCGTTCGTAAAGTAGAGTGTATGATGTAAGTAAGGAGAAGTTAAAGCCTCTCCTCAACAACTAACTCCTATTCCAACACTATCAACACAAGACCGCACTCATATCTCTTACAACTCCACAAGACCACAATTCGATCTCTTACGTGCCTTCATCCTCTTATAAATAAACTTCTACTCCTTCACCATCTCCACATCAACAAACAAGTTATATAAAAGGGAGTATGTGCGAAATTAAAGGTTTCTTTATGTTTAAAAAAAAGATATAAGCTATTTTATTTTCTGATAGTTTTACTCCATAAATAAAGATTACATTAAAAAAAAAGTATACATATTATTATACAAAAGTATTTTATTTCCTTGTTTGTTGTGTGTAATACATAACCAGATTTTGACCAAAGCAGAAATGAACAAAGAGAAGAAATAACTAAATAGCATAGGTACATAGGAGAAATTGATGTTTTTATATAAGTGGCGAAATCATTTCTAGAAGGTTATAAAAACTGTCTTCATCCACCCGGAGAAAATTAATCATGTCTTTGGAATACAATTACGTACGTAACAATTTAGTACGTTTATGTGGCTTAATTTTTGTCTCTTTTGGAGCCATTTTTCACCCAGCAACTCCTCTTTTTCTATTTTCGAATAAATTTACCGAGAGGGCTAATGCCAAACCAATACATTGGTGTTTTAAGAGAGTTGAAGCTATTTTGAAGAACTCTACCGCATATGTGTTCCGCTCCAAGTCCGAACGCGTACTGCTAAGCAGGCCCGTGTGTAGGGTCTGCCCCGATAAAAGCCCCGATTTCTTTCCACCCTAGATCGCCACCGATATCGTCTCGTGTGTAGCCCGTTTAAGTATTGCCGGCTGTTTAATACAAATTAGAAACCTATATAGCTTTTAGATTTGCACATAATTATTAGCTTAAAACTTAAATTAAAACATAATTACTAACCAAAGCAAATCTATGTTGCAGAAGTGAACGTCAGAGTCGGGAAGGGAGCTTTAGACGAAAGTTTATCAACCAAATTGGCGATATATTGAAGATGGACCAGATTAAGAGTATCCTTCAAGAATGTCATGAGAATTATTCCAGTTTGCTAATAGTACGGAATAATTCTCTTCACATTTTCAGTATAAATTTCCTTTTAGTTTAGTAATTTAATTACTTCTCATAATTATACTTTCTTATTTTTTTATATTGTTAGCAGTAATTAATATTTAACATAAATCCCAAAAAAAGAGGAAAAAAGGGTAAGAGCATGTGTGCGTAGGTATACAGATGTAAAGTAGGCGAGAGAGGTGTGTCAAGAGCGTGCCAAAAGAAGCCCGTAGTCTCTGCCTACACCTTTGAGTGACAGGCGTGAATGTACCTGTATTATATTAACGTATGACTTTATTATTACAGAGCGCCATACTGCTTAACAATCGGTCTAAAGTTTGTCGATAGGGATGTGACAAGAGATAAAAATACCCTATTCACCTTACGCAACAGCAGTGTGCAGTTATTTTATGCTCCCAAACTGTAATTGCGTGATTTTTCCTCGATCGAAGTGACCAATACCTGCTGCAGCCATAATATAGCCGCAACGTAGCTCTATCCAGTAGAAAAGTTCAGAAGTTATCATAGTTATCATTAGTATCAATAGAGCCACGCTTGTAGTATTAATATATTAATTAAAGCACCAATGGGTCGGCTCAACCGGGGTGAGACCACGCTCTCACAGAATACCGGCGCAAAATAGCAGCTGAAGGCTGCTGTGTTTTGTATGGTGAGTGTAGAGAACCGGAAACCCTTTTTACTGGAAACAAAGTATTACATTTTAGTCCTCAGGGGTGACAATTCATCTTGACATTTTGATTCTTAATCATGATAAATGCCTATGGGCCACGGCGTCCACTTAGCATCAGATGAACTGTATGCTCGTTTGCCATCCTTATCTATAAAAACAATTAGACATCAGTGTTAGACATTTATATTCATTTTATTAGCTGGCTTCAAAAAAAGGAGGAAGTTCTCAATTGACTGTGATTATGTTCTTTTTTTCGTGTAATAATATGTTAGTCGACATGAGAAGTGAGAAACGACTATAATATTTTTTTTATTAACTAGTATACATTTCAAAAGTGGTTCTATATACATTTGGAGATAAAATTCCACCACTTACGGCGGAAAATCGGGGATGAAGTTTTTAGTCTGACTATTTAAACGTCATTCTAATTGTTACACCTTGGGTTGGGTTTATGAAATTCCTTGATTACTCAAAAAGATCAAAAAATTTAAGTTTAAAAAAAAGTAAGATCATTTTTATTATTTTTATAGCTTTATTTCTTTTGTTCTGTAATATTAACTTTTAATTTTTATTAAAGCTATTTTTTAAATATTATGCTGTAATAATAAAAAATATTAAAAAACCCATGTTATACAATAATAAAGACAGCAAAAAATACGAATACGCTTTCCCCTCTCAGCTGCGTCATTTCGTGAAACTGAACGTAAGCCTCGCTACGATGACATCATGTTACACTAATGTATTTCATATCAAGGTCGGTGACATGGTCTTGCATGACGTTCTCAGAAAATACACAGTTTGTTTTGGCAAAAATATCGCTACTATACAGATTGTTCTTATGTGGACGTAAGTACGCAAAAAGTATGCAAAACCTACAAAAAGCTATTTTTGAAATATTGACGCTTGAAGTTCTGGTCGGTACCAATAATAATTTGTTTGTAAATTTAATTTTAACCGACTTACTGAAGTTATTGAACAATAATTCACGATTGGAATCTCAAGTCTAGTCTGAAATACATAGTTTACTTTGAAATAACTATACGTGAGTAGCAAAGTGAATGATGAACAAATGTAAAATAAATTTTGTTCTATAACGGGACGATGTAAAAGGTTATAACATGTCCACTCGCTTTTTTCGTAATAAAATGTTTAAAATAGCTGTTAACAAGTTTCAATGCCAAGTTGTTTGCGTGGATTGAAGTCCATTCGTTTTCATCGTGTTTAATATAATACACACTTCTTGATATTATTCGGTGTTTTGAAAAATAAAACAAGTGAAAATAAATGAAAAAATTTATAATAATTCTGACGACATGAGCATAATATGGTTACTGAAAGTAAAGGCCTGGCCTCTTTGCACAAGCAAGCATGTACGTTAAGACTGCGTGTGGACGCCACACATTTTCTTTGAAAACGTTGTACAAACTGTTCGCGCACATGCAAGACGCTATGGTGTTGACGTTGTGCGATTTTTTGCGCATCGTTGCGTGTAGCAGCTGTAGTCGGAGCTTTATACCAGTGAATAAACATAACAAAACGCCATTAAAACATTCTTGAAATAACTCTATTATTCTACGTGAATCTGTAGTTTAGTAACTATTCTCTAATAGACTATTATAAGAATTGCAAAATGAAAAAAATGTTAAACTGATTTGTGAGATTTATTCCAAGGATAAAATTTACTCACGTTTCCACCCTTAACCATTTGACTCATTTTTTACCAAGTATTGTTTTGTTTTTTATGTATAAACACTTACAGCCTCTTTTTAAACTCAAATTACTTCAAAAACGAAGAGAATTTAAATTAATTTTATTAATTATTTTAAGTACATATTACTTGACTAAGGTTTGACCACAGTGTCGCTTTTGTAGTGGTAGGTGAGTTGAGTAGCAAAAACGGGAACATGGGCTGATTTTTCAATTGTCAGATAAAAGATATCCAACAAATACATAAACTGACTGTTTCCTTATATTTTCACGAACACTACACATTAAATAAAACTAGTTTTACGGATTTTATCGCGCTCAATTTACTTATATTTAATTCCCGACTTTTCGGGTGCTTTTGTCACGGTAATATTATCTATACAGTATTGTAACTCGGCCGTATCTTTGAAATAAATGCCTACAGCCGCGCGGTACGTAAACACGCGATAGGGCTGCCTGCCTTCACCATTTTTACATTTGCCTACTTTGTGTTTCCATTTAGTTTTATGATTGTAAATATACTTTTTTATATAAACAAATATAATAAGTACTTTTTGAATTGAATAGGAAGTGTTCAATAAAAATTCGTGTCGTTTTTTGATTGGTAGATTTAATTAAAAAACCATGTTTGTTTGGATAACAAATCGGTCTTATGAATTTGCGACCGAAAAATATTTGCACCTCGGCTGAGACGTACGAAATGCTTTATTATTAAATTTTTAAGTATAAAAAATCCGCAATCTAATATAAAGCTTAATTAAAATTGTTTTGGGAAACGTAGACACGGTGGAGAAAAGGAATATCTTTTACTTGGTTATAGAGGTATCTATATTCTATAACCAAGTAAAAGATATTTAACAGTTTATGTGTTTGATTTTAAATGAAGTTAGGATTTATTATTTCTTTATTTCTATTCTATTATTTATTTCCTCCATTTTTATATATTCCACAAAATCATCACTGCGGCACAGTCACGACTGTCTGCATGCCGAGCGCATGCCGAGATCGAGGCGCGTAGGCATAGCTCTCGCTTCGTCCGTTTGTATGAAGTTGGAATACTGTATAGATAAAATTACCGTGCTTTTGTCTTATGACCGCTAGGTCCGATATTGTGAGTTCCCCCGTGACCATGGGTGCTGAAAAGCATACGAAACGTCGTGAATTAAAAATAAGTAAATTAAACGCGATAAAATTTGTAAAGTTTTACTTAACCCGACTGAATAAAAATAAAACATATAATTGTACCTACTATCACTAGATGATAGCACACCCTTTCTGACAAGCCGTCATTAAAATAACAAATATTCAAACCGTGTCAACTGCAGCAGTAAATGACGGTTCGTTGGACCGGCGCTCGTGATAAGAACTATCTTAAACCCTTCATAACTGTTATAATTAGATTTTAAACGTATGAACATTTTTGTTTAAAATGATACTACCAACTCTATTTAAATTACTTGAAATTTCGTTAAACGCTTAAACTTAGCTCAAAATATTATGTCAGGAGCTATTTATGACAGTATAGTCAAATGACGGATTCGATCCGCTATTTTTCCCAGTTCGTACACTTTAACATTGTGATATGATTTAAATTTCGATAGATTTTAATTAATTAATTTATTTAATTCAAAATTTTTGTTTTTATTTTTTGTAAAATATGAGTGCCATAGGCTTCTACTCCATTCAGATGTTACACCCTATTTTTTCCAGACGAATTAAAACGTCATTCAGGATATTAAATATGACGACAATAATATCCTTTTGGCTAATTTAGGTCATGGTGTCATTTGAATACTATTCATGGAACACATATTAACTAATCACTCTGAGCGTTACATAGCGAAGTTATGATAGGACTGTCAAATTGACATTTCTCTTCGTATTTCGCTCTAACTTCAAGAGTGTGTTTGTCACTGCGCAAAAAATCAAACCGAAAACACATTTAACAACTGTTTATTTAAATCTGTATTAATTTTCAGTGGTTTGCTGTTGCATTGCTGTTCTTCAATTTTAAGGAAAAAGATTTTTATTAAAAGGTTTACATTACAGATTGTGCAGCATTTCTAACGTAATTTCCTTATCTGAAGTTGGTTGCAGGCGTCCATGGGCTACAGTAAACGCATACCATTTGATCGATTGTAGTATTATTATTAACAAACTTAGTAATGAAGCTTACTGTGTAAACACTTTATGTCACATAGCCCTCATTGGTGCATAGTATCATAAAAGCTATTAACTTCTATATATAGGCAATAAAATTATAAATAAGACGGTGAGTGAGGTAATCGGTACTGACAGAGCGGGGTACAGTCAGCCGGCGCCAGTTTTCTTGGAGTGCTTGCTCGAGGCGCTCGCGTAGACTGCGTCACGAGCTCTCCTCCGTTTGCGGTTTGCTCGACACGTACGCCGTCTGTAACAAACGAATAAAATAAATGACTGTCTTAAAATTAACCTTAGAAGTTATTTTCTATGGTCAATGAAGCGGCAAGAGTGACATTTCTCTTCTAGCTTCGGAACTTCCGCAATTCTTTATAATTATCATCTTCAAACCTGTTGCCTGTGTGCCAAGACCTTACCGCTTCTCAGAATTGGGAATATCTGCCATAATCACCTCGCCTCGTCACATCCCACCTTTAAAAATACTTTCCCATCACGTCTGGGTATATTGGGTCTGGTGTCATATACTATATAATTTTTCTGTCATCAGCTGAAATAAACGCACACTATCTTTTTGGAATAATCTTCATTCGAGTTTTAGGCTATAGTCCCACTAAACCATATGGCTTCTCTTTATTGGCGTTTTTAAGTTATTTATCTTATTGTTATTTATCTCTTTATTTAGTATTAAATATATTAAAGCTTATTACTAATAGGTATTTACTTGCCGTAGCACGGTGGCGTAAGAGAATTACCTACCCCAAGCCATCCCGTGTGTGCCGTAAGAGCTGACAAAGGAAAACAAAAAAAAGGAGATGAGCAGCATCTACACGAAAGCAACCACATCCTTATAATAAAAATGCAGTTGCCAACCCGCCTGCCAGGCCTAGCAACTATGCCAATTAGGAGAAATATTTGCCATACCGGGTTAAATTTAATTAAAATACTAAAGGAAAACATGTCATGTCTAATGTTCGACGTTATTATATTGTTTAAATGTTTTTTTAGCTAAACGTTTTTTTTTATTTTTTATCCGTTACGACGAACTAACACCTTGACCTAGTTATGAAGTAAATACGATACCCATAATGGGAACGTCTGCGATGGAGGTTAAACGTGTTTACGTAAGAGTTTTAAATATAATTAGAGTAAGAAAATATAAGTCCTTTTTAAAAGCAAAGGAAAGTATAGAAACATCTTTTTTTTGTAGTTACTTAATAAGCACAACAGTAGAGCCGTGGTTAGCGATCGTTGTAAATTTCACAATACACGAGCAAACCGCGTTCGATCTTCGCCGGCACCAATGAAAATTTTAATTGCAATTTTAAGTGCTGAGTTACCACGTGCTCGGCGGTGAAGGAAAACATCGCGAGGCGCGGCGGATACTTCCATGCCCTAAAAAAACCCTCTCAGAAATGAGGGGAGGCCTGTGCCCATCAGCGAAACGTATATTGGCTGTAACTTTAAACTTTTTAACTTTAATAAGTACATAATTTCCCCTCATGAATATATCATAATTAATGTAGCAACAAATATCTAAGTATCTGGCGCAGCTGATATTCTGCCGTTGTCGGAGCAAAATTTGAGAAAATAATGAATAATAAAACTAAAATACAAGGTATAAAACTAAACACTTATTAAACAAAACAAAAATTTATATATTCATGAGATTATTAGTTTTCTGAATGTACATGTAACGCTAGGTTGTTATACTTGAAGAAATAAAAATTATTATTGCAAGGTTTATGCAGTGGTCAAACTAAAATAAAATCTCATGGTTATAATTTTCTTTCAGCTCGATTTATAATAGAAGTTGAATTATTAAAGAAAATATTTCAATAAAGCAGCAAGTAGCCAAAAGGTACTGCTTTTTAACTGGTGAACAATAAAAATATATAATAAAAATATTGTGAACACAACACAACAGACGTAGGAAAATTAGCTGAGCTTAAGGGAAAATATAATGTCAAATGGCTTAAGCAAGATCCTTCGTTACGCCGAAAATATTGCAGCATTAATTTTGAAATAAATATATGGTAAAGTTGAGGATTAATGTTAATGATTATGTTAGACGAAAATACGATTTCGTAAAATTTTCTCGATAGAAAAAAAACCAAACTTAAACCGCTGTTATTCATAAAATACTTTAAATAAGATCATGAAACTTTGCATACTAACTGAACTAACTATAAAGCAGTGCTTATGTTATTTACTTTTTTTAAAATACCATTATTTTCACTGTAAAAAGAAATTACCTAAACTATCGGCGTCTTGAGCTTGATTCCAGTCGCCCCGTTAGTATCGCTTAGGCTTTTGAAGGGAGAAGTTGTGTCGCTTACGATCAGAATATACATTACGCAACAGTACGACGTAAAATTAAAATGGGAAATAACCGTGATAAAAATAAGAAGCGGCTAGCTTGGCTTTAAGAAACAGGTATAAATATGATAAACCTAATAAAATAAGTGTCTAACGACCTTTCTACTTACAGTATTAGTGATTACAAACATATCGGTACATAGCATACGACGCGCGGGGAAGTGGGGGCGAAATTAGAATTTGAGCTGACTTACTCTATCCTCTTAAGCCCGGAACTCTTCCTCATCCTTAGTATATGTGTTTTCAATACAAATTTAAATAAATAAAGTTGAATACATATAAAGTAATATTTTTTAATTGTCATTATTCGCATAGTAAAAAAGTTTAAAGTTTATAAAACATGCTATAAATTATGTTCAATTTTAATAAATAATAAATATACGTCGAACGATAGACGACGTGCATCCTACAATTGTGTTGCCTGATGTCATAACATGTTCTAGTTTTGAACACTGGTTATTTAGCGTAGCTTTGGTTCTAATATTATAGTTGATAATTTTTAAATGACGTGGTGACGATAAGTAATTTTATTATGTATTATGTAATAGCGTAGGGGATAAGCGCTCGCTGTAGATTTCACAGTACGCGAGCGGGTTTGATCCCCGCCGGAATGAAGTTGTTAATTGAAATTTTAGGGGCTAATTTACCACGTACTCGGCGAAGAACGAAACCATTGTGAGAAAACCTGCATGCCTGAGAAATAAGAAAAAAAAATTCGAAGACGTGTGAAGATCGCCAACACGCATTTGGGCAGTGCGGCGGACACTTCCTTGCCCTAAAACCCCCTCAGAAACGAGGGGAGGCCTGTGCCCAACAGTGGGACGTATATAGGATGTAACTTTAACTTTAACGATAAGTGACGTTAAGTACTAAGACCGATAGATAGGGTATAAATTTAATACAATAATAATAATTCTGTCATAAAGCTTATTTATTATCGACTTTGAAATTTTATGTGGTAGAGCAAAGATGCAGTCGACATAGCTGATGCATCGAGGAAAGATCAGATGCGACTGATGGACGGCAGAAAACCGGATAACTTACAAAACGTTATTGACTATCATTAGTCCTCTGATTATAATAATCAGTCTGACAAATCCTTAAATTTGTACAAATACATTAGACAGCAGATTCTGTTCTTGATGAACTTTGACATATTTACTAGTACGTAAATACTAAAAAGATGCGTCACGCAAATGCTTTTTAACTTATTACAAAAAGTTTATGGCAGTGAAGCAAACTTCATGGTAAAAAAGTTATTTTAATCTGTGCTTTTAAGAACGACTGGAAACCGTGGTAAGTGATCTTTCCGTCGTGACTCAGTAAAAGCTTAAAAGAAAAATTCATACGCTTCTCTATTCATTTCGAAATAGGACAATGGAACGCAACACGCTCTTTATATAAAATATTATATTTCTTACAAATCTTTTACTGTTGATTAATATTTTTATTTATAAAGCTGATGAACGAAATATTCATCCCATGAATTTGACTTATAATTTAATCGTAAATTTATGTGATACACAAATGATGTATTTAAGCTAATTGATCTAATAATAAATTAATGTTTTGTCTAATTTACACGGATTGCCTTTTGTATTGTAGCTAAAATATTAATTGTTCAATGAAAATAATTTTAATTTTACAGATATTTTATAAAAACATAAGACTAATTTTTTTAAGGGATATACGTATAAGTAATATAATCTAAGGCGACTCGAAGTTCATCTAATGATATGTAAATGCCACAAAATTAGTAAAAACATAAAGTAAGACACCTACATAATCGATTAAGTATTATTCGTTAACATTATTTTCTTTAAAGGAAAGAAATAAAGGTTATGTACCAAAATGCAAATGTGTTGACGTGACACTCACCATACGAAACTTTATGCTGGTAAATTAGGCTAGTATTCTGGGAATGCGTGGTCCTCCCCAGACTCATTCGTGCTGCAGCCATAAGATATGTAGCTGCAGTATAATTATCGGGTACAATCATTTGCATAATCAGTTTCTAAATATTTCCTAGGCGCCGTGTTCGGCGCGGCGTCGGTTCGTGTCGAATGTATGAACGGAACTATTATGGAAAGAGGCAACATATAAGAATAAATAACGAACATAAAATATTTCTATTACAACAATAGACAAGGATAAATCGGCTGATATACGTTGTACCGGACTAAAATAAATACAGGAAATAAAGAAATATTTCAAGCCTGACATTTTGTTTCAGTGACTTTTACGACTTCCATGGAGTATGTAGAGAGCCGTTACAGTTGCCGTATGCCACGTGTGATAGCAAATACATTAAGATCAGAATCACTGATAATGACTATTTCGTATCAGCTTCTGAATGAAATTCTTCTGAATCTTTCAAAAAAGTTAATCAAGCTTTAGAACCGTCGAAAATTTACAATAATTTAAAATCAAAGGCGACATTAATACTGTAACGTTTTTACAATCACTTCCGATAGAAAACTTGCAAGACAATAAACATGAACAATCAAACTAAAGCCCAATCAAAAACGTTTTAAAATATATTAAATACGACAAATTCATCGAAAAAACCACTGAGATAACCTAAATAAAATTTCTAAACAGAATTTCTACACTCACTTTTGTTTTAATAAATTATCATAACTATTTGAAAAAATGTTAAAATCATTTAAACGCTGCCGTTTCAGCGCATTTGGCGCTAGCACGTAGATATTTTAAAAAAGCGCTTTTTTAAAAGACCCTAGAATGGTACTAGATCTGGCGCCAAATGCGCTGGAACGGCAACACTGGTTGTGGCGGTGTAAGAATGTCCACTACTCCATATCGTCCAGTGGGTGTCGTAAGAGGCGTGAAGCGAAGCTTATATTAAGGTGATGGGCAGGGCACTAAGGAAAGATACTTGCGGTTGCCAAGCTGCTTGCCAAGCGTGACAACTATGGAAAATATTCCTAATGAGGCATTCTGTGGGCAGGCCTATGTTCAGTAGTGGACATTGATAGACTGTTATGAATTGATGAATTGAAACCATTTAAAGTTAAAGAATCACAATGAGGCGTAGCAGTACCTACCAGT